AATAAGATTAGGTCTTAATCTTTCTGGCAATAAAACAGGTGTTAAGATGTTCAAACACCAAACAGATACATTTTGCAAGGAATCAAGTTTGCATTAATCACACACATTACTTGAACATGCAAACAAACATGCTCTGATAATTAATCATATACGCATTGCCTTTGAAACTGATTGGTCTACACCAGAGACAGCCTTCTTTAGAAAACATGTGACAGGCGTGCAACGTATTGACAAGGTCCCTAGCGCTGCTCACGATCGCACAGAACAAGAAGCCACGTTGTGCTGATGAGACTCGGAAAGTGGAAGCAGGTGCCAGCGTGTGACCGTTCAAAACGCGAGACGCAGGATACGTTGGCCCAGAAGGATGTTCCTTTGGCGGATGGACACAAATGTTATTGAATGTTTTTTTTGGACAATGAATCGGAGCATCGTCCATCCGCCCTCCAAAGTTCCACCATCCAACGCGTGTGGGGAGTGGTGGTGTAGCGGCTAGCGCTACGCTTGCGCTACGAAACTCGGCAACCCGAGTTCGATTCCCGCTCAAGGCCACCAACAGAAGTGATAGCGATTGTCTAAACTGGTCGTGGGCTTCATCTAGATTGACTCGGCCTAAAAGCAGTACCTGATGCAGTGTGCAAACATCTCCACTAAGGAGACAAAGGCGGTCAGGCGTGGTGCTGGCCATTCACCCTGTTTCCCGGGCCATCAAATGTGCTCGCTAACAGCACTTGCCCCAACAGTCTGTTAAGACTATATGGATTATCTTTGTTTTTGCTGTACATGTGAGGAGCGGTGGTGCAGTGGTTAGTGCATGGCACAGTGAATCCAGGAAACCTGAGAAGGAATCCTAACACTGGCTAAGAGCATTGGAGTGCAACATTAGGACTCTTCCTGAGCCTTCCCTAGGTCGACTCAGCCTTAAATGAGTACCAGGTGCATTATGTATCAAAAGGTGCTTGCTAACAAAACTGGGCCTTTGTCTCTGTTGCTTATGTGTGTATGTGTGAATACATATACATGCATGCTTAAATGTATGTGTATGCACATATGTTTACGCGTGTGTGCATATTTGCACACGTGTATCTGATGTCAGTGGGATGCTGGTTGGCTGGCTGGCTGGCTAAATGGTCGACTGGCTGACTGCCTCAATGGTTGCCTGACTGGCTGGCTGACTGGCTGCATGGCCGACTGGCTGACTTCGTGACTGGCTGGCTGACTGACTGCCTGACCAGCTGGCCGGCCGACTGGCTGAATGGCTGACTGGCTGAATTGGCCGACTGGCCGGCTGCCTGGCCGGCCGACTGGCTGACTGGCCAACTGGCTGGCTGGCCGTCAATAATGAGGAGCGTGGCGAGAGGTGCCCAGTCTGGCCAGGGCCAGCGCTCCTCCCAGCAGGCTGCGGACACGCGGACTGCGCGTCGTGGGCGACGCGTGAGAATCGCCGGCCCAGCGGCTCTCGCCACAACATCTCCGCACGCATCCTTCCCCCCCCACCCCGTTCACTCGCGGAGATTTACAACAAATTAGGAACATCGTGTTCTGTAAACTGTACGGTTTTGTTGCTGGCCGCAGCACTTCTCAATTTCGCTGGGTATGGATTGTTTAAAAAATATAAATAACCCACCCCCTCCCCACCACCACCCCCCCACTCCGCTCCCCACCGATGCGTTTTTGGGTCGTGCCGCCCGTTGTTCGGCACGGAGCCGGAGGGTCGCTCCGCTATTGCCGGGAGCTTCTTGGCAAAGCCGCGGTTCGCGCCGAGCGAAACGTGCCGTCGGGAGGGCCGCTCGGCACTCCGCAACGCCCCAGAGGAGCTCCACTTTGCAAAGGGGCTTCTTCTCAACCAGAACTAAAGCCCCATGAGCGGGGCATGCGCCGTGGGCAGAAGGCTCAGCAATAAATGTCGCTCGTTTATAATAAGACACTCGCCTCCCATTCATTTTCACCTGCCCCCCCCCCCCCTCCCTTCCCTTTCATACCACATTATTTTTGTTTTATCCCAATTGATGTTATCTATCCATCGTACTTTGGTACCTGTTGAACAACATTTTCAAATAAAAGGCTAAACCACGATAACCTTGCTATCATACACATTGGTAATCTAGAGATACAAGTCTGGAATTATACCATTGTTAGCAATTAAGAGGACCAGATGTCCCCTCCAGTACCGCAGAGTACGGATGAACTACCTGCCGACACACACACAGCCCCCTCCACCCACCCCGTGCAGGTGATTCAATCAATCGTCACGACTCAGGATCGTAATATTAGTCAAGAATCAATTCATTTCCTTTGCACTGCAGAGAATGGAAGCGCCTCGAAGTGGCTACCACGGTGATGCTTGAACCCATTACGTGAAATATGTGAATCTTAAAACACATTGATAGACACACAAGCGATTCGCTGCAGACCCTGACAAGTTGGCCACGATCCCTTCTAGCGACGTGCCCTGCCCAAGTCTACTTTCTCTTCTGAAGCGTCACTCTGATGCCTTTAACTTGCGTACTATCTCAAATCTGCGGGTGGCTCTGTCCGGCAACGTTCGTTCCTGATGCCTTCTTGGCAGCCACACTTGGACGCAAGCTTAGAGCGTCAACGGCGTTGCACACGGTCGATATCATTCTACGGAACGATTCATCGTCGTACCATCCCGAGTGGGGATATAAACCAAACGGCTCTCCAAGCACACGTGGCCACGCGTGTGTTGTAGCTTTGTTGAACGTGATACAAGGAAGGCTAACGAACTATAACTAAAAAAACTAAACCATTTCTTATTGTATAAGGTAAGGCCCACGGAGCTATATAGTTCCTTTTCAGAAGCGACCTGGCCACAAATGGTAGCCCAATAAAGTGGTTGATCATGTGGGCATTTATAGCAGCCAAATACTCTAAACGCATGCTCATTCTAAATGTGGAGGGAACAACCGGAGGCCTCCGAGAAAAACCCATGCGACCACGAGGAGAACATGCAAACTCTAAATATACATATTCTTGGGTCTTTCGGTAAAGTCACATGGATAGGTTCAAAGAAAATAATAAAAAAATAACTGAAAACTACGACGTTTCGATCAAAACGCAAGCAGGTCGTTTCCAGGAAAAGGGGGGTTAGCTTTCAATGGAAACGGTTTATAAGGGTTTGAAATGGGCATAGCCCAAATGTCAGCAGCCAATGATAATGTAAGTGTTCGGCAGCGAGCCCGGCGGTGGTTCGTTTTCCACCAATCAAAGGGCTGCCAGGTGAAAAATGAGCATGTTAATGAGAGATTAGTATGTTAATGAGAAATTAGCATGTTTAAAAGAGATTAGCATGTTAATGGCAGATCGCAGAGCCGCAACCAAGGGGTCCGCGCGCGAAGTGACTGTGAAAGCGCAAGTTTGAAATGGGCGTAAAGCACAACTAACATCGGAAGGTGGTAGGATGGGAACATCATAGCCAATTATGACTTAAACTGGTTGATAATATCGAAATATACAGCAGCGTCAGGGTCGGGTTCGAACCCACGAACCCCTTTGTATACCAGGCGAGGTAGTTCACATCTAACCACCATGGTGCCCATTGAATGGGTGATGGATCCTCTTGACCGCGTTTGTTTGCCTCCTTTGGTTGCCACTCCATTGTTTGTCTCGATATGGAGGCAAGGGTTGGTGGATAACGTAGAGATTGTAAAACTCCCAAATCGTCTGGCCTACGAGGTGGGCACCACGGTGGCGGGATGGTATCCACCCAAGTACTTGCCTACTTAGTGTCGTTCGATACCAGATCAACCAAGTGTATGCTTACCCAGCTTTGTATTTGGACAGCTTTGTGTTTGGTAATGGAGGGGACCACCCAGATATTAGATCACATCGAAATGTATAGCAGCCAAATATTCTAAACGCATATTTCTCAATGTGGGGGGAACAACCAGAGGACCCAGAGAAAAATCCATGCGACCACGGAGAGAACACGCAAACTCCAAATATACTGGCGTCACATGGTCAGGTTCAAACCCATGACCTCCTGTATACCAGGCAAGGTAGTGAACATCCCACCACCGTGGAACCCACGGTGGCGAGATGGACCCACGTACCTGCCTACATAGGGTCGTCCAATACCAAATCAACCAAACGTATACTTGCCCAGCTTTGTATTTGGACGACTATGTGCTTGGGAATGGAGGGGACCACCCAGATATTAGGTTCAGTCCGACCTTCATCTCTCCAGATAAGGTTGACTCAACAAGACCGTTTGAGTTTTCAGTTCGACAATATTTTTTAAGCTCTTAAAAAGATGCAGCTTTTTTTTAATTTTATGGGGATAAAAATTTCCATATAAACTCCGGTTAGCACGGTTGGCTACGGACGGTGCGAAAGAAGTTCAACGTGCATACATATGAACGCAAGACATAACAGTTGACGCTTTACCTCGACATTGCTCAAGTTACGTGAACATCTGGAGTGCTCAGGTTCAGAGTGCGTGACTCCGATGCGTGCGAGACTCCAATGTGTGCGAGCTTCAAGCGGACAGCGGCGATTCAATGCTTCCACCACCGCGTCCCATCTAGTTCATCGTTTCACCACTAGGAGTGCTGTAGTCGAGCGTTCGGGTTACCGCCACGGCCCATCTGGAACTGAATAAGACAGATATCTGCCATGTTATGTAAGCTTAACAGCGCCTGGTCGCTCCGTGGTAGAGCGAGTGGCTCGCAACCTGAATCATTCCAGTTCAAATCCTGCTGTGGAGTTGACTCAGCCCATTATTCCTCTCGGGGTCGACAAAATCAGCACCACTTTGTGGGAAATTCCTATGGTTGTGCTATGGAAAGACTCACGCCTCCCCCCCCCCTTCGCCTGGGTATAGAAATGTGGAGTTTCCACGACTTGCCGAGGGCTATAAACAAGAGCATGAGCAGGGGGAAACCGATCACTCCCGACTCGTGAAGTCGAGTTTCAACTTCACGTGCCGATAATCCCGCTCCGTGCTCTCCCCGACCGCCGCCGCCGCTGCCGCCGTTGCTCACCGGGCGAGCAGTGCAGGAAGTCGATGTCGTCGATGGCGGTTCCGCCCGCGTAGTTGTGCGTGCGCACTCCCTCCAAGATGACCACGAAGTTGCGCAGGCGCTTGAGCGGCACCAGCGCCTGGCGCCAGACCCCGACCTGCTCGCCCGGCTGGCTCCTCCACATTTCGATCAGGTTGTACTCCGTCTGCCGAGGGACGGCCGCGATGACGGGACCGATCGCGATGACGGGACCGATCGCAACAACGACGGCACCGAACGCGACGATGGAAGTGAATGCGACGACGATGATGGAACCGTGCACGTGGGCGAGACAGGGAGCAGCGCGTACGGACCTTGACAATGATGCGCAGGCTGCCGGAGGTGGCGGAGGACACGTAGTACCAGAAGGAGAGGGTGCAGAGGCGGCTCGACTGGTGGAACTCGCCGCTCTTCAGGTGGCCCTTGTCGCCCTGCCGCCCGCTCTGCGTCGGCTCCAAGAAGAAGAAGTGGCCTGAATAGGAATCAAGATTTTTGTAATATATATATTTTTTTTAGAGCTGGGGGAATCCGACGAGCTACGGAGCTCTTTTTCGCGCGTGTCGATTTGACGACACCCCCTCAAGACCGCAGCACAGTTAGCTTGGCCCTGGTTGCTTGGAATGACGTGGGGGGGGGGGGGAGGCCCGGTTAAAATTTTCGAACTCACCTCAACAAAACCCGGCCCCTGGATCCCAGTGGTCAGTGCCAGTGCAGCTACACCTCCTGCACTCTCAACAGCTGCGCTAACTGCCCCACCGCCAACGCCGCGCTACGTTCGCCACGGGATGTTCAAGTTCGCTCTGCGAAGGAGCCCGAGCGGACGCATTCGGCAGGTATCTGTGAAGTCGGGAGGTGAACGCGGCGTGGAACGCACGGACACACGGCTGCCTCTGATGATTATCATAATGAAGCTGATGGGATTGATACCGCTCCTGATACTGATGCCACTACCCTGATAGTGATGATGATCCAGATTATGTTAGTGAAGCTGAGTATGCTGTGTGAGACGAGGAGGGGGCTGAGCCCTCAGCACGGGGCGGGGACTGCAGGCGATGGGGACAAAGCCTCCTCTGGTTCCACCACCGCCACCACCACCACCACTATCACCACCACGACCCCCATCACAATCGCTGCTGCCACCACCGCCACCACCACCGTCGCCACCGTCACCACTGCCACCACCGCTGCTACCGCCACCAACACCACCACCGCCACCATCACCACCACTGTCACCACTGCCACCACCGCCGCCACCACCGCCACCAACACCGCCACCAACACCGCCACCAACACCACCGCCACCACCACCACCGCCACCACCGCCACCACCACTGCCACCACTGCCGTCGCAGCCACTACCGCCACCACCAGGGTTGGATTACCATGGGCTTTAGGGGATGCAGCCCAGGGCACTAACATTTTCAGGGCCCCTCAAAGAATAAATATATCTATCCTGCTTTATAATGTCTGAAATACTGGAGCACGACGATGCATCCTATGCATAATGCGTTAATTAAACCCATAACATCACTACTACCAGCTATGCGCCATTGTCAAAATAGTTTTAAAATTCGTACATTACACTGCAAAACCCAAACTCAGGAACACAGAGTAAACAACCACTTGCGTGCGGGTGTCATGTTCCATATGTGCCCTCTACTGGCAGACTAATGGCCGCTTACAGACTGGCGCCGAGTCACTGTCTGCCGCATAGGGATGGCTGCCATTGCGGGTGCCCCTTCATCATGTTTGCTCAGCAATCCAAATCACATCCCAAACTATCGGAAGGTGGGCAGAGGGGAGGGGGGAACCCCCAGTGACAGCTGTCCATGCCCTCCATAAATACGATTATTATTATGGACGTCTGTGAAAAAGAGCTTCATAGCTACATCATGGGACCTCCTTTGCCATTACCCAAATATGAGAAGAGGTTTTCCCTTTTTTTCTGGCAAAAAAACTGGCATCATAACTGGCAAAGGAGGACCCATGATGTAGATGCTCACCCCGAGCTCTCATTACTCTGATAGTGGCATTGTCTTTGGGCTGTTCGCCTTTTGGCGTCCTCTGGCCAAACACCGTTTGAGACGAGGCTCAAAGGAAAGCTGTCTCTGGTGTCGACCAATCAGTTTCAAGGACAATGCATACATTATCAGAGTATGTTTTTTGTTTGCATTCTGACCACAAGCATTGTGGTTAATGCAGACATGTTTTGTTGCCAGAAAAAAGGGGAAAACCTATTGTCACGGCTTTATACCTCATCGGATTCCTCCAGTATGAATAATTACTTTGATTCCAGCCGCGGGGCCCCCGATAAACCTCAACATAGGTCTAGCTGTAGTGGCCGGCCAAGCGAAGCCACCGTCACGGCCGTGTGTTGTCTACCCTGCTCGGAGCCCAGCGTGTGGTCCACGGGGGGGCGCGGGCCGTGCGGGGAGCCGCGGCCCAGGACCCAGTTGAAACAGTCGGACTGCGAGTTCTCCCAGCCGCAGGTGTCGCCTTGCTCGAAGGTGCACGCGGAGCCGCACTCGCTCTCGTCGGAGCCGTCCTCGCAGTCCGCTCGGAAGTCGCACAGCTGCTCCTCGTGCACGCACTGGCCGCCCGTCGCGCAGGGGCGCTGATCGCCCCTGCAGTGGTCTTGCAGGGGGCCGGGTGAAAAGGCGGGTGGGGACGCCGGGCGGCGGGGGGTGTGCAGAGGTCGTACATCGGAAATTCATGTTCCATTACAGTCAAAGCGATATTTAACATTTCCACAGATGAAATTTAGGAAAATTAAGCAACGGAACTCAATGTAAAGTTACGAGGCTATTTTTGGTGACCGGTTTCGCTGGGAGCATCAACTCACCGCCGTGAAGACACTGCATTTCGTCGCAGGCATCTGCAACCCTGGCTACGAACCCAGGACTTCGGCGGAGCCGGCCGAGCACTCCGAGGCCCACGAGCGAGCGGCCACCGCTGCACGGTGTGAACGCGAGGACCGGCGCAGCAACAACCCGCGCCGCGCGTCGCGGTTCCCACCCCAGTAATTTCGCTCGCCCGTGCCGCTAGCATCTCCACGGCACGATGAGGAGGAGCTTCTCTACTCACCGTGGTCGCCGGAGCCGTTGTTCGGCGGCACCACGACGGGAGTGCACTCCATGCTGAAGGTGATGTCGTCGAGGGCGATGGCCGTGCGGCTGCCCGTGCCCACGAGGCCCTCAATGATGACGGAAAAGGGGTACGGCGCATCGAGTATGACCTCCTCGCGCTGCCATACTGCATCCTCCTGCTGGTCCGTCAGGTTGAGGAGCAGCTGCCAGCCGTCCTGCTCCACCAGCAGCTCCAGGTCCTCTCCGTCGAGGGCTTCGGTCGAGGAGGACGCGGACGAGGAGGAGGAAGAGGAGGCCGAGGAGAAGGAGAGGGGCTGCCGGCGCAGCTTTCTGCCGGAGAGCTGCGGCTTCCCGTCCAGCGCAGATACCAGCCACCCGGCCAGCTCGGCGCGGTAGATGCGCAGCGAGCCCACGCCTTTACCCAGCATGCAGTAGTGGAACAGCAGCTGTACTCGTTCACATAGCACGTCGTTGCGAGACAGATCATTGTACGCTCACGATGACAAATGTGGTCAGGGAACTTTGTATAAGTGTCATTATTTTTGTTACATATTTTCATTGGGCTCTTCGCATGTCCGCCACTTGCAGGAAATGGTGTCGCTCAGAGGGGTATGTGCAAAAGGGGAACAACAATCGTCAAAAAAGAAACCTTGCAATCGCGTGTGCCGGCGCTGATGGGTGGCACGGAGATGCGTGCCAGCTGCCCCGGCAGGCGCGGGAAAGTGCTCTCCAGGCTGAGGTAGTGGCCGCGGGGGTCGCGCAGTGTGTGGTCTGTGGGCATCGGCCCCCCACCGCCTAGCGGGGAGCTGCCCGAGCTGAGCGTCCAGTCGGCGTCGTCAGCGTCGTACCACTGGCGCCACGTGCACAGGTCGAACTCGAAGTTGCAGTGGCCGGGGTAGCCCGCTGTGTGGCCCACACAAAGGCAAAGGTCTCCGTGAAAAGCCTTAACAGACTGTTGCGGAAAGTATGTACATATGTACGTTTTGGTGGTGGCCAGCACCTCGCCTGCTGGCCTTTGTCTCCCCAATGCTGATGTCTACTACGCACCGCAGTGTGTACTCATTTTAAGGTGGAGTCGACCTAGAGGAGGCCTGGGACCGTTTCAAATATTCGCCACTGTTTTTGGTTGTGAGCGGAATCGAACTCGGGTCGCCGGGTTCCTACTTGACATCTCTGAAGAAGAGCTTCACAGCTCATCGCATTTCTCCAACATAAACAAAGATTCTGATTCTAAAGATTGAGGCACAGCTCGCTAACCACATGGCTTCCGCTCCCCCGCGTGCACGCACACGAAAAAAACAAACGCTCGCACACATACCTAAGTATGCAAGCACGCATGTGTGCACGCACGTACACAAACGGCGACATATTGATGTGATGGGATTCTGCAGTGATGAGCCGCCCGGTTGGAAGCGTGGCCGCGGGATGTTCACGGGTGGCTGATGGCCCCCGCTTTCAGACCCCGCATGCCAGCGCCGCTGGCTCGGCATCTCTTTGACCTTTGCAGCGGGTGGCTTCGTTAAGTTCGAATCCCTCGCCTCGGGCTGCTTGTGCGGTCACTCCTTTTGACCCGTCCCTCGGCTACTGTCTCTTTGCAGTCAGTGGCGCCGGCTGATCCGTAGAGGGTCGTTGGCTGATCCGTAGCGGGTCGTTGGCTGATCCGTAGTGGGTCGTTGGCGATCTCAGCGGTGAGCAGCCGGAAACCCCCTCCCCCCCCCGAACCACCCATCCACCTTGGAGTTACTGGTCCTCGGTGCTTTTTATCTCTTTCAGTCTCAGCGCTTCATGTTTTCACGAGTACAAGGTACACCTATTCTTAATAACCCTGTATCATTGTAGCTCAATATTCCTGTGCTGCTATTGACAGTGGCGAGAAGTTAACTACCCCCCCCCCTCCCGGTACACAGGAGGTCGTGGGTTCGATCCCGACTCTGACGCCTGCTGTATATTTGGAGTTTGCGTGTTTCTCTCTCTCTCTCCCCGTGGTCACATGGAATTTCCTCTGGGTCCTCCGGCTCCACATTTAGAATCAACAGCACGCGTTTAGAATATTTGGCTGCGATAAATGTCCACATGATGATAAGCCACTAGGCTGCGCTATCATTTGTGGCAGGGTCACTTCTGAAAAAGAGATGCATAGCTCAGTGGGTCTTACCTGGTAAAATAAAAATTGTAAAAAAAGTCGTTTCAGAGAAATCCAAGATGCCACGAAAACGCAAGTGTTCCGGCACATTCCGGATAATATCGGTCATCGCTCTACTTCCTCCCTCTCTCCCTCTGACCCAGCCTGGCGGCCCCGGCTGACCACCACCACCACCACCACCGCCACCGCCACCACCACCACCACCACCGCCACCACCACCACCGCCACCACCGCCACCACTACCGCCGCCACCACCACCACCACCACCGCCGCCACCACCACCATCGCCGCCGCCACCACCACCACCGCCGCCGCCGCCGCTCACCGCAGATCTGTGGCGCCTCGTCCGAATTGTCAATGCAGTCGTTGTTGAAGTCGCAGAGGCTGAACGCCGGCACGCAGAGCCCGTTGTGGCACGGGAAGTCGCTCGCCGAGCAGAGCTCCGTGCCGGGCTCGGGCGGAGCGCAGTCCGAGAACTCCAAGTCGTCGATGGCGAGGTCGCCAAGGTAGCCCACGCCCTTCCGCACGCGCACTATGACCTGGCGACACGGGGGGGGGGGGGGGGGGAGTGGGGGAGGGGGCGGTGAGGGTCAAGGACAGAGGTGCAAGGTTTGTGGGGGCAGGAGCGGCGTGTGGAGTTATGGGGTTACAACGCTAGGCCAGGGGTCCGGCAACCTTTCAAAGAAGAAGAATAAACTGCGTGAATTTGTTTTTTTTCCCCTCCTTGTTATTCTTTAACAACGCAGTTTTGACTTTTGAACATTTTGTCGTCACCAAGTCATTCGATAGCGACCAATTCCCCACCATATTCAATAAATTGTTTGTTATCTTTGCGTTAAAGTGTGTTTACATTTTGGCTATCCCCAAATCGGAACTGGAACTCCTTGCAGCCGCTACATTGACAGAGAGAGAGAGAAAGAAAGAAAGTGATACGATAAAGTGATGAGAGAGAATGGTGATGGGAGAATGAGACAAAGTGATGAGAAAGTAATGAGCTTGATTGTTTACGTACTGACTTAAGGAAATTCATTTAAAGGACAGGTTTGGCAGGGCGAACACCGCCATCGGTGACATTTCCTGTTCAGGAGCATCTCCGGAACGTATCGCTCGCAAATGAACGAGGGAAGACCGAACCCCGGGATGGGCGACCGTCGTGCACAAAAACAGGCGCGAGGGGCGCCCGCGGGCCTACGCTCTGGGCGGCGTAGGGCAGTGCAGACAACGCAACCCTGTCGTGTCGTGCCGTATTTCTACGCTGCCACATCTGTCAACGCCCTCCTTCCCCAACACCTGCTGGCCGACGAGGCGAAGTAGATACGGTCAAACAGCGTGTACGGGGCGGGCAGGAACATGCCTGGAAGCGGACGCGCACGCCCAGGAGCACCCGCGCCTGCCTCCAGCCGGCGCCCTGGTCACCGTTCTTCATCCACAGAGGGTACGTCACGTTCATGGAGGACACGAGCACCTGGGCGCGGGGACGCGGTACGGAACGTTCGTGCCAGAACGCTTAGGTCGGAAGCATTGGGTCAGAGCGTTCGGTCAAAACGTTCGGTCGGAATATTCCAACTGAAAGTTCGGACAAAACAATGGGTCCGAAGATTCAGTCGGAACGCTCGGTCAGAACGTTCGGTCGGAGCATTAGGTCAGAGGGTTTCAGTCGGAATGTTTTGCCGGCATGTTAATTTGGAAGATTCAGTCGGAACGTTACGTTGGTAAGGGTCAGCCAGAATAATTGATTGGACCGTTCTGTTGGAACGTTCAGTCAGAAGTCTCGTGAGAACATTTGGTCACAACACTAAAAAAGCCATCATTATTGAAGCACGTCTATCATTCACCGATCGGCCAATCTTACACAGGCAGTATATTAGAACGTTGTTCGTAATGTTTTTTGTGAATGTGCTCGCACGCCTGCCATCGTACTTGTGGTGATCTATGTGCACGATAAAGACGAATGATGAAGGGTCTACTGCTATGATTACTACAAAGAACGTTCAGGCAGAAGCCTTTCTCTAAGTGCTGCCCACAAGGCTATGGAGAAGGCATGGTATGGTTTACTTCCTTCTGATATCAGTAAGCCACTAGAGCAATGGACTTTTAAATCATCGAGATTGAAAACGAATTTCTTTAGAACTGCTTTTTGTGTTCAGTTTTTTGTCCCCACACCTCCGATTAGAACGATTGGCTATGTATGCTGCGAAAGAAGTTCAACATACATACGTACATATGACCCCTCTCTCCCACGACTTCATAAATTGTCACAATTCTGCATGACGATTAGACTCAACATTGTGACATCTTCGTCCGTGGATCCACCAAAGCGGCACAAAACCGAGACGGAAAAAGCGCAACTACATGAACGAGGCCGGGTCGAATTGTGACTCCGAATTGTGACAACCCCTCAGATCACCGTGCTGGAGAATCGTCGCCTGCCTCGAGTGCCTCGTGCGGTCGCAGGAGCCTGCAATGCGCGCGCGGTGCGGATACCTGCAGCAGGCCGATGCTCACTCCCTCCATGTGGTACCAGAAGACCAGGTGACAATTCGGTCCCGAACGACCGATCGTGGGCGTCACGAGGTCCGACGCCTCCCAGAACTTCCCGCTCGAGCTGTCCGCATACAGGTACCAGCCCTCCGCCTCGCCCCTACCGCCACAAACAGCAAGGGCAGGCTGCTAGGGTGCGCAGTGGGGGGCAGCTATCGAGTGCGCAGGTGGTGCAACTGTGCCGCAGTCCACGGGCAGGAGGAGCGCAGGTAACCGGCTACGAAAAAAGGGGAAGGCGGAGGGGGTGGGTGTCGTGGGGGAGGGAGGGTGTGGGGGGACCCAGCGCTGGCACTTGGCTGGGGGCCCTGGCAGCGCCAGCTTTAAGCGTAGAGGCGATGGAGGTGGTGGCAGGTTGCTGGCACTCGGGAGGGGTGGCAATGTCAAGTCGTGCAGTTGGGCAGCTGTGATTGGTGGGTGCATGTGCCCAGGGGCGTCGGGTGGTTGGCATGGGCCCTGGTGGGATTGGCTGCAGCGCATCATCACGGCCGTTGGTGGTGGAGACGTGGGCACGTTTTGACCGATTTTCAATTCCCAGAAATACATATTATTGAATCAACGGTTTTTTTGTTGTAAAGGGAGGTATGAGCATCAGGAGCAACAGCTGCAGTGGTGGTGATAGTGTTTTTGTGGTGCTGGTGGTGTTTTGGTGGTATGGTGGTGGTGTTTTTGTGGTGGTGGCAGTAGTAGTAGTATGGTGGTGGTGGTGTTGGTGTTCTTGTGGAGGTGGCTGTGTTGGCGTTTTTGTGCTGGTGACAGTGGTGGCGGTGGTGTTTTCGTGGTCGCGGTGGTTGCAATATGGTGGCGGCAGAGGGGAACGGCACGCACGTGGTATGGTCGACGGTGGGTCTGTGGTCGGACTCCATGGGGTAAACCGTTGCTCCTTGCCCCAGACTCCAGCGGAACCCATCCTCTTCGTTGCTGCTGCCGCCGCCGCCGACATTGTCCCGGAGGACGGTCCAGAAGCACATGACCCCATCGGTGAACCCGCACAGCGGCAGCACTGCGGGTCGGGTGACGTGCACCGGTGGGAGAGAACGGTTACTGCCGACCTCTCAGCGGCACCAATTTCGGCGTCTCCCGCACGGCATGCGCCTCCCCGGAGAAACGCGGCCGCACCTCAGCAAAGTCATCGACGGACCAAAACATGACGACTGGAGTGTGCGCTCCTCTACATCCCGTACGGCTTCTGCCCGCGAGTTTTTGCGTCGCGACCACGCGTGCCACAGCCTCGTCAGCGCACGGCCAACACCGATCGCCCTCTGCGTCGCTCGCGCACCACCGTCGCTCCACATCTCGTACGGGTCCCGCCACCGCCCCCCCCCGCACCAACCGCCCCACCACCCCCACCGCGTACCGCAGTGAGCCTCGTCGCTGCCGTCGGCGCAGTCTTCGCGGAAGTTGCAGAGCGCGCCCGGGGAGAGGCACGCGGCGTCCGAGCGGCACACGAACTCGCCCTTGGTGCAGTCGTTGGGCAGCAGCGTGGACGAGGCGACGGGGTTCGTCGGGGTCACGAGCAGTGGCAACTCCCCTGCGAGCGAGCGAGCGAGCGAGCGCAGGCGCAAGAGTGAGAGAGGGTCGGCCTGAGATAAGAGTGGGATGTTTGGCAAAAAAACGATCGTGTTTGTGCGTGATCTGGGCGCGGATAGCGCTGAAACTCAATGCTCGTATCTTATGGAAAGCTGCAATGTCTTCTTGAGGTTTAGATAACTGTTTGTGAGGCTTGCCGCCGTAACCAAAAATAAATATCGCGGGAAAGCAGAGCAGTGGTGCAGTGGTTAACGCACTACACCGTGACGCAAGCGGCACGAGATTGAATCCCGGCCACGTCTCAACATCGGTGGCGAGCGAAATCTGAAACGACTCCCCACCTTCACGAACCCGCACTGTACAGGACAGCTCGGGCGAAGCACGCTCAACGAACCCCAACGACGAAGGACGCCTTCATCCAACAGCGAGTTTTCAAAGTGGCTTTGGTGAATTATCGCTAAACATTATTATTATTATTATTGCAAGACTGGAAGGCGCGCTCGTGACATGTCTGCCGCAGAGAACCCCGTGGTGTGTGTCTCCCGTTTCTCACCATCGAAGAGGGGGCAGTTGATGAAGGACAGGTCATCGATGGCAATGTCACTGTGGTAGTCATCGCCAACTACTCCCTCAACCAGCACCTGCACCCACACACCCACACAACACACAAAGAACCCCACCTTCAACAGACTGTTGGGGCAAGTTCCTGGCACGACACATGAGGCGGTGGGTGGCCAAACACTGCGCCCGACCGCTTTCGTTTCCCCGGCGCTGATTGGTTACAAACCGCACCAGGTGCTCATTTAAGGCTGCATCTACCTAGGGGAGGCCCAGGAACGGGCACTGTTATTGGTCATTAGCGGGAATCGAACTCGGGTTGAGCGGGGTTTCTTCGCGCAGCGCGCTAACTGCTGCACCGCCGCCCCCCCCTACAGGCGCACGAGCGCACGGCACACAGCGCGGAGATCTCCACGCACCCAACAAAGGAGCGAGCAAGGTCACCCTTCGCATTTTGTTCGACCTCAAACGTCAAAAGCGTCGCCCCCCACCCACCCATGCCCTTTCGCCCACTTCCACCCACACTGCTACCCCGAATTTCCCTCATTAGGCTGGCTATACTTCCCCTACCCTTGACTTAAAGCTTTCGTGACTGCAGAAAAAACGGCGACGTTTCGATCACAACACAAGCGGCCGTCATCAGGAGGAAAGAGGATGACGATCGCTTGTGTTGTGATCGAAACGTCGTCGTTTTTTTGTTATTTGTTTCGTTATTTTATTTGAACCTATCTACGTGACTTTACCCAAAGAATATGAATTCCCCTACCCTGTCACCCCTCCTCCCACCTCCCCCCCCCCCATTAAAAAATCGTCATCCTTCCCTCGTTGTGATATCCTCACCTGGTTGGGGCAGTGGCGCCCCCCCCCCTCCACCCACCCCACCCCCCCCAACCCCCCCACCCCCTTCTTTTTTCCACCCCCCCAATAAACAACTCGGTTGAATTTTGACATAAAACTTTCGTGACTGCAGGAATCCCATATTCTTGGTTCTTTAGGTAAAGTCACATAGATAAAAAAAAACTTAAAAAATTAATAATAAAATAAAAAAAACCCACGACGTTTCGATCGCAACACAAGCGGCCTCCATCAGGCGGAGAGAAAAGTCGGTTGAGTCGGGACGCTTCTCTGCGACTGTTGTTGAAAAATATTCACCAACAAACAAAAAAAATCATATTTACCAACAACAAAAAAATAACTCGCTCCCCCCCCCGCCCCCCCCCCCTTCCCACTGCCCCCTCCCCACGTGACGCGTGTGGCACCGCGCGGACCTGGAAGGGCTGCGTGGCGGCGAGCGTCACGTTGCCGCGCACCCAGCGGTCGCCGCGGTTGCCGTAGCGCGCCCACAGCAGTTGCCCGCGGCCATTGCGGTGCGAGCGGCGGTAGACGGCCAGGCGGTAGACGTTGCGCCCCCACATGTGGTAGTGCAAGCGCAGGGCGCAGCCCGCCGACTCGGACACCGGCCCAAACGCCCGGCTCATCAGCACCGCGCGGTCGCCAAACGCCTGGTGCGGTGGTGGAGTTGGGGGGGTGGGGGGGGGAGGGAGGGCTTCTCTTTCAGATACGTTTTCGAATATTGTACCCGTGCGTGTTGAACTTCTTTCGCACCGTACGTAGCTAACCGTGCTATTCTTCACACTATTAATTTTTTTTAAGTTTTGCTGGCTGACTGTCTGACTGGCTGGCTGGCAGGATGTCACGTCCAGAAGGAGAAGTCGTGAGCAACAAAAAAACAAAAACCCGAACCAATATATTGAATCCATTTAATATAAATAATTCAGCCTTCGCCGCTCCCCCTCAAAAGAAATTCAGTCGCTTTCACATTCACGTGGATAATGACCGTCTACAAACAAAAGAGTGCAAGAGGAGTCCGTGGCGGGCCGGACGTGAGCGCGCGAGTCTGCCGCTCGCCCCCCACGGCGTCGGAGCGAGCACCTGGGGCTCGGAGGCCTCGATGTAGAGGTAGGTGCCGGCGCCGGTGCCGAGCGTGTGGTCCGTGTAGGGCCCCGTGAGCGGTGTGCTTGATGGGCCGCGCTGCAGGGTCCAGTCGAAGTCGTCCTCGTCGTCGCTCGCCTGCCGCCAGTCGCACAGGCCCGACTCGAAGTCGCACTGCTGCGTCCAATCTGCACGCGGGCCATCATCGCCGTCATCATCGCCGCCGTCATCACCATCGTTATCGCCACCGTCATCATCGTCATCATTGTTGTCGTCGTTATCATCATCGTCGTCATCACCGTCATCACCACCGTCATCATCATCACCGTCATCATCATCACCATCACCACCGTCACCATCGTCATCACTGTCATCATCATCATCACTGTCATCATCATCATCATCACTGTTATCATCACCGTCATCATCGTCATCATCATCATCGTCGTCTTCATCATCATCGTCATCACCGTCATCATCACCATTATCATCACTGTTATCATCATAATCCTCGCTGTCATTATGATCATCTGTCAATGAGCATGAACCTCTTGTCAAGGAGCACAAGCCATCATACGAACTCCAGTCATTCTCGCAGCAGCAGCTTTTGGCGAGCCATCGAACAAAACCGATTACTGCATCGCACGCATTCAGATGCGCTTCTAAAACTATGCATAATTGCATTAAGGATTGCACTAGTTTGTCTTGCAAGCGGTGTGGTGGTCCTAACACTGATGCCTTATCGGTGAAAGTGCTCCCCCTCCCCCCCGCCATTAAAATTATAGAAGAACATTGTTTCAGAGTATTCGGCTGCTCTAAATTGTCACGTGATAAGCCACTTCATTAAGCTACAAAATATAATGGCCAGGTCACTTCTGTAAAAGAGCTGCACTGCTCAGGGGGCCTTACCTGGTAAAATAAAATAAAAAAAATACTACGTTGTTTTGTTTTTAAGAGACATCACGCGAAGGGCCCTCGGCAGCAGCTCCGCCACGTCTACTTCCGCGGGCCGATCTCACCCCGCGTGCATTTTTCCCCGCACGAGCCGCCGCAGAGGGACGAGGGAGCGGACACGCTCCGGGTGGCGGCCGCTCGCCCGCCCGCCCCTCACCGCAGTCCTCCTCGTCGGAGCCGTCACCGCAGTGGTCGGTGAGGTCGCAGCGCAGGCACGCCTCGACGCAGGCGCCGCTCCGTGAGCAGCGGAACGCCGGCGGCTCCGTCGAGGGGCACTCGGCCCTGGGCGGCGGCAGGGCGCACCCCACGAGCGCGAGGTCGTCCACGGCCGTGGCGCCCACATACCTCCCGAGTTCCAACTTGCGCAGGGACACGCGGAAGGGCCCGGCACGCCGGCCCAGCCACACCTGACGGAGGGGTAGGCGGGGGAGGGGAGGGAGGGGGCAGCAGGAAGTCAGTGGGGGTTCAGCTGGAGGGGGACAAACCTGCACCCCAACCCCCTCCCCCACCACTTTGCTCCACTACCCCAAAATAGACTGCGTACTCCTGTAATGCGAACTTGGGTGTAACGTGATTAATGCATTAGGGAACGCATTTTTGCTTATAGAACGCGGAATGTGAATTGGATATAACGCGATTGAGCGAGTAGGAATAAGTGGTTGTACGGCTGCCACGGCTTAGCATCGCACAAGGCATTGGGATGCTTCTGGATGCTTCGAGATGCGACTCACGCACCTCAGTCTTTATCGCGGACTGTGTTTCATGATATATCATTTATTATAACGCAATTTTTACATAACGCGGTGTTTTTCGGCAACGCAGCTACTGCGCAATAAGAGAACAGACTGTACTAGCAGTGGTGTGATGCTGCTGTGTGTATGCCGAACTTCTTTCGCACCATACGTAGCCACAACCGTGCTAAATCGGATGTGCGGGGCGACTCACTGTGGTGCACAATGTATGCCACTGTCCACCCAGCGACAGCGTGTACAAAATTATCTGATGACAGGGATGACACTGACGATGACGAGAATGATTATGGCGATGATGAAAGCGAAAATTATGCTGCCGATCAGATTGATGATAACAATGATGACTACGGCGATGAAAACGATGACGATGATGATGACGGTAATGACACAGAGGAGAGACCGTACCTGTGCGTGGAGCCAGCTGCCAGGCTGCTCATACGGCTCGTACCACAGCAACGTCTCACTCTTGTCCTCGCTTAGCCACAGCTCCATGGGGCCTACGAAGGGCCCGTGCCTGTAATACCTGGAAGGACACGCAGCGGCATGGTCAGCGAGCAGTTGCAGGACGTCCTCGGAAAGAGCACACAGTGCGATTCTAATATAACGACAGTGGGGTGGTGCTGGTGGGTGGTGAGAGTGTTTGGTGGGGTGGTGCTGGTTGGTGGGGAGAGTGTTTGGTGGGGTGGTGCTGGTGGGTGGGGAGAGTGTTTGGTGGGGTGCTGCTGGTGGGTGGTGAGAGTGTTTGGTGGGGTGGTGCTGGTGGGTGGTGAGAGTGTTTGGTGGGGTGGTGCTGGTTTGTGGTGAGAGTGTTTGGTGGGGTGGTGAGAGTGAGTGGTGAGAGTGTTTGGTGGGGTGGTGCTGGTGGGTGGGGAGAGTGTTTGGTGGGGTGGTGAGAGTGAGTGGTGAGAGTGTTTGGTGGGGTGCTGCTGGTGGGTGGGGAGAGTGTTTGGTGGGGTGCTGCTGGTGGGTGGGGAGAGTGTTTGGTGGGGTGGTGGCGGTGAGTGGTGAGAGTGTTTGGTGGGGTGGTGGCGGTGAGTGGTGAGAGTGTTTGGTGGGGTGGTGCTGGTGAGTGGTGAGAGTGTTTGGTGGGGTGGTGCTGGTGGGTGGTGAGAGTGTTTGGTGGGGTGGTGCTGGTTGGTGGGGAGAGTGTTTGGTGGGGTGGTGCTGGTGGGTGGGGAGAGTGTTTGGTGGGGTGCTGCTGGTGGGTGGTGAGAGTGTTTGGTGGGGTGGTGCTGGTGGGTGGGGAGAGTGTTTGGTGGGGTGGTGCTGGTGAGTGGTGAGAGTGTTTGGTGGGGTGGTGCTGGTGAGTGGTGAGAGTGTTTGGTGGGGTGGTGCTGGTGGGTGGGGAGAGTGTTTGGTGGGGTGATGCTGGTGGGTAGTGAGAGTGTTTGGTGGGGTGGTGGCGGTGAGTGGTGAAAGTGTTTGGTGGGGTGGTGCTGGTGGGTGGTGAGAGTGTTTGGTGGGGTGGTGCTGGTGGGTGGGGAGAGTGTTTGGTGGGGTGGTGCTGGTGAGTGGTGAGAGTGTTTGGTGGGGTGGTGAGAGTGAGTGGTGAGAGTGTTTGGTGGGGTGCTGCTGGTGAGTGGTGAGAGTGTTTGGTGGGGTGGTGCTGGTGGGTGGTGAGAGTGTTTGGTGGGGTGGTGCTGGTGAGTGGTGAGAGTGTTTGGTGGGGTGGTGCTGGTGAGTGGTGAGAGTGTTTGGTGGGGTGGTGCTGGTGAGTGGTGAGAGTGTTTGGTGGGGTGGTGAGAGTGAGTGGTGAGAGTGTTTGGTGGGGTGTTGGTGGTGGGTGGGGAGAGTGTTTGGTGGGGTGCTGCTGGTGGGTAGTGAGAGTGTTTGGTGGGGTGGTGCTGGTGAGTGGTGAGAGTGTTTGGTGGGGTGGTGCTGGTGGGTGGTGAGAGTGTTTGGTGGGGTGGTGCTTGTGAGTGGTGAGAGTGTTTGGTGGGGTGGTGCTGGTGGGTGGTGAGAGTGTTTGGTGGGGTGGTGCTGGTGAGTGGTGAGAGTGTTTGGTGAGGTGGTGCTGGTGGGTGGGGAGAGTGTTTGGTGGGGTGGTGCTGGTGGGTGGTGAGAGTGTTTGGTGGGGTGGTGGCGTGAGTGGTGAGAGTGTTTGGTGGGGTGGTGCTGGTGGGTGGTGAGAGTGTTTGGTGGGGTGGTGCTGGTGGGTGGGGAGAGTGTTTGGTGGGGTGCTGCTGGTGGGTGGTGAGAGTGTTTGGTGGGGTGGTGCTGGTTTGTGGTGAGAGTGTTTGGTGGGGTGGTGCTGGTGGGTGGGTGGGGAGAGTGTTTGGTGGGGTGCTGCTGGTGAGTGGTGAGAGTGTTTGGTGGGGTGGTGAGAGTGAGTAGTGAGAGTGTTTGGTGGGGTGGTGCTGGTGAGTGGTGAGAGTGTTTGGTGGGGTGGTGCTGGTGGGTGGTGAGAGTGTTTGGTGGGGTGGTGCTGGTGGGTGGGGAGAGTGTTTGGTGGGGTAGTGCTGGTGAGTGGTGAGAGTGTTTGGTGGGGTGGTGAGAGTGGGTGGGGAGAGTGGTTGGTGGGGTGGTGCTGGTGAGTGGTGAGAGTGTTTGGTGGGGTGGTGAGAGTGGGTGGTGAGAGTGTTTGGTGGGGTGCTGCTGGTGAGTGGTGAGAGTGTTTGGTGGGGTGGTGCTGGTGGGTGGTGAGAGTGTTTGGTGGGGTGGTGCTGGTGAGTGGTGAGAGTGTTTGGTGGGGTGGTGCTGGTGAGTGGTGAGAGTGTTTGGTGGGGTGGTGCTGGTGAGTGGTGAGAGTGTTTGGTGGGGTGGTGAGAGTGAGTGGTGAGAGTGTTTGGTGGGGTGTTGGTGGTGGGTGGGGAGAGTGTTTGGTGGGGTGCTGCTGGTGGGTAGTGAGAGTGTTTGGTGGGGTGGTGCTGGTGAGTGGTGAGAGTGTTTGGTGGGGTGGTGCTGGTGGGTGGTGAGAGTGTTTGGTGGGGTGGTGCTTGTGAGTGGTGAGAGTGTTTGGTGGGGTGGTGCTGGTGGGTGGTGAGAGTGTTTGGTGGGGTGGTGCTGGTGAGTGGTGAGAGTGTTTGGTGAGGTGGTGCTGGTGGGTGGGGAGAGTGTTTGGTGGGGTGGTGCTGGTGGGTGGTGAGAGTGTTTGGTGGGGTGGTGGCGGTGAGTGGTGAGAGTGTTTGGTGGGGTGGTGCTGGTGGGTGGTGAGAGTGTTTGGTGGGGTGGTGCTGGTGGGTGGGGAGAGTGTTTGGTGGGGTGCTGCTGGTGGGTGGTGAGAGTGTTTGGTGGGGTGGTGCTGGTTTGTGGTGAGAGTGTTTGGTGGGGTGGTGCTGGTGGGTGGGTGGGGAGAGTGTTTGGTGGGGTGCTGCTGGTGAGTGGTGAGAGTGTTTGGTGGGGTGGTGAGAGTGAGTAGTGAGAGTGTTTGGTGGGGTGGTGCTGGTGAGTGGTGAGAGTGTTTGGTGGGGTGGTGCTGGTGGGTGGTGAGAGTGTTTGGTGGGGTGGTGCTGGTGGGTGGGGAGAGTGTTTGGTGGGGTAGTGCTGGTGAGTGGTGAGAGTGTTTGGTGGGGTGGTGAGAGTGGGTGGGGAGAGTGGTTGGTGGGGTGGTGCTGGTGAGTGGTGAGAGTGTTTGGTGGGGTGGTGAGAGTGGGTGGTGAGAGTGTTTGGTGGTGCTGATGGTTGGGGAGAGTGTTTGGTGGGGTGGTGCTGATGGGTGGGGAGAGTGTTTGGTGGGGTGGTGCTGGTGAGTGGTGAGAGTGTTTGGTGGGGTGGTGCTGGTGAGTGGTGAGAGTGTTTGGTGGGGTGGTGCTGGTTGGTGGGGAGAGTGTTTGGTGGGGTGGTGCTGGTGAGTGGTGAGAGTGTTTGGTGGGGTGGTGCTGGTGAGTGGTGAGAGTGTTTGGTGGGGTGCTGCTGGTGGGTGGGGAGAGTGTTTAGTGGGGTGCTGCTGGTGGGTGGGGAGAGTGTTTGGTGGGGTGGTGCTGGTGAGTGGTGAGAGTGTTTGGTGGGGTGGTGCTGGTGGGTGGGGAGAGTGTTTGGTGGGGTGGTGCTGGTGGGTGGGAGAGTGTTTGGTGGGGTGGTGCTGGTGGGTGGGGAGAGTGTTTGGTGGGGTAGTGAGAGTGGGTGGGGAGAGTGTTTGGTGGGGTGGTGCTGGTGGGTGGGGAGAGTGTTTGGTGGGGTGGTGCTGGTGAGAGTGTTTGGTGGGGTGGTGCTGGTGGGTGGGGAGAGTGTTTGGTGGGGTGGTGCTGGTGAGTGGTGAGAGTGTTTGGTGGGGTAGTGCTGGTGGGTGGGGAGAGTGTTTGGTGGGGTGGTGCTGGTGGGTGGTGAGAGTGTTTGGTGGGGTGGTGCTGGTGGGTGGGGAGAGTGTTTGGTGGGGTGGTGCTGGTGGGTGGTGAGAGTGTTTGGTGGGGTGGTGCTGGTGAGTGGTGAGAGTGTTTGGTGGGGTGGTGCTGGTGAGTGGTGAGAGTGTTTGGTGGGGTAGTGCCGACTTCTCCATCTCCCTGTGCTGCGATGGGCAGTTCCTCTCTCCGCTCCATACCAAAAGGAGACAGTGCAGTCGGGTCCAGCGCTGTGTAGGCACGGGCTCCTGAGCTCTGCCACCCGATTGCCGGAGGTCCCATTCATGATCACCACCAGCATGTGGCCTGGGGAACACAAACAAAGATCCCCCACCCCCCCCGCCCCAGGTAGGCTTCACGTACTGCTGGGGCAAGTGCTGTGAGTGAGTGCCCATGAAGGCCGGCACGTCTCGCACGGCGGTGTTGTGCCCAGAACCACGCCTGGTTGCCTTGGTCTCCCCAAGTGGCGATGGTTACACATCGCACCAGGTGCTCAGAAAGAGCGTGTCCTCGAAATTCCGTGTGCAAATTCACCGGATCAAAGAGTGTAACCCTGGTGTATTTTAGTGGTGGGGGCGGGAGAGGGGGGTGACCAACTGAACATCAAAACACATATGCACAATTACATATTACTCTCATTCCCACTTGGGAGACGCAGTATATTTAAAGCTGCCAATGACAAGATCATCCAGAATGCATCCGATCTTCTCAGATCTGGGAGGCTAAGCAGGGTTGAGACTGAACAACCGTTTAGACAGGCGATCAACAAGCATCCAGGGTTAGAGCTCAAGGTCTGGGTAAACAAAAAACATTATTATTTTTTGATTTAAAGCTTTCGTGACTGCAGTAATTCATATTCTTAGCTCTTTCGGTAAAGTCACGTTACCGAAAGAGCTAAGAATATACATTATTATCTATAGCCACATTCACCATTTGGGGAAAGGTGTGGGGGGGGACAACGGGCAATATAAAATATTCAAAACTAAATTATTTAAAAACCAATTGATTGATTGATGAGCGATGCGACCCTCCCCATGCAGTCCCGCCCGGTGGGGTGGTGGGGTGGGGGGGGGGTCCATGTCGTTCAGTGGCAGTGTCTGGCCGTGCCAGGGTCAGGTGGCGGGGTGGAGTATAAAGGTCACTGAGGAGCCGCATTCCCCCCTTCCGTGCCGTCGCCGCGACTCTTATCGGCGAACCTTGACGCCGACTCCCGCCGCCATCAAATTGCCGCTCATTTCCTACCGAGCCCAAGCATTGAGCTTTAACGACGAGGGTGTTATTGTTATTATTATTATTTGGCCAGGGACGACGCATTGATCGGTCGGTCACAATCGCTTCTCGGCACGTGACGGCGTGGCACGGCGCGCCGCATTGCCGGTGTCCGCGAGAATAGGTTACTTCTGTTTGGTGTTGCGTTGCCTTGTAAAAGTCAATTTGGGCCGTGTGTTTTCCCGAGTAAAACGGGAGCGAGCTGCAAGCGGACACGGATTTCTCCCGACGACTTTCTCCAATGACACTCGCTGGCCTAGTTTCACTCGACAACAAACAATGTGATACTTCAACAACATCAACACCGTTAACAATGGTGACAATGGAGGCGCTGTTACCACCACAGTGGTTAACATGGGGAATTGTGACATACCGAAAGTGATTGAACAGAACCGGCATTCAAATCTTCGATAGTAGGAGACAAATCCTAGGAATCGTCACACTTCTCAAACCGAAGTCCCTACATTTGTATAAGTTGAAGGTGTATCGATTCACCCCTTGACGACATTCCACGCGGTTACCCAGGGATAAACGTGGTTACCCACAGACAAGCACGGGGTAACAGGACAAATTCCCCACGAGTGGCAGAGCGCCCACCCCCCCCCCTCGAGACATTTCCTATCACCCCGCAGACAACGGGAAGAATTCCATCGGCAAATCCGATGGCATGGCTATCACAATTTCGCAGGCGGTGCACCTGCACAGGGGGCACAGGTGCCGGGTCACGGATTGGGGAACATTTGTATGGTGGCGGGGGCGGGGGCGGGGGGCGGGGCGGATTGGTGGGGGATCAACTGGGGTCGAGAATAACAGGACTTGCGGGTAAAAGGGCCGGGGGGATCAGAGGAAATTCCTCTGAGCGTTGGCGAGCCGCCCCTCCTCTGCGTGACGTCACCTGCGCTCGAGTTGGTTGTGTGGTCCAGCAGAGGGCTCATGTTGCGGACGCGGGGGCCGAGGTGGTCCCACGTCTCCCTGGTCCAGGTGAAGCTCTCCTTGGACTGGCCCCCTTCCCAGCCGCACCACCCACGCGAATCCTCCAGGCTGCACTCCAGCGCTTCCGGGGGACACGGAAAAGAATCACGCAGAGACACAGGTAAAGATTCCCCCGTGTAGCCTTGGCAGACCGTTGGGACAAGTACTATTTTGATTACTTTTTTTTTATTGTACCAGGCAATGCTCACTGAGCTATATAGCTCTTTTTCAGAAGCGACCTGGCCACACAAATGATAGCTCAACAATGTTTCTCATCAAGTGGACATTTATAGCAGCCAAATACTCGAAGCGCGTGATGTTGATTCTAAATGTGGAGGGAAAATACGGAGGACCCAGAGAAAAATCCACGTGACCACGGGGAGAGGGAACATACAAACTCCAAATATACAGGTGTTATACCAGGTAAAGTAGTTAAAATCTCGCCACCATGGCGCCGGCCTTCATAGATGCTCGCCACCAGGTTCGTAGCGCAGCATGCTAACCACTACACCACCGCCCTGTGTATCCTTGCCGAACCCTAGGCTTCATGAGACGTCCAGCTTAAGCCGACTCAAGTTCACACCTGGCAGTTCACCGGCACTGCTGCAAACGATCTTGGTTGCTGACGAGACATTGAATGTCAAAGCCGTTCCACAGTTTGCTTGTGTTGAACCCACGCTGAAATTATGCGATCACAGAATGCCGTGGGTTGTGTAAAAAAAAAAAACCTTCATACAGTCTGTTCTCCTATAAAGCCGCGTGTTTTCATAACGCCAATTGCATACAACGCGATGAATGTATTAGAGAACACATTTTTTTCATAACGTGGATGCGAATTGGATATCACGCGATTCAGTGAACGCAACTACGTCACGCGAGTGGGAATAAAGCGGGTGTACGGCTGCCTCGGTGTAGCATCACACAAGGCGGGATGCTGCTGGAAGCTTCTAGATGCTACTCACGTGCCTCAAGTCTTTGTCCGGACTGCGTGCGCATCTCACGTGCAATTGCGGACTGTGTTTAAGCTTTATAATATTTTATATTATTTCTTTAAATGCGTTTTTTTTCTCCATAATGCGGTGTTCTTCAGGAACGCAACTACCACCGCGTTATAGGAGAACAGATTGTGTATGTGTTTTTACGTCGAGGGGAGAGACATTTTAGGGGGGCGAATTGCCTGCGTATTTATTGTGCTAAGTTCTCCAAAACGACGCCGATGATTATGCCTTCTCACGACTTCACCTGGCGTGGCCGGATCGCTAAGGAAACTCGAGTTGGAAGGAAAAAAAACTAGAGTCGGTTGGGGTGCCCCGGACCATGAGCCACCATTGCGTGTGGGCCAGCTCTCTCTCCCAGACACGATCCCAGAATATCTTACGAGTAAAATGTCAAGGCCGCGTTGCTGACAAAATAAAATTTTACTTACTTTTCTATATATATACACATGCACTCCATGCTCATTACAGGCTAACTCTAGGCTTACCACAGGCTTACCATAGGCTTACTACAGAATCACCACTGGCTCACGCTAGGTTTACCACAGGCTCACTCCAGGCTTACCAGAGGCTTACCACACTCACCAAAGGCTCACTCCAGGCTTACCAGAGGCTTACCACACTCACCAAAGGCTCACGCCAGGCTTACCAAAGGCTCACTCTATAATTACCACAGGCTCACTCCAGGGTCACCACAGGCTCACTCCAGGGTTACTACGGGCTCACTCCAGGCTTACTACGGGCTCACTCCAGGGTTACCACAGGCTCACTCCAGGCCTACTACAGGCTCACTCCAGGGTTACTACGGGCTCACTCCAGGGTTACCACAGGCTCACTCCAGGCCTACTACAGGCTCACTTCAGGCCTACTACAGGCTCACTCCAGGCTTACTACGGGCTCACTCCAGGCTTACCACAGTTGGTCGTGTCGTTGCTGAAGGATGGATGATGGTTTTGTTGTGGGGAGAGGTTGCAACAGGTCACAAGGTCTTCAAACCCACCCCCTCGATGCTCCTCCTCCTCCACCGACGAGGGGGGTGTCGAGCCCCCCATGCTCTCTGCAAATGTTACGTGCAGCAATGAGGTCTTCCAATTTTTGTTTATATATTTAACAATGAGGATACAAAACAACACAATAACGTACGACTGCACTTTGTGAATCCGCTGCCAGATGGACTCCTCACGGCCATGCTGGTCGTGGTTTTTTTTCACCATCCTTCACCACGCTCGTCAATAATGTGAGTTGGTAAAAGTGGGGGCCCGGGAGCAGTTCGGGTATCGCTTGCCACTGATGTTCGCCGTGACTGGGAATCTAACGCATGGAACTGGTTTCATAGCATGGTGCGGTAGCAAAAACAAGCCACAGTCGCTTGCCTTTCATGTTCCATTTATGAAGGTGGCGGATCGGCCCGTAGATGTTCTGATCGTTACACCCCCCTCCAGTGTCTCTGAGGAGAAGGAATGTCAAAGCCAGGGCGTTGTGGTGGCGAGATGTTAACTACCTCGCCTGGTATGAAGGAGGTTGTGGTTTCGATCCTGATCCTTACGCCTTTAGTTCTGGAGTTTGCATATTCTCACTCCCCTTGGTCGTGTGGCTTTTATCTGAGTTCTCCGGTTTTTCCCTCCACATTTGGAAACATGCGTTTAGAATATTAGTCTGCTGCTATAAATTCCCACGTTATATGCCACTTCGTTGAGCTACTGTATCAATTATGGCCAGGTCCCTTTTGAAAAGAGCAATATAGCTCAGTGGGCCTTACCTGGTAAAATGAAACTAGTTTTATAATAATAGGGTTTTTCCCCTCTTTTCTGGCAACAAAACTGAAACCTTTTTTTACGAGGATTCATGTCTGCATTAACCACAATACCTGCAGTCAAAATGCAAACAAAAAACATACTATGATAATATATGCATTGTCCTTGAAACTGATTGGTCCACGCCAAGGGACGGCTTTCTTTTGAGCCTCGACCCAATTGGTGCTCGACCAGATGACGCCAAAAGGCGTACAGCTCAAAGACAATGCACTATCAAAGTAATGAGGGCTCGGGGTGAGCATCTACATCATGATGTTTGCGAGGTGTTTATTCTGGACGTCGGAATTGTTCCACACTGTTCGCCAGCGTTCTTCCAGATCTGGGTGAGATTCTAGGATGGTTGACAACAGCGCGATCCCCAGAAGGGGGTCAGTGGCGAGGTGCATCGTCGAGGTCTTGGCTGATGATGGGTATTGTGGTGGTTGGCGTTGGCAAGAAGACGCGTCAACTCCCTGGCTGCTGGCCTGTCCACTGTAATGACAGCAAACTTTTTTACGGCAACTGGTACATTATGGAGGCCAGAATTAACGTCTAATGGACGTTAGTTCTGATGTTCTGGAAGGGCCTCCTCGACCCTCTCCCTACATCAACCCCAATTAGACCAGCATAGATGAGAAGCGTTCATACAGCAGTGGGTTAATTAACAAAAGGCTGTTACACTATTATGACAGCTGAATTCTGGCACGGCTATAATCCAGTTTATATATGCTATAGTTAAGACTCACAAAACTTGGGTTGAAGATGTTTTTTTAAACTACTATTATCTGGAGGTCTTGGGGGAGGGGGGTATGCTCAATCGAAATTCTAAATCGGTGTTTGGACAATTCATTTTTGCAGGCAGTTTCTGAAGAGTTATGACGCTAAAACAAAACAAAGCGGTTTTTGAAAAGATCCTCAAAGGGGGAAAAATCTATTATCGATAAAGAAAAACTATTTTAATGTACATGACCAGGCAGCATGGAACCCGAAATCAGCCTCTCAGATATATGATACAGCATTGTATCTCCAATAACAGCCACGTTATATACAGCACGATACAACGGCAAGCTCCTTAAAGACGTATAAGTGGTAAGTAAAAAAGAAACGGGACACAATTGGGGGAAAACTCGGCCCTGGTTTTTCAGTTGATGCGGGCTACCAGATCCTTTCGCTACGAATTGAGAAAATGAAAGAGGAAAATCGACGGGAAAGAGTGTCGACAAAGCAGAAGTGCCAGGAGACGGACGAGGACTGCGGTAGCCGGCTTCGGGGGGTTGCTGTCACAACATGAGGCAAACAACCTTGGGTGCGCTCCGCTGAAACCCGTTCCGGGGTTTGCCTAAACAGTCGCTGTTGGAGAGACACTTGTCCCAGAAGGCCACGGGAAGGCCGACGGCCCTGATCCTAAACGCGTGTTACTCTCTCACGGCAATAACAACAGCGGCCTCCTCTCTCTTTGGTTCTTTCGGTAAAGTCACGTAGGGTAGAAATAAAACTAAATGAATCACGACGTTTCGAACGCAACACAAGCGCCCGTCTTCATGGTGAATATCGCGATAGCTCGCAGCAGACACCGCGGCTGTCGCCACAGACATCGTGTTGCTCGCAGCAGACATCGCGGCTACCGTGATACCTGCACAAGGACAAAGGCCCTCATCTAGCAGTGGACTGCAGTGGACTGCTAGATGAGGGCGTCATCATCAGAGGTCGGCAACCAAAATAATAAGGGGTCATCCATAAATCACGTCACGCACCTAGGGGGGGAGGTGGGTCAGACATTTGTGACGATGTGTGACGAGGGGGGAGGGGGTTGAGAAATGTGACGTCACATCAAAATGCGCAACTTTAAATAAATGTTAAATCAATAGAATTGTTATAACAACACAAATTTTGATAAATTTTCATTATTAACTATTTGATTATTCAAATTTACTAAAGTCACCTTTTTGTATTCCATGAAGGAGCATTTTGCTTCTCCATGGGAGAATGGAGAAGCATACATTTTGAAATGTTTTTTAATGGTTGTTATTAAACATTTTCATTCTAATGATTCAACCAGGGCTTGTCATTCTGTGAAATGAATGTATGATTGTTATAATTGTACTCTCCATTTTACTTCGTTCTACTACAAAGTTTCAAGTATTTTTTTATATTTATAATTTCTTTGAATATTGTATAGATATAAGAGAATTTCAATATAATATTCTGAACATCTGCAGTTTTAGTTAGACGTTGAACATTTTCAAATGAATTAATGCTCAATTTCAGCTTTCCAACGCCTCCTTTTTAATGTGTTTCTCCTACAACATCAGAGTGCAGCGCGACATTGAATACGAACTACGATGACAATAGTTTAAAGCTATTTGAAGCATGTTTTTTTTCACGGACCGGGGGAGAGGGGGGGGGGTCATCATCGGGTCTTTCCCCCTTTTCAAAGAAGCTCTTCAGCGACGTTTGATTTACTCATTGTGGCTACTAGGGGTTAGCTTGTGGGCTTACCAAGACTGTGACTGAGACAATTGCGCAGTGCGGGAAAGAGACGCGGATGGAAGTGGTAAATAATAAAATAATGGGGCGGTTCCACTCGCGGGCTCACCGCTCTCACCTCCTGCTGCTGTGCGGCCCGGTTCCTAACAGGCCACGGACCGGTATCGGTCCGTGGCTGGGGGGTTGGGGACCCCTGAGTCTTAAAGAGCCGCGTGCTGCTCCACAGCCCGGCTCATCACGTTGACGGCGTCGTGTTGAGGGGTGGACGGGGGGGGGGGGCACACAGGAGTGGGGGAGGAGGGGTCACGGGGGGGGTCACGGGGGGGTCACGGGTGGGGTCACGGGTGGGGTCACGGGGGGGTCACGGAGTGGGTCACGGGGGGGTCACGGGGGGGGGGAAGGGTCACGGGGGATAGAGGGCGGGGCAGAGAAGGGTTACCGTTCTGCTGTTGTGGGGGTGCGCTGCTCCATCGCTCAGGGGTCCAGGGAAGAGGCGGAGGATGAGACGGAGGGGGGCCCCTTGCCTGCAATGAGGTAGCGGCAGCCAGCAGGACACAAACCACCACCACCATGCGCTTCATGGCGTCCTGGCCACCACCACCACCACCAACCACCACCACCCCCACCGCCGGTCCGCCCTGTGGACGATGTCCCTTCAGACCCTTCTCTCTCAGCGTCTTCTTCGAGCGACACAGACGGCGCCCGAGTGCCGTGGGCAGCGGGGAGACGAGGAGCAGTCACGCGACGACAGAGCCCTCCCCGTGACCCTCGCCTGCACCGTGTCTGCCCATGACGCCCGACATGGACGCCTCTTGCTGCTGCTGCTGTTGTTGAGCTGCTGCTGCTGCTGGTGGTTGTTGATGTTGTTGTGCGCGTGCATGCGTTGTAGGCGCTACTCGCTGACAACACTTGCCCCAACAGTCTGTTAAGGCTATACGGTGGTGGTGAGGGAGGGGGGGTGGAAGGAAGCTTTGTCTTTGTGTGGCAGTGTTGTCACACCAGACGCATACTACACCTGCTGTTACTGCCACATGGGGAAGCAGAACGCTTGCGGTCTGTTAAACAACTGCGGTCGGATCTAACCGTGGGGAACATTCACTCGGTGTGCCGTGGGCGTGGGTGGGTGGGTGGTGCGTGGTGGTGGTGGCGGCGGCGGTGACGGTGGTGGTTGGTTAATGATCAACCACGGTGTGACATTGACCGAGCTTTGAATCCCTTGCACGGAGCCATAGCACTGTAATCTTAGATGAGATAGCGAAGGCCCGCGGTGCGAGTGAGCGCTGTTCAATTCTTCACGCGTGCAGCGTGTGGGTTCGTGTGTGCCACAATTATCGTGTGTACGCAGCGTGCTTTAGTGGATACGATGGGGTTGAAGAGGGGGCGGGGGGTGAAAACCGGTTACCGATTTGCCGCAATATCCTGAATGTAAATGTTGAACGTTAAAAATATTGTTGGTCTACTCTGAAACAAAGCGAGCTCTGCAGGCGTAATGTTTAGCAACAAGTGACTTACAATGAGGGAAAAAAAAGTATTTGATCCCCTGCTGATTTTGTACGTTTGCCCACTGACAAAGAAATGATCAGTCTATAATTTTAATGGTAGGTTTATTTGAACAGTTAGAGACAGAATAACAACAAAATCCAGAAAAACGCATGTCAAAAATGTTATAAATTGATTGACATTTTAATGAGGGAAATAAGTATTTGACCCCTCTGCAAAACATGACTTAGTACTTGGTGGCAAAACCCTTGTTTGCAATCACAGAGGTTAGACGTTTCTTGTAGTTGGCCACTAGGTTTGCACACATTTCAGGAGGGATTTTGTCCCACTCCTCTTTACAGATCTTCTCCAAGTCATTAAGGTTTCGAGGCTGACGTTTGGCAACTCGAACCTTCAGCTCCCTCCACAGATTTTCTATGGGATTAAGGTCTGGAGACTGGCTAGGCCACTCCAGGACCTCAATGTGCTTCTTCTTCAGCCACTCCTTTGTTGCCTTGGCCGTGTGTTTTGGGTCATTGTCATGCTGGAATACCCATCTACGACCCATTTTCAATGCCCTGGCTGAGGGAAGGAGGTTCTCACCCAAGATTTGACGGTACATGGCCACGTCCATCGTCCCTTTAATGCGGTGAAGTTGTCCTGTCCCCTTAGCAGAAAACACCCCCAAAGCATAATATTTCCACCTCCATGTTTGACGGTGGGGATGGTGTTCTTAGGGTCATAGGCAGCATTCCTCCTCCTCCAAACACGGCGAGTTGAGTTGATGCCAAAGAGCTCTATTTTGGTCTCATCTGACCACAACACTTTCACCCAGTTGTCCTCTGAATCATTCAGATGTTCATTGGCAAACTCCAGACGGGCATGTATATGTGCTTTCTTGAGCAGGGGAACCTTGCGGGCGCTGCAGGATTTCAGTCCTTCACGGCGTAGTGTGTTACCAATTGTTTTCTTGGTAACTATGGTCCCAGCTGCCTTGAGATCATTGATTAGATACTCCCGTGTAGTTCTGGGCTGATTCCTCACCGTTCTCATGATCATTGCAACTCCACGAGGTGAGATCTTGCATGGAGCCCCAGGCCGAGGGAGATTGACAGTTCTTTTGTGTTTCTTCCATTTGCGAATAATCACACCAACTGTTGTCACCTTCTCACCAAGCTGCTTGGCAATGGTCTTGTAGCCCATTCCAGCCTTGTGTAGGTCTACAATCTTGTCCCTGACATCCTTGGAGAGCTCTTTGGTCTTGGCCATGGTGGAGAGTTTGGAATCTGATTGATTGCTTCTGTGGACAGGTGTCTTTTATACAAGTAACAAGTTGAGATTAGGGGCACTCCCTTTAAGAGTGTCCTCCTAATCTCAGCTCGTTACCTGTAAAAAAGACACCTGGGAGCAGAATTCTTTCTGATTGAGAGGGGGTCAAATAGTTGTTTTCCTTCATTAAAATGCAAATCAATTTATACAAATTTTACATGCGTTTTTCTGGATTTTGTTGTTATTCTGTCTCTCACTGTTCAAATAAACCTACCATTAAAATTATAGACTGATCATTTCTTTGTCATTGGGCAAACCTACAAAATCAGCAGGGGATCAAATACTTTTTTTCCCTCACTGTACAATCCAGAGGTCACAGGTTCGATTCCATCTCCCGCTGACAAGTTTCTTAAATCCCTACCCCCGCCGACTCTATCGATTGGCAGATAGCGTGTGGTGGGGTAAAGTGTGGGCACTTCTTATAAGACGTCTGGCCAGCGTCGGGTGCCACGGTGGGGAGACGTTAAATACCTCGCCTCGTCAACAGGAGGGCGTGGGTTCGAACCCGACTCTGACGCCTGCTGTAAATTTGGAGTCTGCGCGGCTTCCTCCCCGTGGTCATGCAGTTTTCCCCTCCACGTTTAGAATCGTCACGCGTTTAGAGCCATGTGGCTGCTATTAATGTCCGCACGATGGCAAACCACTTTCTTGACCTATCATTTGTGGCCAGGTCGCTTCTGAAAAAGAGCTGTGTAGCTCAGTGGGCCTTACCTGGTAAAATACAAATAATACAAACTTACATTTTATCATCTTTAGTCGAAAAGAAAATCAACTTCCCTCGAGAGCCCCCTCTCGTCGGAGGCCCTTCCGCCAGCAGTGGCGTGAGCCGGCTATTGGAGGGCGGCCGTCTCTACCTTGTTAACTGAGAAACGAGACAGCACGTATCACGTGGTGACCCATGCCGCCGTGTGGTTTGTACGTTCCTCGCGTGCAGTTTATCGCTTATCAACTCCGATGTAGCACCACTCATCAACACCCCCCACCCACCCACCCGGGATCTGGAGTTAAAGACTCAGGACTAACACGGCACCGGTCACTGGCGGAGTCATGGGGGGGGGGGGGAGGTGGCACGTGCCCCCCCAATGATCCGATCGAAATCCCTCATTTCGATCGGATCATTGGGGTTTATTAGTATTAAATGGGCATTTTACGACCCCCACTGCCACTGTGTAGCATATTATTACGTGCCAGGGACTCTATGAGATGATAAGACAACAGTCTGAGTCCATAATTGGCAATAAGTAACGGCAAAGCAGTTATAAGCGACTCACAGAATTGTGCGCAGTTGCGTATACAGTACACGACTTCCCTGAAGGCATCAGCACCTTCAGCGAGCTGCGATGGCGATCACACAACGCGGTTCCAATTCGACCCTCGATCGATGGCTGCGTCATCGCCGCACACGCGTCGATTAAAAAGCAAAGGGACAAGTCCTTACTCATTAACAACTCCTTACTTACTAACAACTCCTCTATCATTTTTAATTGCTGGAGGGGTTGCCACCCTCCCCCTACCTGAAAATTCTGGCTCTGCTATTTTGCACCGGTGCGCGTTCGGCGTGCGGCCATGCAAGGTACATTAAACACCGGGACGTTGTGCGAAGACAGATAGCCCCGCAATGCCACAATACGGAAACGCTCCATGTAATTGCAAAGCTGTCGTGAGGTCGCCATTGCCGAATTAAAAACTGGTGATCCGAAACATTTATCAAACGTAATCCTCATCAGGCCCCATGATGTAAAACAAGTCTGTAAATCGCATGATCCACTCTGTCGCTCGGACCTCTCTATGCGCTATGAAGAAGGGACATTGCCCGAAACGTCGCCTATTATGTATCATTTGGCATTGCAAGGTCAGAGTGTTATTGACGAATGTGTTGAGCTTAAAATATATCATTTGTGCTTTTAGAGCACTGACAACGCAAGTAGCATCACCAAATAATGTGTTGCATGTACACTACAGTTAAATGTTTTTGTTCTGGATGAGTCAGTCGGTTGATTCGGGGGGGGGGGGGGAGGCGATTGGATTCTTCGTTCGCCTCGAGCCCCCCCGTTCAGTAACCGGATCTCCCCCCTGCCCCCCCTGGGGAAGCTGAGGATCCAACCAGCCAGTGGAGCGAAATCTGTACCCTCAGACTCGACTACCGGAGTCTCCGACTCAAAACTGACACGTGAAATAAAAGTGAATTTATTCTCCCGGTTACGTGGACTCGTAGAGAGACTTCGGTTCATTTTAGTTACCGAATTTATTACAACAGCAGGTTTTTTTTTTACGTACAATAGTTCATGAATAGCGATCGACAGCAAATAGAGAAATGTTGAGCAATGTTGTATATATATGTAACCCATAAATACAGTCAGTTCTCAATTAGCTGGGGTGAAAGAGTGGCTTGGGATCAATCAAAAACACGGAGGATGAAAAAGTACAAAGATCCCCTGTAAAGCCTTAGCAGACTATAGGGGTGCTGTTAGCGAGCACCTATGAAGGCCGGCACGCCACACCAGGGGGCAGGTGGCCAACACCACGCCTAGCCGCCTTTGTTTCCCGAGTGACGATGTTTACACACCGCCACCAGGTACTCATTTCAGGCTGAGTCGACCTAGGATAGGCCCAGGACCGGTTCAGATAATCGTCACTGGTGTTGGCCGTTGAGTGGGAATCGAACCCGGGTCGTCAAGGTTCGTAGCGCAGCGCGCTAACCGCTACACCACCGATCACAGGACGATGCAAAACACACACACGCACACACTTGGGGCTGTACGAGAATTGTTTCCGCCGTAGAACGGTTGGAGAAAACGGAGCAGGAAGTCGTCGTCCGTGTGGTATCGTTGACCGCTCGACGACGAGTCGACCGCGTGCGGCGCCACGTGGCCTCCGAGCGACTTGGCTACCCGTGACGGCCACGTGGGCAGCAGCCAATGGGAGCCAGCGTGCGTTGCGCCAAGCTCCAAGCAAGCACGGTTGGCTGATTCGCCACCCGCGGATGATGGAGAGAGGAGAGATTGTCCGATTCATGTACAGCGACCGTGCATCGGCACAGAGTACTATAAGCAAAACGAGTGCGCACGTGACAGCAACATTGACAGTACAGCGATGTGAACCCGTCGCTCAATACGAACCCGCCCGTTGGGTATCGTTCCAACAGTCCCGTAACAATTCGCCACGGTGCATTTATTTTGTTGTTTATCTCGTTTCCACTCCCTCGTGTGTATTGTTTTTCCTTTCATGCAGTCTCATTCAGTAGTTGAGCTCGCTACATCGGCCTCTATGGAACATTAACATGCGATTTGCACGACGCGGAGAGCATTCTCACGATTCGACGATGCACGTATTGTGTTCACAGTTGACGTATCGATGCATCTTTCATGGTCATAGACACTCGGTGGCTGAATCCAAAGGCCCTTGCTTGGTTCAGCAGCCAGACAAAAGTGTCGTGGAGGCTGGAAACAAACAAGGAGAGATTAAGCCCCATTCTCCAGATTCACGTAAGACGCTCTGGAAAGTAAGACACACTGCGACTTGTGCCCGGTGTCAAATGCAGTTGTACACATCTGCTCACACACACACACACCTACTGGAGTATAAGACGCGCCACTTAACCCATGCTTCAAACTATGATCCAGAAAATAGGGTACAAACTACCAGAAAAGCAGTAACTCCTTGTATCCCACGAGTCGAGCTAACCTTGACATCTAAAGCGGGGTGGGGGTAGTGAAATAATGGCCAGGTTGGGTCAGCATGAACCACACTGCCTATCCTAAACATCAAGTGAAACGATCATTCCAGACGATGGGGTCCGTGAAGCCATCATTGGCGATAAGGGCTGTTGACCATCAGCTCACCGCTACTACGCTCGCGAACGCAGTTTAAAAATCCCGGACTCTATCCTCGGGACACTCGATGGTGCCGGACACAGCACTTCGCCACGGCCATTACCGCTGAGCCACCCGGCCACCTGCGCGACCCCGCCAACTCTACAGCAGGCCTCTGTTTTTGTCAGCAGCGCGCAAGCCCTCTCCGCTCGGCTCCAACGCGATCTCGAACCCCGTCCTCCTCCACCATCCTCTGTGTCTAGGCGTCGCCTTGACCTTGCTGTTGCTGCTGTTGCTGCTGCTGGCCACAGTCCCCGTTGCGTCTGATTCGGCTCTTCCCCTCCGTCGACTGAGCCTCATCCACCGATCCCGACTGTGCACGCGTCAATCTCTTCTTTCTCTTCTGCTGCTGCTGCTGCTGCTGCTGCGGCTTCGCCTCCTCCTCCTCCTCCTGCCGCCCCTGTGAATCCTGCTGCTGCTGCTGCTGATTCTGATTCTGCTGCTGCCCCTCTGCGTCATTCGCTGCCTTCCCCTGAGACTCCTCGGCCCCCTCCTCCGTGCCCCTGGCCTCCTCGCTCTCTTCGCCGCCCGCTGATCCCTGCTCGGCCGAGGGGTTCGGCTCGGGGGGGTCCCCACCACCTCCGGCGTCGCCGTCCGCGGGTGCCTGAGCGGGTGGGGGGGCCTCCTCGTGGGCCCCCTTCTCGCCGGGGCTTTCGCTCTCGCCCTCCCCCATGCAGGTCTCCTCCACCGACTTCGTGGTGGTTCGAGAGAAGATAAGCGCCTGCCAGAGGAGAATACAGGGGGCAGCGATCGGTGGTGGGGTGGGTGCTTGTTTCCAGATATTTGTGTTTCTCAAACTCCGGCGCAGTGCCGAGTAATATTTGAACCAGCTCTGGGAACTACATCCATTTCACCAACCCGCACTGACCAGCACGGTGAAGTATGGCCAAACAACCCCCCCCCCCCCCCATGACCGCCACGGCTTAAGATGAGACCTTCAATAGTGGATTTGACAGAGGGGCTGTAACATGTTAATACATATTTAAACACATTTATGAATTACAAACTAAGTGCCTTTCGAGACAAATTCCCGCTTGAGTATTTAATCTAGAAAAATGAAAAGTAACGTCGCGGAGAGGACTCGAACGTTCAACTCCGCCAGCTGGACCGCAAAGCACGGGCAGCAGCTGCACGAGTCACGTGGGGAGCGGACCCAGCGGTGCGCCGGACAAAAGAACGCAACGCTACGTTTGTATTCGTGTTGAGATAAATCCCTTTGTACTCATTAAAATGTTAAAATTAAAATGTTTTCATTGCGGGGTTTCTCGTGAGGTTGACGTTGCGTAATTACGTGTTAAGTGATTCTTTTTTTTACTGAACAGCGCCACACAGTGGAAGGAGGTGAAAAATCGACTCGCCACTGACTAATTTCTCAACGCGCTCTACTCCCCACCACGCACTCTCCTACCTCTCCCCTCTCATCTCACTCTACTCCCCTCCACGCCCTCTCCTACCTCTCCCCTCTCATCTCACTCTACTCCCCTTCATCCACTCTCCTCCCTCCCTCTCAAGATGCTTAAATTCCTCTCGTGACATTGTTGACGATCGTCGAAGGTCTATCTCGTGTCGTGACATCTCGCGACGTGAGACGCGTTCGTCGACTTTCTGTTCCGTTAAGGAGTTGTCAACCCAAGACAGTGGGGGGCCCGAATTTGGGAGACCACCCACATGCCCTCCGACAGTCTCTCTCTTTCGATATCCTAAACACATCGCTCAATTCTAAAAACGTATACTGACTCTTATCTATTGCACCTTCAATAGTGCCGTTTGTTGCTGGTCACTCGGTGCATTTGGACATTCGGTGCCCACGCTTCAGCAACTGGAGACTATGGGTGCCACAAATTAAACCCGGACATACTTCTCACTCAGCCTAGACCCACCAAACTCCTGCCGTGTCCTGTGATTATGTGATCCAACACAAGACCGGCGGTGCCAGATCTCGGTACGAATCAACTGCTGCTGCTTCTAGCCGAACAAAGAAGCCAATTCCCTGACTGTCTGGGTTGCGAGTGCTCTCTCCCCCGTGGTCGCGTGGATTTTTCTCCGGGTGCTGCGCTTTATCCCTCCACATTTAGAATCATCACGCGTTCAGACAGTATTTGGCTGCTGCTAGAAATGTTCACGTGATAAGCCGCTTCGTTGAGCTATCATTTGTGGCCATGTCGCTTCCGAAAAAGAGCTGTATAGCTCAGTGGACATGACCTGATCAAATAAACTAGTTTAGTTTAGGAGGTGTGACGATGTTTGCGAGGTGTTTGTTCTGGACATCGGCATTGTTCCACACTGTTCGCCAGCGTTCTTCCAGATCTGGGTGAGATTCTAGGATGGTTGACAACAGCGCAATCCCCAGAAGGGGGTCGGTGGCGAGGTGCATCGTCGAGGTCTTGGCTGATGATGGGTATTGAGGTGGTCGTCATTGGCAAGAAGACGCGTCAACTCCCTGGCTGCAGGCCTGTCCACTGGAATGAGTTTATAGTTTAATAGTTTATAATCCAACACAAGACCAGTGGTGCCAGATCTCGATAAAAATCAACTCCTTTTGCTGCTGCAAGCCGCACAGATAAGCCAATTTCCAGTGTCCTGATTTAACACTAAACTTGTTTCGATTTAAAGCTTTCGTGACTGCAATGATTCATCTTCTTTGGTTCTTTCGGTAAAGTCACGTAGAATGAGAGAACCAAAGAAGACTAAACTTGTTATTTATTTACCTTGTTAGGCCCAATTCGATATATAGCTCTTTTTCTCAGAAGCTACCTGGCCTCAAAGAAGAAAAATCCACACGTCCACGGGGAGAGAGGCACGCAAACTCCAAATATACAGCAGGCGTCAGGGGTCGGTGTCGAACCCACGACCTCCTGTGTAACCAGCCGAGTGAGTTAACAGGTCAAACGAACGGGGAACCTTGAGCGCGGCGGCCGGGAGCGAGGTGTCTGGGCAGGCCGAGGAGAGCGTGGTCGGCATGGGGGCGCTGCGGAGGAGGCCGTCGGGGTGAGTGGCCCTCCAGTAGGACTCGAGGAACTCGGCCAGGTGCTCGCTCGCCTCGCTCAGCTGGTTCTGATCGAGCACAACGTCGAACGTGCTCTGCGGAAGCAAGCGGCGGCGGCGGCGATGGGTGTCCCCGTTAGAGGAGTCGCAGGAACGACTCGGTTCGTTAGTGGGGCGCGCAAGATTTGACGGACGCCGTACCGGTGTATGCTATCTACGTGGGGGCGTGTGTGCTATGTTGGTGTGAGCCATGTGGACGTATGCTACGTGAGTGCGTGGATTGGTGTGTGATGATGTGTGCGATGTGGGTGTGTGCTGTGTGGATGTGTGCTGTGTGGGTGTGTGCTGTGTGGGTGTGTGCTGTGTGGGTGTGTGATGGCGTGTGCTATACGGGTGTGTGATGGTGTGTACTATGTAGGTGTGTGATGGTGTGTGCTATCTGGGTGTGTGCTGTGTGGGTGTGTGATGGCGTGTGCTGTGTCGGTGTGTGCTGTGTGGGTGTGTGCTGTGTGGGTGTGTGCTATGTGGGTGTGTGATGGCGTCTTGCTAAGTGATGCACGCTACGCCCATGTGCGCTCACTGTCGGACACTGGGACAGCTTCTCGGCGGCCACGAGCTGCACGGCCAGGTGTTTCCTCTGCGACTTTCCTTGCGCCTTGATGAGCCTCGTGAGAACCTGCGGTTCACACGGATGGGTTCACGCAGCCCCTTACAGCGGCCCTTCCTACAGCCGCTGCTCTGACACGGCTCGCGGCCACATGAGGCCTACCGACCACTTATAGCTGACCTGCCAGCAATATTGATCCGACGCTGCAAACCTCTCAGCCGCATAACAAAACAAAAACAACTTTAAAACTATTTTTTATTGTACTAGGTAAGGCCCACTGAGCTATGTAGTTCTTTTTCAGAAGTGACCTGGCCACAAATGATAGCTCAACGAAGTGGCTTGTCATATGGGCATTTATATCAGACAAATACTCTAAACGCATGTTTCTAAATGTGGAGGGAAAAAAACAAAGTACCTGGAGTAAATCCACGCCACCACGGGGAGAGAGACAAGCAAACTCCAAATATACAGGCGTATTTAACATCTGGCATCCGTGGCACATTAATCGGGTACTATAAGGAAATATGTTTGACTTACCAATAACACTGCGTTTCTGATTTTAGACGCTTCTGTATCATAAATATATACGAGCTGTTACCATGGTGAATTATATTATATTGAGAATCAACAAACGTGTCAAATCTTGACTTAAAGCTTTCGTGACTGCAGGAATTCATATTCTTTGGGGTGTTTCGGCAAAGTCACGTGGATAGGTTCAAAGAAAGTAACAAAATAACAAAAGACTACGACGTTTCGATCGCAACACAGGCGGTCGTCATCATCTATGTGACTTTACCGAAAGACCCAAAGAATATACACAAACGTGTCAGTTTAGTCACAAAATTGTTTCATTTACGCCATTATGTTATGGGACGGAGCACCGTTGAGATGTCTCGCGGATCTTACAGAGCCACTTATGAGATCCCTTCGAGTGACCTCTGGTCCGCACACAGTCGGGGGCAGAAGCTTCTCCGCAGCTTTGCCACTGAGAGTCACGCGCATCGCATGACAGTCAGATCGATATTTACAATTCTGAGATCTGGACTTCATTCAAATGAACTGCGGAACCCAATCGAACGCCATGGTTTTATGTGCAGTCATTGGCGGCCGAAACCTGAATTCAAACCCAGGATTTCAGCGGTGCCTGCTCAGAGCTCTGACCTCTGACCTCTGGGCAGGGCCGGCCAAAGGAGGGATGCGGGTCCAGTGGTAACTCACACTGTGTGAGGCCCACCGACAAACTAAACCGGGAGTATTACATCTGACACCATGACCTCGAAGCACGGGGCCCCTCAAAGCGCGGGGCACGGGGCGGTCGACCCCGACTTGCCGTGTACCCTAGGGACGCCTCTGCCTCTGAGCCACCTCTGCCAACCCCCCCCTACCCCTGCACATTCAGCCACTTCTGTAAACCACAAGGGCCGCGAACAGCAAATGACCCCGTAAAATATTTCCGCACCCGGCACACCGCCTCCAGTATACGTCTCGCCGTGGCTGTGGCTACTCCTCGCCGAAACCGGCGACCCGGGAAATATTCGGGCGAGAGAAGTGAATCTGTGGCGGCGTCACCATCGGGGAGGAGATCTTGATATAGACGATGATGGGCGCAAGGTTGGTGTGTGCCAGCTGGGTGGGGTGGTTGATGCTGTCCGCGTCCAACACCACGAGCTGCAGGGTGCGCGCCAGCTCGAAGATTCGCTCCACCTCGCCCTGCACCTCGGCTGCGGTGCCAACGCGCGGGTGGGTAGGAGGGTAGGGGGAGGGTGGGGAGGGGATGGTGGGCGGGGCAGTGTCGTCACAAAGTATGTCAGCTCGAAGATTCGATGCACGCACCCCCCCCCACCCACCCCCCCCAGAATATCGGCTGAGGTTCCACCAAGGAGACGATCAGGATAAGTGGGGGGGGGGGCATGTGAGGTGTGTCCGTACCGATGTGGGGGGTTGTCGGGTTTGTAGCGCAGTCAACTAACCCCTACCTGCCGCTCCCCACACTTACTCACACTCACACAGACGCGAGAGTGTTTCACGGTGGGACTTACCCAGCACGTCTTTTGTGACGCAGCCGCAGACAGCCAGCGGCACGACATGGTCACACACACGCACACACACACACACGTGCGCACACACACGCGCATGCACACACACACACGCACACACACGCGCACACACACACACGCGCACACGCACGCACACACACACGCGCGCATGCACACACGCGCACACACACACAGAAGTTAGCACACGGTGTTATTGACGACCGTGTTGAAGTTAAAGCAGCACCACTCCGCGTGTTCAATGGGAGCAAGGTGACAGATCGGGTGCTGTTTATGTCTCTGATCATAATCCAGAACTCAAAGCCTCCTTGCGGCCTCCTCGGATCACGGGGCGCCGCGGTGGCGAGACGTTAACTACCTCGCCCGGTATACAGGAGGTCATGGGTTCGATCTCGAACCTGACGGCTGCTGTATATATTGGAGTGTGCACGTTCTCCCTGTGGTCACGGGAATTTTTCGCCGGGTCCTCCGGTATTTCCCTCAACATTTTGAAGCACGCGTTTCAGTATTTGGCTGCTATACACTTCGACGTGATAAGCCCACTTCGTTGAGCTATCATTTGTGATAGCCAGGTCGCTTCTGAAAACGAGCTATAAAGCTCAATGGTGCTTACCTGGTAAAATAAAAAAAAATAGTCAACAAAAATTGTAGTAGATGCGTTGCCTTGGAAGGGCGCTCAATATATTGTCTGGCTCCAAGGCTGTGGAACGATCTCCTCCCGTTGCCATAAGGCAAGCCGCTACTGTAGTCTGTGGACTGAAGACGCATCTCTTCGGTCCGACACAAGTTCCTCTGGGTCGATCTGTCCGTGAACTTGACACCACGATTTGACGGTCGGGGAGTGGGGTTGATAATCGGTTGTTTTTTTTTTTTAAAGTTGAACTATTGCCTTGTGTAAAATGTTAATTGCTATTGACGTAATGTTAGGTACTTTTTTTTAAAGCGTCCATCCGCCGAAGGCGCTATACGAAAATCATGTTTGAATTGATCCACTGATCACGTCTGGTGGGGGGGGGGGGCTGCCGGGGGGGGGGGGGGTGGTGAGTGCGGGATGGACCAAGGCTTGAGGTCGGCTACAGCCACACTCTTACGCTGGAGCGCCACACCCGTGCCCGGCTTGGCGTTGGAGCGCTCCACCAGCATGGCGTGCTTGCTCGGGTTGTTCATCACCGAGCGCTTCGCCAGGGAGATGTCGGCGGTCACGCGCGTGATGTTGATCCTGCCAGCGGCGGCACAAGCGGTGGGGCACGCACGCATCACAGCTGGAGGTGCAAGTTTCTGCATGCGTGTGGGGGGGGGTGAGGTTGGTGGGGGTGTGGGGGAGCGCTAGTGTAGTAGCTGTTGGCGCGCTACGCTACGAAACCCGGCGACCCGAGTTCGATTACCGCTCACGGCCACCAACACCAGTGACGATTATCTGGGCCTCTCCGAGGGTGACTCAGCCTTGGTTGCGGTGCGTGTAAACATCAGCACTGGGGAGACAAAGGCGGCCGGGTGTGGATGTTGGCCACCCCACGTCCGTGTTTGCCGTGCCGGCCTTTATAGGCGGATCTTTGTCTTTGGTGTTGTTCTGTCTCCTCTCCCCCACGTGTTTCTCTGCCCTGACCCCGCTCCCCCAATCTACCCGAATGTAAAGTGCCATGCAGATGCTATATACACATTATTATTTTTAGTTGTTTATGTAATCATCTCCTTCATTAAGTTTGCAGCTCACGTCGGCAGCCCGCGACGCACATCCGCGGCGTGTAGCTACAAGATAAGAGCTGGGGTTGTCGTTTTCTTTTACACTTTCCTACAATTAAATTTACAAAACTACAGCAGTGGCAATAACAGCGTCGCGTAGACGGGTGGAGCTGACCTTCCGTCAAACCTGCGCTTCAGAAAGTCGAAGAGTGCTTTCTGCATCATATCCGTCACCTGCACGATAGAAACAAATTCGAACTCGGCCATTTACGCGTAAACACACCTGTATGTACGCCTGTACGCACATCTGTAAACACACCTGTACACATACCTGTACACGCACTGGTATGCACATCAGCAGCGTGGCATAATGCCCGCGGGAGTGTAATTCCCTTCTAAATGACCACAGGAAGAAACTCGCATCAACGTTCGTCCCCATCTCAGACGCGACCGCTGCTCTGCTTGCTCCAGTGGTCGCGTCTCGAGGCGACTATCAACTCAGGGTGGTGCCGCAATTGATTTGTCTCACACGGTCGCACCTGAAGGCTATTGTATATCGCGGCTCCTCTCGCCTAATCACATCATCGTTACGGTCACGGTCTTGAACATTTAACGCCGTATGGGGCGCTCCGTCTTCGCATAATGCAGCCACTACAGCACCGTAGAAACTTTTTGGATTACGTTACTGCTCTCACTACATTAACATAAAACGTGGGGCGTAAATTTCATAATTTTCGTAATTTTTTTTAACTGCGCCACTAGGGGGGGGGGAGCAAGGCACCCCCCTGCGCTAACGCTAGCACGCCTACCTTTACGCACACACATGTGTACGCACATACGTGCACATCATACCTGTACACCCGCTGGTATGCACATCAGTACGTTGCCAAATTCCCGCGGTTGCATAATTTCCCCTTCCAAACGAACACCACAGGTAAGAAACTCGCGTTGACGTCTGCCCCCCCCCATCTCGGACGCGACCGCTCTGCGTCACTGCCCGCGTCACTGTTCGCGTCACTGCCCGCGTCACTGTCCGCGTCACTGCCCGCGTCACTGTCTGCGTCACTGCCCGCGTCACTGTCCGCGTCACTGCCCGCGTCACAGCGGTCGCGCCTGTGGACGGCGGAACCAACAGCCCACCTGGTAGCCCTTGAGCGACGGCCCCACGAACACCACGGGCCGCATGGACGGTACCACGTCGTAGGCCAGCTGTCCCTCGAGCTGTCGGCCGCGGTGACGGGGGCGAGCGAAGGGGGTTACGCGCGGGAACGCAATGCACGCACAGGTTGCCATCCCCTGCATCACAATGATGATCTTCATTTCGACTGGAGGCGGAACGGGACGGAGCTACGCGGCTCTCTTTGTTTCACAGATGTCCAGCAAGGTCGGGTCGGCAAGTTACATCGTCGACAACAAAAATGACAATAAAGGATACTAGAGTATGATAGAGAACGGTTAGGCAGGTCACGTCAAATTAATAAATAGTTGCACGAGTGCATATGTAGGGGACTGTAGGGAAAAAGTGCTAGAGGGTACACACGTTGAGATAATTAGCATCAGGTGGCTGTAAGGTGCTGTACAGATTATCTGATAAATAACACACGTGACATATTGGAGTGGGGGGCCGCTGTCCGATACAAGGCTGTAGCCAAGGAGTCAACATTGGGGGGGGGGACCAAATCTTCCAGGGGGTCCCCCCCCCCAGAAAAACAAATCTAAATTTGAAAACCCATTTCCTGCTTAAAATATTAAAAAATTCACTAACACATAGGATGGACATTTTCTTTACAACAATGTCTAATAGTGTATTGTATTACATTGCTCTGTTTTTTTTTCTTTTTTACCTTTTCTTGTTTCAGTATATGTAATGGCAGAGATTATGGATTAATAAATTACAACCATAACCACAATTATATAAACAGAAATCTATTTTATAGCAATATATTGGGGGGCGGGGGGCATTTTGAGCATATTTGAATATTGGGGGGGGGATGTGTCCCCCCCAATATTTATTATAATTACGGCCTTGGTCCGATGGGACGCGGGGCCGAGAGGGTGTTATAAGGGGAACGAGGTCGAGGCGCTTCCCCGTGGACTATCAATGAGCAATTTGGACCAGAAAAAAATATGCAGCACCCAGCACACCTCGTTCACTTAACGTCTCGCTATGGCTGTACCCACTCGTCACGTGCAGCCGACTTCAGGCGACTAGAGACGCGGAAAATATTGAGAGAAATGAATCCCTGATCATCACCACCACCCTCATCATCATCATCACCCGTTTGTCAATCCACTGCCGGATGAGGGCTTGCCAATACCGCGGCGGGAGCGAAGGTTGGTGCTGCCGGTACAGGCTGCGTTCGGGCCGTGGTGCTGCACGCTGCTTACCAGCTTCTGTTTGTGCTTCACTGCGCTTGTGAGAGCAGGGAGAGAGGAGAGAGGACAGGTTCAGGGAGAGACGAGAGGACGCGGCCAGCGAGTTGACGTGAGAACACACGGTCGGCGACATGGCGAGTTGAATCGACGGAGTGGTTAAACTGGCTTCTCTAGAGCGGCGAGTCGATGGCCCTAGCCGCTGCTACCGTTGTGCAAGATATCGTACTTGTTTGTGCTCCGCAGCTGCTGTGATTCGCTGTTGTTCTGTCTGCGCCGGGTTCTCTCTCGGAGTTGCCTCGGTAAAGAGAGGTTCGGTCCCGCGGGCGCTCACCAGATTACAAACACGCATGGAGAGGCGCCTCTCTTATGCGGGGTGATGCGCTGCTTTCTGATGAAGTTCAGAATGAGGGCATGTCTTCGCCTCGTGACAACTTGACGCCAATCGTACAACACTTAGACAAACATTGTTTGAACGAAAGAAAACTCAATGTCAAGTTCAACAGCACCGATGACTCACTGTGGAAGGGTAGGGGGCGTGCAGGCTCTCCGGAAGCGCCAGCAGATCTAGTGGGGGGTCGGGGTGGGGGCACAGAGAGTTGTGAAGAGATGGGGGGCGGTGGGTAGGGGAGGTTGAGATGGACCACAGAGCCATCTAAATGTGTGAGTGGGGAGATACACAGAGACGTGGCGATAGAAGAGAGAGAGAGCAACCTGGATAGATATACTTGGAGAGACACCACAGATAGATGCACAGTATATTGAGAGACACAAAAAGACATGGACAGAGACAGAGATATGGATACACAGGCTGGAACGAAGAGACATGGAGAGAGGCAGAGAGATATATGGAGACACACGGGCAGATACATTTACACACGGAGAGGAGAGTTGGATGTAGTGATCGTCCACCACTCAGTGGGGAGGGAGACACAGCAACACAAAGAGAGAAACACGAAGACAGACAGATACAGAGAGACAATCAGCTCATTTCTTTAGAGCTGCTTTTTGTGTTTAGTTTGTTGTCCTTCCCCCGCACCGCCGATTAACACGGACGGCTGCGTACCGTGCGAGAGAAGTTCAACACACGTACAGGTGACGTGTGACTCCGACAGATATGGAGACACCTCACATGCGCGTCGATGGCACGTGGTGGTGATGCTGAGTGATGTTACTGGTGTCAGTGATGCAGCTGCGCTTGATGATGGCGATGATAATGACCAGTGACGGACTAGGACTAAAAATCGGCCCAGGCATTTGTAAACACACTGACCAAAATTGCCATGCCATCTCATTGTCCCATTTGGGCTGGGTCCAAAAAACAAATGGGCCGGTGAGGAAGAATCTTTCGGGCTGCCGCATATGGGGACTTAATGCCCACAGAGAGCGTGAATAAGCAATGAAGCATACACATTAGAGGTCATTATATATATACTGTGATCACATTTGCAATTTCCCCATACAGACCGGCCCACCGGCCCTCGGAATGGACCGACCCAAAGTTCGTTTTCCTGGCCTGCCCTATTAGCAGTCTGGGCCTGATGATAATGATGATCGCTGCTGCTGCTGATGATGATGATCGCTGCTGATGATGATAATGATCGCTGACCCAGGGTAGAGGCGCGCGTGCCGGGCTCGCTGCTCCTGCTCCAGTTTGATCTGTGCGAGTTTTCCGGGGCTCGGGATGAAGCCCAGCTCGCCATCTTCCCGCACCATGCGGCCGATCCACCAATCGTTCGTGTACTTCTGCATCGCGACGGACAGAACAACGACAGCGCCGGCAACTTCGGTATCATCATCATAATGAAGACGATCGCGCGCTTTCAGATGCGCTTCTGCAGCCATCTGGAACGCTCTTCCTTCCAATATTAGAAAGACACTGGAGCTATATACTTTCAAAGCTAGATTTAAAGTTAATTTCTTCAGAACTGCTTTTTGTGTTTTTTTTTATCGTCCTTCCCCGCACCTCCGATTAACACTGTTGGCTACGTACGGTATGAAAGAAGTTTAACATACATAGCCATCAATTACTTGCACGTCCATCATCACCTGTAGCGTAATCATACAAATAATATTATCATCATCATGGATGGAGAGGTGGATGGGTGGATGGGTGAATGGGTGAACGCATGGGTAGATGGATAAATTTGTTTAATGGATAGTTGAGTGGATGGATGAGTGAATGGATAGATGGTTGGGTGTATTGGTGGGTAGGTGTATTGGTAGACGGGTGAGTGGACGGATGGATACGTGGGTGGATGGATGGGTGGATGAATGGGTGGCGAGATTAGCGAATCGGTGAATGGATGGATAGGTTGAAATATTTGGTGGAAGGATGGATAGGGAGATAGGGGAAGGCACGAATGGGATAAGATCTTCTAGGTGAACGGATCGATGAATGGTTAAGCTTTGTGGGCGGATAGATCGACAATAGCTGGGTGCCGCGTCTCGCCTCTGTGACGTGCAGGAAGTCCTGCGGCTCGAAGGAGACCGCGTGTCCTGGTGCGGGGACGTCCTCCACGATGGCGCCATAAAAACTCAGGTTCGTGCGCACGGAGAACGCGACCGGCTTTTCCTGCCCCATGTACGAACACACGTATACACACACACACACACACAAGACAAAGACCACCCGTATAGCGTTCAGCAGACTCTTGGAGCAAGTGCTGTTCGCGGGCACCTATGAAAGCCGACACTGTACACAAAAGAGTGGGTTGACCAGCACCACGCCAGGCAGCCTCCGTCTCCTGAGTGGCAATGTTTACACTAAACCATTTAAAAATATCAATGTTTCTATTTTATCACGTAAGGCCCACTGAGCTATCTAGCTATTTTGTCAGAAGCGACCTGCCCACAAATGATAGCTCAACGAAGTTTCTTATCAGGTGGAAATTTATAACAGCCAAATACCGGAGGACCCGGAGAAACATCCACGGCACCACGAGGAGAGAAACACGCAAACTCCAAATATACAGCAGGCGTCAGGGTCGGGATATAATCCACAACCTCCTGCATAACAGGAAGCCACCGTGGCTTCCGAACCAGGTGCTGTATTCATTTGAGGTTAAGTCGACCAAGGAGAGGCCCAGGACTAGCCAGTCGTCACTGGTGTTGGACGTCAGCGGGAGTCTAACTCGCCTCGCCGGGTTGAAAGCACAGCGAGCTAACCACTACACTGCCACTCCCCACAAGCACACACAATCACACACGCCACGTCTACCATGTACACACACAGCACGTGCACCACGTACAGGTGGATGGCTAGGTGTTGGGTAGGTAGCTCGGTGGATGGCCAGGTCGATGGGTTGGTAATTAGGTGGATGGCCAGGTGATGGATAGGTAGCTAGGTGGATGGCCAGGTAATGAGTAGGTAGCTAGGCGGATGGCCAGGTGATGAGTAGGTAGCTAGGTGGATGGCCAGGTGATGGGTAGGTAGCTAGGTGGATGGCCAGGTGATGAGTAGGTAGCTAGGTGGATGGCCAGGTGATGGGTAGGTAGCTAGGTGGATGGCCAGGCGATGAGTATGTAGCTAGGTGGATGGCCAGGTGATGGGTAGGTAGCTAGGTGGATGGCCAGGTGATGGGTAGGTAGCTAGGTGGGTGGCCAGGTGATGAGTAGGTAGCTAGGTGGATGGCCAGGTGATGGGTAGGTAGCTAGGTGGATGGCCAGGTGATGGGTAGGTAGCTAGGTGGATGGCCAGGTGATGGGTAGGTAGCTAGGTGGATGGCCAGGTGATGGGTAGGTAGCTAGGTGGGTGGCCAGGTGATGAGTAGGTAGCTAGGTGGATGACCAGGTGATGAGTAGGTAGCTAGGTGGATGGCCAGGTGATGGGTAGGTAGCTAGGTGGATGGCCAGGCGATGAGTAGGTAGCTAGGTGGATGGCCAGGTGATGGGTAGGTAGCTAGGTGGATGGCCAGGTGATGAGTAGGTAGCTAGATGGATGGCCAGGTGATGGGCAGGTAGCTAGGTGGATGGCTAGATGGAGATCAGTCAACGTGTCGGAGCGGTCCTTGGAAGACAACTTTGGGATCTCTGTGCGTGTCGCCACAGGGATCCCGATGGCCCTGGCTGCGTGACCTTGACCGTAACCTCCCCCCCTACTACCACCCACCCGACCCGCCCCCCCACTCCGGAGCCCACCCTGGCGTTGTTGAGCTGGACGTGAGCGTATCGCTCCTCCTCTTCCTGCTGGGTCGATCTGTCCTTGCACTTGGCGAGCTCCTGCAGCAGCGCCTGGCGGCCGCTGTACGAATCCACGGACGCCTGCGCGCAGACAACGAGGGCCCCAATCCAACGCACTCAGTCCACGAACACATTGACAAGCGTGGCTGTGTGAGTGGACGATGAAAACATCGCGAGCGACGCCGATCACTGCTCTCACGTGGCCTTCTGACATGCATGTCGATCATTTATAGTATTTGGCTGCTGTACATTATTAACGTGATTAGCCACTTCGTTGAGCTATCAATCGTGGCCTGGTCGCTTCTGAAAAAAAAATGAGTTAATACCTCAGTGGGCTTTATCTTGTAAGATAAACAAAAAGTTTCGTTTCATTTGTGTATATATTTTTAAAGTAAATTTTTTTCTTTCCTATACTTAGCACTCCCATCGTGTTTTTGTACTGCCCCTACTGGACATTTGCGAAAACGAGCTTAATAGCTCGTCGGATTCCTCCAGTATAAATGCATTGTTTGATTTTGTACATTGGCATAGAGCACCATCACGCAAGGCGCTTGGTATAGTTTAAGAAACTTGTGACACAGAATGGAATGATGGAGATGGCAGTGGCGTGCGACGAGGAGTGAGGAATGAGTGACAGCAGCGATGGAAGGGGAACTTGCGGATCACGGATGGGCTCTATGGGAGGGACAGGAAGGAGTAGAGGAGGGAGGGAAGATAATGGACGATAGAGAAGAGGTGAGGCTTTGAGAGAGTAACGGAATGGAGACTGCTTATTGTACGAAGGAAGGGCTATCATATAGACTTTCAGTGTTTAACAAACGTCAGGAAAATTTTGACTTAAAACTTTCGTGACTGCAGGAATTCATGTTTTTGTTTCTTTCGGTAAAGTCACGAAGATAGAAAACAAAAAAAACATAATTAATTGGAAATAATAAAAGCTTTTATTATTTTCAATGTATTATTTTTAATTAATTTGATTATTGTTCTTTTTTTCTTTTCTATCTAGGTGACTTTGACGAAAGAACCAAGAATACATCAGACAAATGTTAACCCCCTAAACAGAATGAGTAACAACTAAGGGCCATGGCCCGAAACGTCGTCGATTACATAGTTTTCCCTCTACAGGCAGTTCCAATTAGTCATTTATACATGCTTGGTGTACCCGCTGGCGAACGCAGCAGCAGCGGCGTCGCCGAATCACGAAATTAAATGCATCGCCAGAGGTGACCAACGCCTCTCCAGCTGGGGCCCATGCGCAGCACCACCTTGTGGTGATGGGAGGCAATTGAAGGGACCTCGAGTAGATTCCACGATGTCACTTTCAGGAGTCGTTCTGGGGCACGTGGTGGTGCACTGCTCACTGGGAGGCAGGGCCGTCCACAGAGGGGATGCGGGGCCCGGCGCAAGTCGCGCTCTGTGGGCCTCTCGACGATTTCAAACGAAACTGAAAGTATTCTTGGTTCTTTCGGTAAAGTCACGTAGAAGGGAAATAATAAAATAAAACAAGAAAATGCTTTTTTTATTATTTCCCTTTTACGTGACTTTACCGAAAGAACCAAGAATATGAATCCCTGCAGTCACGAAAGCTTTAAATCGAAATTTAAACTGAAAGTATTACATCTGACACCGTGACGTCGAAGCGCAAGCCCCCCCCCCCCCCCCCCCCAAAGCGCGGGGCCCGGGGCAGTTGCCCCGATTCGGCTCTGCTGGGAGGTTTATGAATGGAAATGCGTGTTGTCTCATGACCACGTGACGCAGATACCAAAAGTGGATGATAAATGAGACGGAATAAAAAAAAGACATCTTGAAAAATACAAAATGATTCAACTCGACCGGGTTCCCTGCAAGCAGCTGTGTTAACACGGGCAGCACCCTGGGTTTCACATGCCACGGTAGATGATAACGACGCATTGATTAATTGATCAACGTCATGCGTGGGAATGCGCACTCGTGCTAACCCGGGTTATGAGTGTTGCGTGTTTATAAATGTACAGTACTTACTATTTATTACGTCTATATTCGGTATGTATGTTTAGTTAATTTATTTCGCGACCGCATGCAGCCGATCGTGCGAATCGGAGGTGCGGGGAATGACAACAAACTAACCACAAAAAGCAGTTCTAAAGAAATGAGTTTTTTTCAATCTCCAGTGGGTTCCTAACATTGGAAGGGAGAACGTTCCAGACGGCCGCATGTGGCTCCGTGTTTGCTTCTCTCTCACCTCACGTCGCCCATCTGTTGTGTACACGTCACTGTCCTACTGTAACTACATATCCATCTCGCCTGTATCTCGCTCCTGTCATCTCACCTCGTAATTATATTTTTTTACACCTTTTCATCTCACTACATTTCTGTAAACAAATTGTCTCTCATCTCACTACATCTCGATCTCTTCTCTATATCGCCTACATCATCCCACGACGAGTTATTCAATTGTGGATTTGCTCGCCCTCCCATCGCCCCCAGTGTTGATTGCTTAGAGGTCCTCAATTGGCCAGCACTTCCACTGCAAGCACGGCCAACGTCAGAGGCGAGTAATCAGTGGCGCAGTTACTACATTATCAGCTCAGGGGGTGCGGCAATCGGTCAGGTGGGGCCCTCAATTATTGATTTGTCTCGCACGGTCGCTCCCTCTTGCCTAATCACATCATCGTTACGCTCACGGTTTCTAACATTGAACGTTGCACTCCGTTTTCGCAAATGTAAGTTTTTGACGCTGTTGTTGAAAACAGATCTCATGGTTGCTTGTCAAGGGGGGCCCCAACTCGTAGCTTTGGCCACCAGTGGGGGCCATGGCACCCCGTGCCTGCCCCACGCTCGTTAGGCTCCTGCGAGTAATATCTGAACCGACACTGGGCCAAGTGTCTCCAGGACGAATTCCTGCTGCAGCGGTCGATTGGCGCAGAGGGCGTTCGACGATTCAACTCGACAATCGTTATCCGTAATCGAGGTTTTTTTTGGGGTTAGATCGCGTAAATATATAAATGTGTCGTTAAAACCGCCACCACCCGACACAGCCAATTAGTAAGGTTTGTCACGTGAACAAAACATGCCAATTAGTTACTAGTACAGCACAACGGTGTGTTGGAGAGTAAACACCACAACATTTACAACCAGCCTCATCAGGCGATAGCCAGAATTGTGGAGAAATACTCCTGTATCGGTCTTAAATAGAGAGATAAATGTGATGTTGTCAGTGTGAACAAATCAGGTGCGAAGACACGAGGGGGAGGGGGGGTGAATGTAGACATATAAATTACAATGGATATCTATTACGTTTTATTTACGTAAAAAACTTTACCTCCTGGCTGTGTCGGATGGTGGCGGGTTTCACCGACGCATTTATATTACGCGATCTAACCCCTTGGTCACGAAAGCCCAACGACTACTAATGCACCTCCGTGTTACGCTGAAAAATCGTTCTGACGACGCCCGAGTTCGGGCCCCCACGCAGGTGAGCGCAGAGGCGCGCGGGCCCTCGCGTACCTGCGCGTGCAGCTCTGTAGAACCAGGTGGCATGGCGCGCTGCTCAGACATGCACGCGGCCAACCCGTAGCGTCGCTCTTCAACCTCGTGACGGAAAAAAGAACAAAGTCCTCAATCCTCCACCTCCCGCGGCACCAGGAGGCGTGCGGCGAGAGGGACGGACAGACCGACAGTTCGACCGCTGTCACTTCCTTCCTCCTGTCCAGCGTGGCCTGGATTTGCGTGGCCGCTGATGATGGTGTGGCTGACGTGGGTGTTTCAGAGTGGTGGTGGTGGTGGTGCTGGTGGCGGCGGTGGAGGGCGAGGATGGTGATGGGGGTGGTGAGTGTGCGGCTGAGGGCACGGCGCTGGGTGGTTTGCCCGTTCTAATCTCTCCTAAGCTGCTGATGATGTTACAGTTGCTGCTCCACACGGCCGCAGGATGTCACCGCTCATTAGGTTGACATGCACAATCCCTTTCCTATTGCCCCCGTAGAAGATTACGCGGTGGGGCGGGGGGAAACTCTGTAAGGACCCGATTTGCGTGTGGACAAACCACAACAACGCGAGAAGAACGCATCAGCACCTTCATCATCAATCATGACCATCGTCATCTTCAGCTTCGCCTCTATCAGTGTGCCGGCGAGAAACAAACAAGAGAGATAATTCCAGGATTATAAGACGCTTCGGAAAGTAAGACGCACCGCATACGTGTGCCCGGCGTCAATGAAGTGATATACATGTGGTCACACACACACCGGATTATAAGGCGCACTCCTAAAATACATTACAACCAAGTGCGTCTTATAATCTGAATAAGGCGCCGTCCATAAATGACGTCACGCTCCTAGGGGGGGGGGGGGGTCAGACATTTGTGACGATGTATGACGAGGGGGGGGGAGTTTGAGAAATGTGACGTCACGTAAAAATGCGTAACTTTAAATAAATATAGACAACACGTTCTACTTAATTAAATCGACTTTTTAACGTGGTGTCCGGCCTGCACCCCAAGATGAGACGGTCCACAGGAATTGAGCTCCTCTGCATTATGTTTTTTTTTAGAAACACGGGCAAGTGACCCAAACCGTATGGAGCACAGTAGGCTCTGGCGAATGAGACTAACCCTTGTTCTCTCGCGACCTAACCCCGGTGAAACAAACTACACCTGAACAGTCAAGCCGTTATGAAATATCACTGTCGATCTAAAAGGCCCACTCAGCTATGTAGCTCGTTTTCAGAAGCCACCTGGCTACAAAAACTAGCTCAAAGAAGTGGCTTATCACCCGGAAATGTATAGCAGCCAAATACTCTAAACGCACGTTGATTCTAAATGTGGAGGGGAAAAACCCGCGTGACCCGGAGAAAAAAGAAACACACGCCACCGCGGGGAGAGAGAGACACGAAATCTCCAAACATACACGCGTCAGGGTCGGGATCGAACCCACGGCCCTCCTATATAGCAGGCGAGGTAGCTAACGTTCCGCCATCGTGGCAGGGGCAGGTGTCACATCAGAGGTGTCTACCTCCAGATTCGGGCGCTCCATCTCCGCGACGGTGGACGTCCTCTCGACCGCGTTCGCTGACTCATTTTACAGTGAGGGAAAAAAGTATTTGATCCCCTGCTGACTGTGTACGTTTGCCCACTGACAAAGAAACGATCAGTCTATAATTTTAATGGTAGGTTTATTTGAACAGTGAGAGACAGAATAACAACAACAAATATCCAGAAAAACGCATGTCAAAAATGTTATAAATTGATTTGCATTTTAATGAGGGAAATAAGTATTTGACCCCTCTGCAAAACATGACTTAGTACTTGGTGGCAAAACCCTTGTTGGCAATCACAGAGGTCAGACGTTTCTTGTAGTTGGCCACCAGGTTTGCACACATCTCACGAGGGATTTTGTCCCACTCCTCTTTGCAGATCTTCTCCAAGTCATTAAGGTTTCGAGGCTGACGTTTGGCAACTCGAACCTTTAGCTCCCTCCACAGATTTTCTATGGGATTAAGGTCTGGAGACTGGATAGGCCACTCCAGGACCTTCATGTGCTTCTTCTTGAGCTACTCCTTTGTTGCCTTGGCCATGTGTTTTGGGTCATTGTCATGCTGGAATACCCATCCACGACCCATTTTCAATGCCCTGGCTGAGGGAAGGAGGTTCTCACTCAAGATTTTACGGTACATGGCCTCGTCCATCGTCCCTTTGATGCGGTGAAGTTGTCCTGTCCCCTTAGCAGAAAAACACCCCCAAAGCATAATGTTTCCACCTCCATGTTTGACGGTGGGGATGGTGTTCTTGGGGTCATAGGCAGCATTCCTCCTCCTCCAAACACGGCGCGTTGAGTTGATGCCAAAGAGCTCTATTTTGGTCTCATCTGACCACAACACTTTCACCCAGTTGTCCTCTGAATCATTCAGATGTGCATTGGCAAACTTCGGACGGGCATGTATATGTGCTTTCTTGAGCAGGGGGACCTTGCGGGCGCTGTAGGATTTCAGTCCTTCACGACGTAGTACGTTACCAATTGTTTTATTGGTAACTATGGTCCCAGCTGCCTTGTGTTTCTTCAATTTGCGAATATTCGCACCAACTGTTGTCACCTTCTCACCAAGCTGCTTGGCAATGGTCTTGTAGCCCATTCCAGCCTTGTGTAGGTCTACACTCTTGTCCCTGACATCCTTGGAGAGCTCTTTGGTCTTGGCCATGGTGGAGAGTTTGGAATCTGATTGATTGATTGCTTCTGTGGACAGGTGCCTTTTAAACAGGTAACAAGCTGAGATTAGGAGCACTCCCTTTAAGAGTGTGCTCCAAATCTCAGCTCATTACCTGTATAAAAGACACATGGGAGCCAGAAATCTTTCTGATTGAGAGGGGGTCAAATATTTATTTCCCTCATTAAAATGCAAATCAATTTATAACATTTTTGAAATGCGTTTTTCTGGATTTTGTTTTTGTTCTTCTGTCTCTCACTGTTCAAATAAACCTACCATTAAAATTATAGACTGATCATTTCTTTGTCAGTGGGCAAACGTACAAAATCAGCAGGGGATCAAATATTTTTTTCCCTCACTGTAGCTGCCACTCCGTCGTTAGTCTCGATATGCAAGGCAAGGGGTAGGTGGATCACGTAGAGATTGTAAAACTCCCACATCGTCTGGCCTGCGAGGTGGCCACGAGAGGGCAGCACAACAAGCGGGTTCGTGAACCCATCTGTGCGGGACCTTCGAGTGATATCCCCTCGTGCGCGTTGAGGTTTTTTTCTTTTCTTCCTCCGTATACTCCGGTTCCCTCCTGAGTGAGGCTGTCTTGGAACAAGTAAAAATAACATTACGACGTGGATGAATACGCTCCTTAGGGATGCACTCACTGGGTCGGAATTTAATGCCCCTGGGTCGCCAAAGCCGCTACTGACGATGCATGGCGATGGTCTTGCGCTGCTCTAAGCATGGCGCGCGAATACAAAGTGTACTCACGATTCTCGAGGCTCCGTAACATGCCCTCAGTCCATGCGAGGTCAATTGTCTGCAACAAACAGGAGCGTAACTAGCGTGGGGGTGCCTTCCCCCTCCCCCCCCCTCCCTCGTGGCCAACACTTAAGAGTTGGAAACCGCCATGAGGAATGTTTTCAACAATTTTGGGGCCCCACCTGACCAATCGCCGCACTCCCTGAGCTGATAATGTCGTCACTACGCACTGGCCACGAGGATCACATTAGTGGTAGAATATATGACCCGGTTTTGGGCTTCCCCTGTAGGTCGACTCAGGCTTAGAGCTGTCTTTGCGCGTGTGAACGGTACGGGGAGCGAAACAGAGAGAGAGAGAGACACGGATTTTAAAGGTGAGAGAGCTGGTGGGAGAAGAGAGAGTGATTATTTACAACATTAAACTAAATACCGACACAAGGAGATAGAGACTCACGGGGATGGAGACTTTTATTTACTAGGTAAAAGCCACTGAGCTATTCGCTATTTGTCGGAAGCCACCTGGCCCCAAATGATAGCTCCACGAAGTGGCTTATCACGTGGAAATGCATAGCAGCTACGTTTCTCCTTAAATGTGGAGGGAACACCCAGAGGGCCCGGGGAAATCTCCACGCGACCTGGCTTCAGTGCCCTGAATCGAGCCTACGATCTCCTTGCGTACCATGCGAAGGAGATATCATGTCGCCACCGCGGTGCCCCCCAAACACACGGGGAACGGAGACAATCCCGCGACCTGCATTCGCCGATGAAACCCACGGCGACTGCAGACGTCACTGCGCGACTTTGCTCACGGGAAAAATGCAACCACGCTCAGCGGCGGACCGAACGATGCTGCACACCAACACGGAACAACATTGAACGACGCGGCAAAGACGAGAGAGTACGTGGATTCTGCAACGAGAGACCCGCGTCACAGGGCTTCTCTCCCACAGATGTTCACACAGCCAGAGCCGCGCCATGCCCTGCCAGCCCAGGCAGGCGAGCACATGCGTCGTGTGCACGCGGAGATGCCGCGATTACATGTGTTTTGTGACGTTGACGAGCTTCCAAGGCAAGCGCGTGTGTTGCTGTAACGTGCCCTCGTAAGAGGATTATCGAAGTGCCATGTACAGTACGCAGTGGCATGACGAAGCGGTCCACTGCTGGACTGATAAGGGATCCCCCACCCCATGCGGGTCGTGGTGGGCGAAATAATGTCACCATACTTCACCACGCTGGTCACCGCGGGTTGAAGGCGGGCGGCATAGAAATGCAGTACACCGGTGCAACGGTCCCGGCAAGCCCAGCTCTAGCTTCTCAGATCTGACGAGATCGGGCGCATTCTCAGTGATTTAGTCATGGAGGCTATAGACGTCGATTAATACGTGTAGCAAATATCGCTCGCAAATTAATGCTCCTGATATTGGCGTTTGCACGCAACCGGAATTCTCCACGAAGTGATGGCGACGTCGCCACGGCGCTTGTACCAGGCTAGTTGCACTTTGAGGCCACGTGAAGCGTCGAAGGCTCGCTGGCAGGAGATCATGGGGCAGACCCAGGTACCATGGGTTGACTGAAATGACTGGGAGATGCACCAGCCGTGCCCCCCACTGTGCCAACATTTGCAGCCAGCACGTGCGCCGATTATAGTGGCCAGTTCATCCCAGTGTTCCCCTATCCGGGGAGATGGTCGGCTCCATTGATTGCATTTACGAAGCGACAGCTGCCAGGCTGTACCAACCCCCACGGGGACACGAACCAAACACGTGATGCAAGCGCACGAAAATAATAGGTATTTCCTTTATTATCTTTGTTTAAAAATGTTGCAGTTTCTCTTCCAATGTAATTTTACACGTGCCGCCGACGTCACGAGACGGACACAATTCCATTCAGGACTCCCGCAAGCAGCGAGCAGTGCACGACCTTGTGTACCAGAAGTGGTTCCTAAACCTTTGGCTGTCAACACCCCCGACCTAACCCCGATCACTTCTTACCGTACCAATGAGTACACACCATTATAACATCGGTATTACATTCACACATTATCAACACCCTGCACATTTAGTGAACACTCAATAAGTTAACAGCAAATGCACTTAACTATTTACAATTTAATATGTACACCGCAATTGCTCTTTACAAACTACTGATGTCGAGTTAATTTAAGTTTAGACTCACTACCATCGTCATGGGACACGGGGGGAAGGCCGATACTGCATGTGCCGAGATGTTCTGACGACCGCGCAGACTCGGTTCTGTTTATTTGTAAAAAAATAATAATAAGTATCATCAACGAATGCTAAGCGAGTGCGAGAAGAATGATGTCGGGACACGGGGTCAGGTCGGGTCGCCCGATGTTGCGCAACGCCAAGGCACGCGACGTGAGTATTGCCGTGCACAACGCAGCCCCAATGTCACCATCGCCACTACGCGAACTGTCGCGCGTACCCCCCCCCCGCCCCCCCCCCCCGCCGGGAATATGTCACGAGCACCCCCAGAGGTACGCGCTTACCCCGGCTAGGGGAGCCGCTCTGTTAGAGATGCAGCCGAGCAAGAATACGTGCCGTGGTTGCCTATGAAGTCTCGTCACTCCAAGCTATTCAATGTAACTTTATAGTTGTTGCTCTACAAACCGGCGTGCTTCATTGCAAGTGCGGCCCACGACAAGTGGTGGTCACGGTGGCGAGATGTTAACTACCTTGCCTGCGATGCAAGACGTCGTGGGTTCGATTCCAACCCTGACACCTGACGAAATGGTTCTTACTGAGCATGGACTTACACCACCGGGCAGGGTATGAGATGCAATGCACTCACACCCAGCGCATGCCACGTTAACAATGGCACTACACGTGTACAAATGTACAACTCCAGTAACTAATAATGCGCACGTGTGTGCGTGTGTTTGTGCGCGCGCGGCAAGTTGGCACAGCAAGTTGGCACAGTAGGGGGCCCAGATGGTGCATCGACCAGTCATCTCAGTCAGTCAAAACAATGGCACCTGCGCCTGTCCGGTGACCTCCTGCCAGCGGGCGCTCGACATTCCACGTGGCCTTAACGTGCACATAGCCTGGCACGAGCGCTGTAGTGACGTCCCGCCACTTGTGTGGTGTTAATGAATGGGCGATCTGAGTTCGGTTCCAGGCCATGGCTACATTCAGTGGCGAGTAATAACTGTACCGGTCCTGGGTCTCTTCGAGGTAGACTCAGCCTTAAATGAGGACCTGGTGCGGTGTTTAAAAGCCAGCACAGGGGAGAGAAAGACGGTCTGCTGTGGTGATGGTCACACCACGCGCGCCGTGCCGGCCTTAATAGGTGCTCGCTGACAATATTTGCCCCAAGAGCCTGTTAAAGGCTATAGAGTACGGGGGATATGTGTCTTGAGGTGTGTGTGTGTGGTTCGCACACTGCGATACAAAGCCTGCAGTTCTAGCTTCAACCACTGACAGCACTGCAGCAATTGGTAACCAAGCAGAACGTGGCCCTCCCCGAGGTCGACTCAGCCCAACATGTTTACCTGCTGCAGTATTTGTGTGCGTGATTGTGTATGTGTACTGGTGGCGCATCCACCAGTCATCACGGTCAATACACGGCACCCGGGTCTGTCCCGCGACCTCCTGCCAGCAGCGAGTCATCGACGCTTCACGTGGCCTCGGAGTGCACCTCGCCTGGCACGTGGCGGCTGTTGCTGCGTGGACGACGTTGGTTGGGTTGAGACGTAGGCGATCCGGCGTGGCTTTGGCCACATACACACCACGCACACCACTCTCTCACGTTTCAGTTGCGGCCTTAATAGGAGCTCGCCAACAGTACTTGCCCCAAGTGTTTGGCGACGAGGCCGCGTGTCGAGCGGCGCGGTGTCTGTCTGTAAGAAATCTCCCTCGTGTCCCACCAACCCTTGCCGACCTCGATGCGAGGCCCGGGTCAGCGATTCTGAAAGTCCAAACTCTAGCAAAGGATTATTCCTTTGTGTGTTTTTTTAACGTAAAATGAGAATAATATTTGATATGTATCATACATATATACATGGTAGTGTGCGTGACGTCTTCACTCCATCATCGTCATCATGGCAGCTGCGCATTGCGTTCACGTGAACACAATGCGCACGGTAGCGGAACATCGTCGTCCCAGTCCGACCACCGCCGATAACTCGTTCTCGATGTGCAAATGCTTCGCAAAGATCGCTCAACGAACACGGTAGAGTTAGAATGTAAACAGCCGCTCTCACGTTTAACAAGTTCTCCCTTGTTTGGGTATAGCAATCAAACACACGCAGAGACGGGACTGCTTGTCCCGTGGTGGTAGAGGCACCTCGGAGTGAGCTGCTAAGCAAGCCGTGGAATCGTGGACGACTGACTTCCAGCCTCCCTCTCTCGGCTGATGGGAACCCCAGCGAGGCACGGCCCGTCAGAGGGAACTGTTACCGAGTTCTCTTCGCCTTGAAACCTTCACGGCGGCTCTCATTGTGCTGACTCTCCTCCACCACCACCACCATTCCCTCCTTCACTACTCCCTCCACCTCCACTCCTCCCTCCACTTCCACTCTTACCTCCTTCACCTCCACTCCTCCCTCCTTCATCTCCACCCCTCCCTCCACCTCCACTCCTCCCTCCTTCACTCCTCCCTCCAACTCCACTCCTCCCTCCTTCACCTCCACTCCTTCACTCCTCCCTCCACCTCCACTCCTCCCTCCACTTCCACTCCTCCCTCCTCCACCTCCACTCCTCCCTCCTTCACTCCTCCCTCCACCTCCACTCCTCCCTCCTTCACCTCCACTCCGACCTATCTCAATTTTGTCCCCATTGATGATCTTTTTTGAAAAATTATTAAACTACCAAATTAGCAGTTTCCTGTCCACCAACAATCTACTACATCAAAAACAATCTGGGTTCCGAAAACAATACAGCACCACATCTGCTGCATTAGACTCTCTGAATCAAATTTACAATAGCCTTGATAATAAGCAGTACTGTGCCTGTCTCTTTCTTGACCTGTCCAAAGCTTTTGATACAGTTGACCACAACACCCTGCCTAGTAAACTAAGTTGCCTCGGTTTTTCCGAAAACACAGTAAAATGGTTAAACAATTACCTCTTTTCTCGCACCCAAACTCTATTCACAGATGATTGGAGGTCAAACAGTGTTAAGATAACAAAAGGGGTTCCACAGGGTTCCATCCTCGGCCCCCTCTTGTTCTCTCTTTATGTCAATGACTTGGGCACTGACCTGGATCATTCCAGGGTAAATCTTTTTGCAGATGACACGATACTGATTACTGCTGGCCGCTCTCCGGATGACGTGATTGCTAAGCTCCAGGGTGATTTCAACAAACTACAACATCAGCTAGTTTCTCTTAAACTAGTCCTGAATACCTCCAAAACCAAGGTGCTATGCTTCTCACCGGGACATTCCTCGAATAATTATCAAATAGAGCAAGTCAAGATCTATAAGTATCTTGAGGTCATCCTGGATTCAAAACTGAATTTTGAAGATCACATTGATTATATTGGTAAAAAGACAAAAAAATTGGTTTTCTGTATCGACAGAAGCACTGCTTCCCCCCAATGTTCCGTTTGGAATTGATAAAAGCTACCATACTGTCTCTACTTGACTACTGTGACATCGTGTATAAATCAGCAACAAGTACTGTACTGAAGAAGCTTGATTCCATCTATCACTCTGCCTTAAGATTTGCATTGAACTGCCCATATAGGACTCACCACTGTGATCTCTACATTGGGTCAAACTTATCATCTATTAATGTTCGACGGCTTGTGCACCAGATCTTATTTATTCACGATGTACTTACAAAAAAATCCGCAGACTACCTACTGGATCTCCTCTCTGTTTTAAAGAACAAATTTGACCTCAGGTCTTCGCTCATTTAGCAGCTTCACATTCCTTATTGCCGTACATAAACCGGAGGAAGGGCCTTTGCTATTGATGCCCCCAGGGTCTAGAATGCTATTGCCAATAAACTGCAACTTGAATCACTACCTATGAGATCTTCACTCAAAACTGCTCTAGAGGAGTTGTACACCCCTAGCTGTCGCTGCAATTCAGTGGCCTAAAATATGGCTCTAGGGTTTGGTGTTATAATTAATTTATGTAGTTTATTGTTAAAAATCCGGTCACAGTCCCTATGATCACTGTTACGTTGCAATTATGGCTTTTATTTTGGTGATTTCGAAAACGTTTTTTTGGTTTGGCCATGTTTTTGTTTATTGTAGTACGGAGTTAGACTGATGGCCTTAATCTTAGTTGTCTTGTGGTTGTTGTTGTTATTTGACTTGCATCCCACTGGGATTTTTGCACACAGCGTTGGTGTACGGTGCTATTTCAGGAATATTTTGATGTTTTTTTCCTGGATTTTCTGTTTGCACAGTCACATAATCACTTTAAGATGTTTTCTTGATCATGTTTTTGTTTTTTGTTTGTTGCGGTTGCACCCGATTCAAGAGCCGAATGGCTCACAGGGCTGTACCAAATTAATGGAACTATGGAACACTCCACCCTCCTTCACTCCTCCCTCCACCTCCACTCCTCCACCTCCATCCCTCCCTCTACTTCCACTCTTCCCTCCTTCGCGTCCACCCCTCCCTCCACCTCCACTCCTTCACCTCCACTCCTCTCTCCTTCACCTCCACTCCTCCCTCCTCCACCTCCACTCCTCCCACCTCCACTCCTCCCTCCTCCACCTCCACTCCTCCCTCCTTCACCTCCACTCCTCCACCTCCATCCCTCCCTCCACTTCCACTCTTCCCTCCTTCGCGTCCACCCCTCCCTCCACCTCCACTCCTCCCTCCTCCACTCCTCCCTCCACTTCCACTCTTCCCTCCGTCGCGTCCACTCTTCCCTCCCCCACTTGTACCCCTCCCCCCTTCACTTCCACCCCTTCCTCCACCTCCACTCTTCCCTCCACAGACACTGCTCGATCTTCCACTGAAACCCCCCCCCCCCCAAATCTCCCAGCCGCTATCTGCACCACGCCAGCAGATGGCAGCACAACACAGGACCGATGTTCTCAACTCGGGCTGAACGAAGAATCGATTTTAAATTTAAATCGCAATTGTGAAACAATGCGATTAGCAAATCGCAAAGGCTGCGATTTTTTTTGCGATTTGAAAAGTCCTATTACTTTCTTATTGGAATTGTTTGATGATTTATTATTATAACTTTATTTATTTAACCTAACAATTGTTCCATGTTTGATTGTTCTACTTCAATTAAAACACTTTAATAAATACATGTTGGAAGCAATTCATATCTTTTAAGTTCTCATCCTTGCCCCAGAATATATAGAGCAGTTCATATTTTGATGGAATCATGTGGTAATGCTCCATTACATGTTTACATCTATTACACAGTGAATATTGAACTGAAACTGACTTAAAAAAATGTAATCACAAATCAAATCGCAATGTCAGAAAAATCCCAATTAGATATTTTCCCCAAATCGTTCAGCCCTACTCCCAACTTTTTAGGGCTGAGAGGCTTTACCGCTGTACTCCAATTGTCACGCCATCCGAAGCTTCACGGGCGCCTATCAACACCACTGCTCGTGCACTTCCTGACGCAGCGTGTAGTAGAAAACAACAATACACACGACTCGATTGTCTCGACGTGCTTGCCCAGCCAATCTCTTCACCAGGTGAGCTCAATCAGGCGAGCTACGACCTGCCTCCTTATCTCGAACACACCGACCGGGCTGCACTTCGCGACCACCTCTTCCATGATAGTGGAATTTAAGAGTTGCCCAAATGTGACTGTGATGACCGGAAATCCATCACTCATGTTGCGCCGTAGAGTATCACATGCTTTTCAACCAGGTGATAGTTAATTCAGGTGAACTCTAATCAAGGAGAGATCTCATCCAGGTGATCTCTCAACCAGGTGAGCTCTCAACTAGGTGAGCTCTAAACCAGACAATCTGTCATCCAGATGCACTCTCATCCAGGTGAGCTCTCAACCAAGTGAGCTTTCAACCAAATTACCTCTCATCCAGACGATCTCTCATGCATGTGAACTCTCAACCAAATGAGCTATCATCCAGCTGACCACTCCGCCAGGTGAGCTCTCATACAGGTGAGCTTTCAACCAGATTACCTCTCATCCAGACGATCTCTCATCCAGTTGACCTCTCAACCAGGTCAGCTCTAGCCATTGCGACTCAAGTTCCTTTAATACGGGCGGGTTGGTGCGTGACCCGACCCCAGCTCAGGAGCGCCCTTCTTCTCAAACGTCCTCGCCCGGATTGTCAACCCGGCAACGGCACGGCGAGGGAACGACCTCCAAGCGGAACTCGCTCACATGGCGGTGGACTCATCTTGCTCACTCAGCACAACAGCGGACTCATCACAGTCGCTCAGATGGCAAACTTGCCTCAATCCCTCAGATGATGGTAGACTGATCGCATTCGACGGTGGACTCACCCCACTCGCTCAAGACGACGGTTGGACGAAAGTGTTCTCGTTGTCACCTGCGCTCAGATGGTGGTGAACCGATTCTACTCGTCTCAGATGACGGTGGACTCGTCTCAGATGATGGTGGACTCCTCGTCTCAGATGATAGTGGACTCCTCGTCTCAGATGATGGTGGACTCCTCGTCTCAGATGACGGTGGACTCCTCGTCTCAGATGATGGTGGACTCCTCGTCTCAGATGATGGTGGACTCCTCGTCTCAGATGATGGTGGACTCCTCGTCTTAGATGATGGTGGACTCCTCGTCTCAGATGATGGTGGACTCCTCGTCTCAGATGACGGTGGACTCCTCGTCTCAGATGATGGTGGACTCCTCGTCTCAGATGACGGTGGACTCCTCGTCTCAGATGATGGTGGACGCCTCGTCTCAGATGACGGTGGACTCCTCGTCTTAGATGATGGTGGACTCCTCGTCTCAGATGACGGTGGACTCCTCGTCTCAGATGATGGTGGACTCCTCGTCTCAGATGATGGTGGACTCCTCGTCTCAGATGACGGTGGATTCCTCGTCTCAGATGACGGTGGACTCCTCGTCTCAGATGATGGTGGACTCCTCGTCTCAGATGACGGTGGACTCCTCGTCTCAGATGATGGTGGACTCCTTGTCTCAGATGACGGTGGACTCCTCGTCTCAGATGATTGTGGACTCCTCATCTCAGATTATGGTGGACTCCTCGTCTCAGATGATGGTGGACTCCTCGTCTCAGATGACGGTGGACTCCTCGTCTCAGATGATGGTGGACTCCTCATCTCAGATGATGGTGGACTCCTCGTCTCAGATGACGGTGGACTCCTCGTCTCAGATGACGGTGGACTCCTCGTCTCAGATGATGGTGGACTCCTCGTCTCAGATGATGGTGGACTCCTCGTCTCAGATGACGGTGGACTCCTTGTCTCAGATGATGGTGGACTCCTCGTCTCAGATGACGGTGGACTTCTCGTCTCAGATGATGGTGGACTCCTCGTCTCAGATGATGGTGGACTCCTCGTCTCAGATGATGGTGGACTCCTCGTCTCAGATGACGGTGGACTCCTCGTCTCAGATGATGGTGGACTCCTCGTCTCAGATGATGGTGGACTCCTCGTCTCAGATGACGGTGGACTTCTCGTCTCAGATGATGGTGGACTCCTCGTCTCAGATGACGGTGGACTCCTCGTCTCAGATGATGGTGGACTCCTCGTCTCAGATGATGGTGGACTCCTCGTCTCAGATGACGGTGGACTCCTCGTCTCAGATGATGGTGGACTCCTCGTCTCAGATGATGGTGGACTCCTCGTCTCAGATGACGGTGGACTCCTCGTCTCAGATGACGGTGGACTTCTCGTCTCAGATGATGGTGGACTCCTCGTCTCAGATGACGGTGGACTCCTCGTCTCAGATGACGGTGGACTCCTCGTCTCAGATGATGGTGGACTCACCACTGTGATCTCTACATTGGGTCAAACTTAACATCTCTTAATGTTCGATGGCTTGTGCACCAGATCTTATTTATTCACGATGTACTTACAAAAAAATCCGCAGACTACCTACTGGATCTCCTCTCTGTTTCAAAGAACAAATTTGACCTCAGGTCTTCGCTCATTTACCAGCTTCACATTCCCTATTGCCGTACAAAAACCGGAGGAAGGGCCTTTGCTATTGATGCCCCAAGGGTCTGGAATGCTATTGCCAATAAACTGCAACTTGAATCGCTACCAATGAGATCTTCTCTCAAAACTGCTCTAGAGGAGTTGTAAACCCCTAGCTGCCACTGCTATTCAGTGGCGTAACATAAAATAAAATGTTTCGCTCCGGATGACGCTGCAAAGTATTATCTGTATTTTGATTTAGCATTCTGATCTTAAAGGTGCATTGAAAAATTTGATACTCCGACTGATTCTTCTGTTGTTGTGGAGTAACTCTTGCAGCCAGCTCTGGCTCTAGGATTTGGTGTTGCATGTTATTTATGTAGTTTATTGTAAAAATCCGGACACAGTCCCTATGATCACTGTTACGTTGCAATTATGGCTTTATTTTTTGGTGATTTCGAAATCGTTTTTTTGGTTTGGACATTTTTGTTTTTGTTGTAGTACGGAGTTAGACTGATGGCCTTAATCTAAGTTTTCATGTTGTTGTTGTTGTTTGACTTGCATCCCACTGGGATTTTTTGCACACAGCGTTGGTGTACGGTGCTTTTTTCAGGAATATTTTGCTGTTTTTTTCCCATGGATTTTCTGTTTGCACAGTCACATAGTCACTTTAAGATGTTTTTCTTGTTCGTGTTTTTGTTTGTTGTGGTTGCACCCGATTCAAGAGCCCAATGGCTCACAGGGCTATACCAAGATAAATAAACTGAAAACTGAAAATGATGGTGGACTCCTCGTCTCAAATGATGGTGGACTCCTCGTCTCAGATGATGGTGGACTCCTCGTCTCAGATGATGGTGGACGCCTCGTCTCAAATGATGGTGGACTCCTCGTCTCAGATGATGGTGGACTCCTCGTCTCAGATGATGGTGGACTCCTTGTCTCAGATGACGGTGGACTCCTTGTCTCAGATGATGGTGGACTCCTTGTCTCAGATGACGGTGGACTCCTCGTCTCAGATGATGGTGGACGCCTCGTCTCAGATGACGGTGGACTCCTTGTCTCAGATGATGGTGGACTCCTCGTCTTAGATGATGGTGGACTCCTCGTCTTAGATGATGGTGGACTCCTTGTCTCAGATGATGGTGGACTCCTCGTCTCAGATGATGGTGGACTCCTCGTCTCAGATGACGGTGGACTCCTTGTCTCAGATGATGGTGGACTCCTCGTCTTAGATGATGGTGGACTCCTCGTCTTAGATGATGGTGGACTCCTTGTCTCAGATGATGGTGGACTCCTCGTCTCAGATGATGGTGGACTCCTCGTCTCAGATGATGGTGGACGCCTCGTCTCAGATGATGGTGGACTCCTTGTCTCAGATGATGGTGGACTCCTCGTCTTAGATGATGGTGGACTCCTCGTCTTAGATGATGGTGGACTCCTCGTCTTAGATGATGGTGGACTCCTCGTCTCAGATGATGGTGGACTCCTCGTCTCAGATGACGGTGGACTCCTCGTCTCAGATGACGGTGGACTCCTCGTCTCAGATGACGGTGGACTCCTCGTCTCAGATGACGGTGGACTCCTCGTCTCAGATGACGGTGGACTCCTCGTCTCAGATGATGGTGGACTCCTCGTCTCAGATGATGGTGGACTCCTCGTCTCAGATGACGGTGGACTCCTCGTCTCAGATGACGGTGGACTCCTCGTTTCAGATGATGGTGGGCTCCTCGTCTCAGATTTCGGTGGACTCCTCGTCTCAGATGATGGTGGACTCCTCGTCTCAGATTTCGGTGGACTCCTCGTCTCAGATGACGGTGGACTCCTCGTCTCAGATGACGGTGGACTCCTCGTCTCAGATGATGGTGGACTCGTCGTCTCAGATGATGGTGGACTCCTCGTCTCAAATGACGGTGGACTCCTCGTCTCAGATGACGGTGGACTCCTCATCTCAGATGATGGTGGACTCCTCGTCTCAGATGACGGTGGACTCCTCGTCTCAGATGACGGTGGACTCCTCGTCTCAGATGACGGTGGACTCCTCGTCTCAGATGACGGTGGACTCCTCGTCTCAGATGACGGTGGACTCCTCGTCTCAGATGACGGTGGACTCCTCGTCTCAGATGACGGTGGACTCCTCGTCTCAGATGACGGTGGACTCCTCGTCTCAGATGACGGTGGACTCCTCGTCTCAGATGACGGTGGACTCCTCGTCTCAGATGACGGTGGACTCCTCGTCTCAGATGACGGTGGACTCCTCGTCTCAGATGACGGTGGACTCCTCGTCTCAGATGACGGTGGACTCCTCGTCTCAGATGACGGTGGACTCCTCGTCTCAGATGACGGTGGACTCCTCGTCTCAGATGATGGTGGACTCGTCGCGCGAGCTGGAGGCCCGGTACCCGCCGGGGCTGGACTTGTGCAGCAGGGACATGTGGGTGGTGAGGCCGCCGCTGCTCACGCCGTTGCTCATCATGAAGGAGGAGTGTTGCTGCTGGTGGCGCTGCTGCTGATGGTGGTGGCGCCCGCGCCCACCGCGCTCCAGGAAGCGCTGCACGTGCCAGCGCCGCCACTTGCGCCGCAGCTCGCCCTGTACCTGCACGACCACAACGCGGAGGGGGGCACATTGGATGACACCATGCCGATTCTACCGCGCGGATTGAACTTCGCGGATTGAAACGCACTCCCGTGAGGCTTCAGTTAGGGGCAGCGCGGAGGGCCTGGTGTTTTGGGGAGGGTAGACGGAAACTTCGTGAGGTCTGGTGTCGGTGCGTCGTTGGTTCACGTGATCAGGGTTAGGGCTGTCGATAGTGATTTCTGAGACAGTCTGTTAGGGGTTACCGTTTGTGACAGCGTTTGGTTGGTTCTCGTTTAGGGATAGTTCTGGGTCTAATTGGATCGGTCCTTGGGCTTAGGGGTGGGCCCAGTGCCTGACTGGGTAGTGTACTCCGCCGTCTCTCCCTGCCCCGCTCCCCCCCACCAAATTCGCAAGCACAAAGTATGTGCCCAGTACTCTTTGGTTCTATTGGGTAAAGTCACGTAGGTGAAAATAAAATAACAAAAAATCACGACGTTTCGGCCACAACACAAGCGGCCTTCATCAGGTGAAGTGACGAGACTGTCTGGAGGACAGACTGTCTGGAGGACAGACAGTCTCGTCCCTTCACCTGATGAAGGCCGCTTGTGTTGTGGCCGAAACGTCGTGATTTTTTGTTATTTTATTTTCACCTACGTGACTTTACCCAATAGATCCAAAGAGTATGGATCCTAGCAGTCACGAAAGCTGTAAATCTAGAATATGTGCCCAGTGTCTGCATGTCGTCATCCCTGCCCACGCACCCCCCTGCCCCCGCCCCCTGTCCTCGCGTCTGGACGCCCGCGCCAATCGAATGGGGGGGGGGGGGAGCGATCCACCTCACCTCTCCATTGAGGAAGCAGTAGAGGATCGCGACCACAAACCCCTGCGGACAGACAACAGTGGCGGGTCACTCGGTCGTGCTTCTGCGTTGAGACCGTGGGCGAAGGGCAACTTCGCTGCGCTATGCATGGGCTGCAAACGATATTTGCTCACTTTAAACTTTCATTCGAGGGCATTTCTCCATTTAACATTCACAGGTTCGTGTAGTGTTTCCATGTTTTCTCCCTCAAAATGCAGTTGCTTTGGCTCAGACTTCTAATTGCTTCATTGCTGTACTTTATTTCATTTAAATAGCTATGATCATGTTGGTGACAGCCCATGTTATTCTTGCAAAAGGAGACTATATCCTGGTCTCTGGGAGTTCTCACCCGCTACAACAAATCCAGTTGGCCAGGACTTGTAAGTCTACGTTCAAATTAGTTGGCCAGGAAATGGCTTCAGTTGATGCGTGATGGATTGCATCTCAGAATTATTATTTTTTTCATACTGGAGGAATCCGTTTGCGCTGCAAAGCTATTTTTCACAGATGTCCAATAGGGGCAGGTCATAATGTAACAACAACAAACAAAACGAGTGCAACGTATAATAAAAGTAAACAAATCGCTTAAAAATATATATACAAATACAAACTAAACAACGTTTTATCTTACCAAGTCAAGCCCAGTGAGCTATTCGCTTATTTTTCAGAAACGACTTGGCCACGTGTGATAACTAATCCTCCGTTGAATGTTCAGAGTGAGTCACTGTGGCTCTTTAGGTGGTCAATGGCCTGGCCAACGTTTCCCCTGTTTGGCTGGTAGGGCCAATAGCTTTGTGTGAGAGCGCCTGACCCACAGTTAAAACTTCACCAGTTCGTCTCAGACTCGGCGCATTTAGCACGTCTCCCTGGTGGATGTTTAGGTGAGGCCTTCATCCAACAGTGGATAAATCATAGCTGCTGTTACTGTTGATAATGATGTAACATGAATGCAGATACTATAATAGGATGACGTTTTGGGCAATGGCCCATTTTCAGAATGCAGAAAGAGCCAAGGGGCTGACTGCCCTATAGAAGAGGGGTTGACATCGTCACACTTTGTGTTGCCTTAACGAATTGAATTATTCGATCCGTGCTGAACATGCTTGGGAAAATAAAACTTTTTAACTTCACATCTCCGAACTCTGACCCTACCACAGGCAATCATAGATCCCCCCCACATACCTATATTCCATTAAAACACATTCCCCGTCTGGTTCAGATAATGCAGCCAAGCAATTCCTGTCACAATACACTTCTGCCGTTCAAAAGAAATATATAAAACCCTCGAATAGATACACGCAGCTCTGCCTGCCCAAATTGAGGTCAGCAAATGTCACTCAATGTCGATCAACTCATTTGCCTCTAGCCAAATCGCTCGCCTCCATCCATCCCTCCCTCTCCCACACACCCACCCTCACTTCTCACCTTCCCTACCAACCGTTCAAGCTCACTTCGCGCCGGTGAGCTTAACGGGTGCTGAGGCACGCTCTCCGTTCCTCTGTCGACACTGCTGTCCGTCTGTCTGCTCGTCTGTCCGTTCGTCCGTCCGTCAGTCTGTCCATCAGTCTATCTCTCCCTCCATCCATCCGTCTGACCTACCTCCCTCCCTCGCTCCCACCATCCCACTATCTATGCCCTAATTAACAGATTGTAGTTGAGCGGTGGCTCAGCGGTTCGCATGCCAGCTTATACACAGGGCCGGTCTCCTAAATTCGATTCCCGACCCAAGGCTATCCCCCACCCGCCGCTCGCTCCGAGCCCCCCCCCCCCCTTCGAGCCCCCCCTCCCCGCCCCCCCCCTCCATCTCCCACCTGGAATGACCCGAGCGCCAGCTCGAAGTAGAGACGCACGCGCGTCGCCAGCTCGCTCGCCTCGTCCGGGAAGAAGGCGAACACGATGTAGTGGACTCCGAACAGCGGGATCAGCAGCAGCGTCGACTTGGCCAGGCGCCTGCGCAGACACGGACAGCGATCACAAAGATCGTCCACCCCCCACCCCCCCCCGCCGCCGCCGTGTAGCCTTCACGGACTGTTGGGGGCTGTTGCCGAGTAGCAGCACGAAGTCCGCCGGCACGGCACGCGACGCAGACGCTTGAACGCACGCGTGAACACTTGTGAACGCACGAACACACGCACGTGTGCGCAAGTGAACGTGCAGGCACGCACGTGGAGATGTGACAATGCACACAAGCACGTAAACATTCAGGTGAACGTGTGTACATACACACAAATACCACACAAAGATCCCCCGTATAGCCTTAACAGACTGTTGGGGCAAGTGCTGTTAGCGAGCACCTATCAATGCCGGAACGGTACACGAGGGCGTGGGCGGCCAGCACCACGCCCGACCGCCTTTGTCTCCCCGGTGGCGATGTTTTCACACCGCACCCGGATACTCATTCGAGGCTGAGTTGACCTCGGGGAGACCGATGACCGGTTCAGATATTTGTCACTGGCGTTGGCCGTGAGCGGGAATCGAACTCTGGTGAATCGCGTTCGTAGCCCGGCGCTAACCTCTGCGCCACCACTCCCACTAGTGGCCAGTGAGGGCGCTGGCGCACACGCGGCGGTGGTTTGGGGGGGCAACGGGGAGCGGTGGTGCAGCGATTAGCGCACTGGGCTACGAACCCGGCGACCTGAGTTCGATTCCCGCTCATGGCCAACACCAGATTATCTAAATCGGTCCTGGGCTTTCCCTAGGTCGACTCAGCCTCAAATGAGTACCTGGTGCAGTGTGTGAGGGGCCGTCCATAAATGACGTCACACGATTTTGGACGATTTTTGACCCCCACCCCCCCCCCCCTTCGTCACACGGCGTCACAAAAAGTCAGACACCCCCCTCAAATATGACGTCACAAAGCTCTGCCCCCCCCTCCCAAAAAAAAATGCTTCAAATCGCTTTAAACTATTGTCATTGTAGTGCGTATTTAATGTGGCGCTGCACTCTGATTTGGTAGGAGACAACATTTAGTTAATTAAGTAGAACGTGTTGTCTATATTTATTTAAAGTTGCGCATTTTGATGTGACGTCACGTTTCTCAACCCCCCCCCCCCTCGTCACACATCGTCACAAATGTCTGACCCCCCCCCCCCAAAGGTGCGTGACGTCATTTATGGACGGCTCCTAAACATTGCCATTAGGGAGACAAATGCGGCCGGGCGTGGTGCTGGCCATCCACCCCCTCGTGTTACGTCTATACCGGGGAAATTTGTCTTTGATACTCTGGTGATGTTACGTGGCATGCAGTTGTGTAACTGTGGGTTGTGTTTGGATGTTTGAGTGCGTGTTGACATGTATCAGTGCGTATGTTTGTATGCATGTATGTGTACGTGTGTCTGAGACATCAGTCAGTCAGCCCATAACACGTGGGTCTGTCCCGTGACCTGCTGCCAGTGAGCCTTCAACACTACACGTGACAGCCTCAGTGTGCACCTAGCCTGGCACAGGCGCTGTGGTGACGTCACAGTTGCTGCGTAACGAACGCCAGTTGTGATTGTATATTGGCACTAGGGAGACAAAGGCAGCCGGGCGCGGTTAGGACCACACCGCCTCTGTGTGCGCGCCGTGGCGAACTTTATAGGTGCTCGCTAACGGCACTTGCCCCAACGGTCTGTCGAAGGCGACACGGGGGGATTGATTGTCTGTGCGAGTCCCTTACTTGTAGTGGCTGCTGCTGCTCCCGCCCACGTCTGAAGAGCAAAGCTTCTTCACCAGAATGCGGATGATGCCGATGAAGAACAAGAAGTTGATCTACCGACACAGCAGTCCCCGCGCGTCACACGCGTGAGTCTCCTGCGCGTGAGTCCCCTGCGCGTGAGTCTCCTGTGTGTGAGTCCCCTGTGTGTGAGTCCCCTGTGCGTGAGTCCCCTGTGCGTGAGTCTCCTGCGCGTGAGTCCCCTGTGCGTGAGTCCCCTGTGCGTGAGTCCCCTGTGTGTGAGTCTCCTGTGCGTGAGTCCCCTGTGTGTGAGTCTCCTGCGCGTGAGTCCCCTGTGCGTGAGTCCCCTGTGCGTGAGTCCCCTGTGTGTGAGTCTCCTGTGCGTGAGTCCCCTGTGCGTGAGTCCCCTACGTGTGAGTCTCCTGTGCGTGAGTCCCCTGTGCGTGAGTCCCCTACGTGTGAGTCCCCTGCGCGTGAGTCCCCTGCGCGTGAGTCCCCTGTGTGTGAGTCCCCTGTGTGTGAGTGTCCTGCGCGTGAGCCTCCTGTGCGTGAGTCCCCTACGTGTGAGTCTCCTGTGTGTGAGTCCCCTGCGCGTGAGTCCCCTAAACGCACGTTTCTAAATGTGGCATGCGTGGCGGTGTTTTTCTCTGGCTGCTCTCCGTTGCTGTCTCCCGCGCGGAGCGCAGCGGCTTACTAATGGAATTCGGCCAAACATCTCAAACGCAGTCCCCTCCTCGGAACGTATCGAGACTCACTGCAGTGACGATAACGTGACGTTATGGTCACTGAATGCGCGTTATTAAGATAAAGAGCTTGCCGCGGGAAGAGAGGAAACCACAAGGGAAAACGAAGTGGCGAGCACAAAAGCAGCAGGATCGGGAATGGGAATCAGGGCTGGCAGCTCGAGGTGGCTGCACTACACTGTTGTGTAAGGGACGTGGAGACGATGGGCAGGACAGCAGTGAGCGACGACAGAGGATGAGGAGCGCATATTGCGCACGAGTGGACAATACGGACACTCCAGAAGAAAATAGGATGTTGTTGAAGAATGGGTATACTATGTGCGCGTGTCCGTGTGTTGACGTTCACGGTCCAAGTGGACTGCGACCCTCGAAGGAACGGCGCTGCCAACCCCCCCCACCCACCCACCCCGATGATCCGTGGATCACACAAATCACTCGAGATGCCGGTGTACGGCAGCAAGAGCAGTTTATGCGAACGATGTCGCAACAGGTCACGCATTCGGCGCGCAAACACCCCTTCACTGACTAGACGTGACGAATGAATGTGTGTGTGTGCGCACACGCGCGGGATAGCAAAGTGTGTGCGCGTGTGTTTGCTCGAGCCGAGATACGTACGAGGATGGACAGCAAGATGGGCCCTTTGATGATCCACCACAACACCAGGTTGCCCTTGTTGTCCCAGCACCTGCGGTGGAAGAATCACGGTGTCCACAGCAGAGGGCTACCCAACGCGTCGACGATGACGACGGGTCACGTGAACACGGAGCTGCTCACCAACCACGCTCCTAAGATTCCGCGGATTGTTCCGATTCAGGGTACGCACTTGAAGGCAGTGGTTCTCAATCGGGGGTGCGCGGATCCCCCCCCCCCCGCCCCCTGGGGGGTTACGTGGCAATGTCCCGGGGGGGGGGGGCTACGTGAGATGATTTACATATGTGCGAAATTATGTCGTAGATGAAAGTCGTTGGTGAATAATTAGGTATGAGCCTGGCACTATAAAAAGAAAACTACGATAAAATGTCAACCACATGGTAACCTACAACGATATAAAAGACCTTTACAGACTCAATTGTCGTGAACAATGCCGTTTCCAAGAGTAACCAGTGAGCGCAAACACATTACGTCACGCGTGCAGAGCGTCCGTTAATTTTTTGTATTCGCTTGCTGGTTAGGACACCTAACAAAATGGACAATTGGTTAAAATGTTCATTATGCATGCATTTATTTCTCGCAAACATGTTGGGTCAGGCAATGGGGGTACTCTACTCTGTTGAAACAAAATTCAACAGTAGCCAAAAAATGATAGTCTCAGTAGCAGCGTGGTATCAGAATCTGCCCTTGGCCACCTCCTAAGTCGACTCAGCCTAAAATGGTATTCCCTAATTGCGATTTGTGGACATCAGCACTTGAGAACCAATCGCAGCCAGGCCATCTCCCTTAAAGCACCGTTCCGGCCTTACTAGGTGTTCGCTGACAGCGTTTGCCCCAACAGTCTGCATGGATACACGGTGAGGGAGAATGGGGGGGGGGGTCTTTGTTGTGTATACGGTGTCTCTGTACAAGCCTCAACACACCGCAAACGGGCAAACATTGACAAATGAGGTCTCGCCAGAACCATAAAGACGGTCGTAAAGGTTACATGACAATAACATTGACAAATTGGCCATAAACCTTTTGAGGAACTAAAATGAATGCGAATGCATGGGGTTAACCAACTTGAAATATTACAGCAAAACCCGTCGGGGCCAATTTGAAATCAATCACACGGAATAACATCGTATCTGCAGAAGACAAGGATTTCATGAGCCTTCCTAAGATGGTTTCCTACTCAATGATGTCTACACAGTCCTGCTTTAGTCATTTTAGAATTACCTATACAACTAATCTAAACTATTTTTTGTTTTATTTTACCAGGTAAAGCCCACTGAGCTATATAGAGCTCTTTTTCAGAGGCAATCTGGCCACGAATGACAGCTCAACGAAGTGGCCTATGATGTGGGAATTCATAGCAGCCAAATATTTTAAATGCACGTTGATTCTCAATGTGAAGGAAAAAAAAACCGTAGGACCCGGAGAAAAATCAACGCAACCACGGAGAGAGAGAGAGAGACACGCAAACTCCAAATATACAGCAGGCGTCAGGGTCGGGATCGAACCGACGACTTCCTGTGTACCAGGCGAGGCAGATAACATCTCGCCACCGCAGCGCCACAGTAATACATATATTGCCCGTTCCATTCAAAATTAGCCAGGACCGATCGGCCTTTTATTGTGGGCTTTTCCGTTTCGTCCTCGGGTGGATCGATAGCTCAATGTTAATCTGCCATTTTATTAAGGGACCACTGCTGTGGTGTTATCTTGCTGTGGTCTGAGACCGCTTTATATTATTGTTTTTTTATGCCTTGCCCAAGCTTGATAAACCTGACATGTTGTTTTGTTGGTATTGTTTGCTGTAATAACTCGCTGACCTGCTCCATACTGGGACATCGTATCCCTCCACCAGTCTAAATAAAGATTCCGATTCCGATCCCGTGCATTCTACCTGCTGCTGTTTTTTTTTCGCGTTGCCATTTTTCGAATGCAATCGCTCAATTCATTGTCAGTGCTCTTATAATTCATTTTCTCGCACGTAAATATTTCAATTGATTTGAACGAACCGATCGTTAACACAGGCCCCACATTAATGGCACTGGCCCAACGTGCCAGGAGTCAGGACCTTTGCCTGGATAAACAGAGGACGATGTTGCATTGTTGTTGTTATTACTCAGCAGGGTTGCCGCTACGGAGTCATGGTTCGCAACTCCGTACTCGTTGTCGCTGGGTTCGAGCTCCCGGCGCGGCGACTGAGACAACGGGGCAAAGTTTCGTTAAATGCACGACCTCCGGTGCGTGCACCCAGCCCGTACAAAAAGAGGGTTCTCGCCCCAGTGAGTCGATGGGCAGGTCGCGTGCGGCGGGGTAAAGAGCGGGTGCTCGTGAGTCTGGTCAGCGTGGAAGAGGAGACCAAGACACCCACGGGAGGGGTGCCCTCCAGAGCTCGTTCGAGTGAAGGTTCTTCTGCCAGCAGTCGTGTCACTGACCAGCGGCAGGGCTGCGCCTCTAGCTGATATTCTCGATAAATTATGTAAATTGGCACTTAATTTGATTATCATAGATCTATCTCAATTTAATATCACTCCGCTGTATCTGTTCCATTCTGTACTTGTCTATGGGGTTGAGCGGTGGCGCAACGGTTAGCGTACTGCAATGAGGCAATAATTTTGGCGACCCGGGTTCGATTCCCAGCCACGGCTGACGTCGCCGACCCGCAAGCGACAGGTGCGGGGAAGTGTGGCCAAAGCAACCCCGCCACGTACAACCCGACACACGCAACGGGGCGACGGGGGGCGGGGGGGGGGGGCTTCACTCAGCCGTGGGTTGACACGGAGGGCGCAAGTTTGTGTCGGTGATATAGCAGGGCTTACCCGGGGGGCCGAAATGGTGCCCTCGCCTTCGCATCACCGGCATCTCTCATTTAAAATCTCTCGACTTAAAACTTTCGTGACTGCAGGAATAAATATTCTTTGGTTCTTTCGGTTAAGTCACGTAGATAGAAAAATAACGATACAAAAATAAAGTGAATAAAAAATAAAAAAAAACAGTAATGTAGACTGTAGCCTGGTTCTTAATCGGAGTGAGTGTACTGGCAATCTGTAATGTAGACTGTAGCCTGGTTATTAAGTTTGATGAGTGTACTGGCAGTCTATAATGTAGACTGTAGCCTGGTTCTTAACCTGAGTGAGCGTACTGGCAGTCTATAATGTAGACTTTTTATTGGTTCTTTCAGGAATATTAAAATCTCTCATTGCGCCGCGATGCAGCGATGGTCCACTGGAGCAATGTTAAATGTGTACATTTACGGCTCGCCTGAACTGCGACCGGGGCTGGCATCACGGCTATGTGGCTCAGCACTGCCGATACCACCCGGGGGGAGGGAGGCCGTGGGGTCGAGCGGCGCCGTGATTTGTTAAAGATCCGTGATTTTGTTAACGATGGCGCTCGTGGGGTCATCTGCTGCACCTCCTCGCCTACGGGGGCCCCATGTGCAGCCGCGTCCGTCACCGTCACTTTCCCGCACCTTTAATTAACAACGACCGCCATTCGCCACGGTGACGTCACCACGACGCTTGTGCCAGGCGATGTGCACGTTGAGACCACGTGAAGTGTCGAACGCCCGCTGGCAGGAGGTCACGGGGCAGACCCAGGTGTCACGGGTCGACTGACTGAGATGACTGGCTGATGCACCACCTGTGCCCCCTACTGTGCCAACTTGCTGTGCTTTAGCCACCCGGCGCTCCGCTCGTTGTTGTGAGCGTCGCTCCTCCGCCCTCCGTTGTTGTTGGAGGGCGACTGCCTCCAACTGCCCAGTAGCAGCGTCCTTCACGAGCCTCCTCCACAGAGGCCGACCTTGACACCGCTGGTACCAGTCATCAGCAAGTCCACTCAGCTCCACATCCTCCTGTACCACATCACTCCATTTCTTTTCTAGCCCGTCCCACGCCCGTTTAGCCCCCTCTATCCGGCCGAGCAAAAGCTGTTTCGGCATGCGGCGACTGGACATGCGGGCTACATGATCCAGCCAATGCAGTCTTGCCTGCCGGAGGAGCTCATCGATGGGACTTTGTCCAGATCTTTCAAGGATTGTGAGCTCCTCACACAATCCAGCCTGGTTATACCCAGGATGGATCGTAGGCAGGCCAGGCTGAATGTTTCTAACTAGCGAAGATGTTCCATTAGTGGGGTCCACGTTTCGCAAGCATAGAGAAGGGAGGGAATGACCATGGTCGAGAAAACCTGAAGCTTCGTGCGGAGTGACAGACCAGGTAGCTTCCGCACAGTGTCACGCAACCGATGAAAAGATAATTCCGCTCGACTGATTCGGAGTGAGACCTCTGCTGTCAAACCAGAGCCGGTCATGAGCACACTGCCCAGGTATGGGAAACTCTCCACTCTCTCCACAACTGCCCCACAACCAATTGGGAGATGTGGGGGTGGAGTGTCCGATGGTACAAAATACCCAGGCAGGTGCTTAGTTTTGGTGGGGCTGATGGTAAGGCCCCACCTCTTCGTGGCACGCTCCAGGTTCATCAGCAGCGCCTCCAACTCCTCCTCTGAGTGAGCGGCAATTACCAGATCATCGGCATACATAACGTGGTTGACCAATAGGGAGCCATCCCTTAACCGCACCCGGTAATCGATCAGCCTCCCATTGTATCTGTACCAGATGGAAATTCCTCCGATACAGCCATCGAAGGCTTCAAGAACTACGTGGTTACAGTCTGTGCGGTCCCCCTTCTTAAAGAGGGGGACCGCACAGACTTATTAAAGAGGGGGACCACTAGGGCATCCTTCCAATCCTGCGGAGCCCATCCAGTGGTCCAGACTGTTGTTATTATATCATGTAGTGCAGTTTGTGCACAAACGCCACCCTCCCTCAGAATTTCGCTTGGGAGATCATCTCTGCCCGGTGCCTTTCCTGGTCTCAGACTCATGCTCGCCTTTAGTAATACCTCAACAGATTGCACCTCAGCCAGCCACTCACAGGGGGTGACTTCTTCTTCTTCCAATATTTGAGACACCGCAGCCTCAGCAGGGTCATCCTTACTTTGTCCCACAATGTTTTCCATGCCGAGGGATTTCCCCTCCCCCAGGACTTCACAGAAATGCTCAGCAAATCTGCAAACCTGTTCCTGGGGGTCGGAGATCACCGTTTCCCCCCTTAATGATAGTAATAGGTGTGTCGCTGCAGGTTACTTTTTAAATCGAGTTTAATAGTGATTTGTGGTCGCGGGCCATTAATTAACGGCGCCCCCAACAAACGCGCGCGATTATCCCCCACCCCAAACGCGTGCACTCTTCGCTCGCTTTCGTGAAGTAAAATAAAAACCAGACAAAGTGCATCTGCGTGTCCCTCCAAGATCGAGAAATGAAATTCAGCACGTAGACTTTTCCTGACAAAATGATACGGTTCACACACTGACGTTTTTTTTTTTGGGGGGGGGGGTGGGTCAGCTGGCCGCGTGAGTAATACGTGCGTTGTGTGTGTGTGTGTGTGTAACGTAAACCTCCGCCACCCGACACAGCCGACGAGTCAAGTTCTCGTGTGATGAACGACCGTGGCCAAACAATGACTGCTTCAGCACGCCGGCTTGTCAGAGAGCAAATCCGCGATGCGCTCTCCAACACACCGGTTTGCGATCCACGTGTCAGAACCAAATAATGGGCACTGATCGAAAAGGCACATTGGTTTGTTGTTGCCCCATCGTCGAATGCAGTTTTACATAGAAAGTCCAAGCTGCTCACTCTCGCCTGATATAAATGCAAACATATGCATGTATTTACTTAATTGCATTGCGTATCTAGCACTCTAACTGTATGACAGTCACGTGTAAAAGCTTTCGCTAAATCATATAAAACCAAACTCTCGCCTCTCTAGTTCACAGCCTTGATCCCGGTCCGCATTTAATCATCCCGCCAACGAACACATTGTGTCCATACAGCCTCAGTCGTCGTTACCCGCAGAAAGTCGCCTCTCCTTATAAACGAATGCAGTGCATTCCAGCAAATCCCACCAAACAGATCAAGGACTCATACTCTTTGGTTCTATTCGGTAAAGTCCTGCACTGCGTCGGTCATGGAATTGTCTTTTTTTGTTACCATACTTCCACCACGCTGGTCCAGTCCTGGCAGGGAGAAAGCAGGAAGAGGGTCGGAGCCGGTTCTGCTTTCACTCGCCAACGACGTTCGCCATGAATCGGGAATCGAACTTGAGCCCGCCTGATTTAAAACCCCCGCACGCGAACCTCTGTGCCACCGCTCCACCCGCAGGTTCCTCGGGTTAAGACGACTCGCGCCCACCACGAAGAGCCACATTTCTGCTCTCCGACAGCCGTCCGTGGCCTACCGCCACGACCGTCGACCCCCAACTTATTATCCAAATAAATGTCAGCACTCGACACCGCGTGACGATATTTACCGCCGACGCGCAGAGGTCACCTTCATTACCCCCCCCCCCCGCCCCCAATCCCAATCTCCCGTCCGCGAGCGTCACTCCCGGTGCTCTCGCGTTAATTGGCGCCACCGCTTGGACATCAGCGACAGGGAGCGCGCCAAGCAGCGAGCGAGCGGGCGAGCGAGCGGGCGGGCGAGCGGGCGGGCGGGCGGGTGCCGGCACCCCGGCTCGGGTGAAATTCGCGTGGGAGGCGGAAAGCCACTGACGGTGCTGACATTTATCGCTGTCCGCACGGCGTGCCGCTCACCGACACAATAACGCGCTGCTTACACTCCTCCCCCGCTGCCCTGCCCCCCCCACCCCAGCACCAACCAACGGCCGCTAATGCCCGCTGTGGTGATCACCGCCACGCTGAGAAGGTTACGCTGATGTTGGTGTCAGGCAAGCCAGGTTCTCTCAGGCAAGTTTAGGGCTTTTTCATCTCTCAACCTCCTCGACGCATCGCTGCAGGTCAACGAGCTTTATGTCACTGTCCTCGCAAACCCTACGCGTTTGTAATTCCCTCCCGTCGTTTCTCATTCCAAGTTTTTTTTATTACCTCGCTCCATTCAATAGACGTATCAATAATTACTTATCACGCCCTCAATAATGTTGTTTGTTGCTGGCCGTTGGGGTCTTTGGACCTTCGATTTTTGACCATGCTTCACCATGCTGGCCACTGCATATTGGATAAAAATGGCTGGGAGCGGGACCAGATGTCTTCCTCCGTCAGATTCCGGGCAAACATTGCCCCACGTGTCCACGTCGACAGAAACACAACGCGTGGCGGCCGGGAGTCGAGGTGGCCGCTCTCTCCGCGCACCATCCGCCTTGCCAGCTCTCCCCGGGGCCTCTTTTGTTTCCGAACGCGCGCTGATTGTTTTTGATCTGCCCGCCCGGTGATTTATTCTCAAACTGAGGCCAAAATAATGCAACAACGTACACGGTGATTCGGTCTTGTTCCTGAGTGTCCGCACGCGCGCGAGTATGTGTACGCCGAAGTGGTTAGCGCGCCGAACTGCGAATTCAGCGACCCGAATTCGATTCCCGCTCACGGCCAACACCAGTGATGAATATCTGAACCGGTTCTAACCTCCGTACCCCCCCCCCCCCCCCAGGTCGACTCAGCCTTATATGAGTACCTGGTGCGGTGTGTAAACATCGCCACTTGGGAAACAAAGGCGTTAGGGCGTGGTGCTGACCTCGTGTGACGTGCGAGCCACACGAACAGCACTTGCCCCAACATTCTGTTAAATCTATACGGGGGGATCTTTGTGTTTTTGCGCGCGCGTGCGTGCGGAACTGGGTGAATGGGAGAGTGGCTCTACGAGAACAAGAGTGCTCCAGAGAAACGAGACAGAGAGGGACACGAGAGGAGCTCCGGCCACTCTGACAAAATTAACGAGCTGCACCTGAGCTCAGGAACAAAAAGCCTCTTGCCGGCATTGGCAGTTGTCGGCTACCGAACGAGGGCTCTTGTAATTTACGCATTTATTTCTTTCAAACCGCAGATGGATACTTGCTTTTAAGTCCTTTATCATTCTGACTTGTGCTTCTTGTTGTCCCCTGCCTGAATACAGGAGCCTTCCGAATCCACCCCAAACGCATGCTCCCCTGCAGCAGCTCCTTTGCACGTAAGTATCATGCCGAACTTCTTTTGCACCGTACGTAGACAACCGTGCTAATCGGAGTTGTGGGGGAAGGACAACAAACTAAGCGCCAAACGCAGTTCTAAACGAAATGAGTTTTCAATCTAGATTTAAAAGTGCACAGCTACAGTGGCTTCCTAATATCGGAAGGAAGAGTGTTCCAGCCGGACCGCAGAAGTGCGTCCGAAAGCGCGCGATGCGGTGACCGTCCTTGTTCGATGGCGAACCCAAAGCCGCCGCTGCTACTGCCGCTGCTGCTGCCGCGTCTTCACCGTCGGTCGCGTGCCTCACGCCAGGCCGGGCCTACGACCAAAAGAGCCCTGAATGCGCCCCACGTCTCACCGCATCTCAGAAGCTCGTGCCGGGTCGAGCTTGATTATTAGCGCTTTGATTGGAGACCGCCTGGGAACAAACCGGGTGTCGTCGGGTTCTGCTGCGACGGCGCGTTACATGAAGTGGCTGTACATGAATGCATTATTGAATCGATCTGCGTGGAGACGTTGAGTTGTGTTATCCCCGTTGTACCGGTGGGGTTTTCTCTGGGTGCTGTGGTTTGCTCTCACACGGAGCCAAATGCTCGATAATGGCATTGGCCAAACATCTAAATCCAGGACCCTCCTGAAAATTAGTCTTGAGACTCCGTGAGTCTGGGGACATAGCCGTGCATTAATAATAAATCCTTCCTTTGACCTGTTGTTCGTGGAGGATTTTTGACCATACTTCACCATGCTGGCCATTGCAGATCGGTAAACACGAGTGGGGGCGATGGCAGGATTACTCGCCAATGATGTTAGCCGTGAGCAGGTATTAAACTCAGTCCCATCAGTTCCTAGAGTAGTGTGCTAACCGCTGCACCACCGCTCTGTCCAGGATTTCCAACAAGAAGCATGTAAAGTGGCTTCGCTTGTTCGCACGAATAAATATTCTCCTTCTCACTTATTCGAAAAAAAGAATTAAGGGACGTCTAAATATTTGTCCTGGTCTTGAGCGGGATGATTAGAAATATTATTCATCCATCCAACTGATGTGTGTTGTGTGTGTGCGTTTGTGTGGATGCACGTGTGTGTGTGGGGAGCGGCAGTGCAGCGGTTAGCGCGCTGTGCTACGAACCCGGGAACCCGAGTTCGTGATCCGTTAACGACCAACAACAGTGGCGAATATCTGAACCGCATATGCGCCTCCCCTAGGTCGGTGCAGCCTTTACTGAGTAGCTTGTGCTGTATGAGTAAAAGCCAGCGCAGGGGATACAAAGGCGGTGGGCCGACTGTGGTGTTGGCCGGTCCTCACAGACGCTACTCATTTACAACAGCACTCGCCCAACACGGGCACAACTATGTGGGGAGGGCGCGGGGGGAGGGGGGGGGGTTATTCTGCAGCGTTATGCGACGCATAGGGGCCCAGTCGGCCACAAGAGGGCCCAGAATCAACAGTCAAAAAAGTGTTACGTGAACAAAGTAATATTCATGACAAAAATTACCTGCGGTCTATCATGGACTAAGCCCGATGAACACATCTTGGCTATCGTGGCAAGAGAAGAGCAGCAGCAAGTTCCCACGATCCCACTCCTAGACCGATGGGGCCGGCATGAAACCAAGCCCCACGCTAACTTAATTGTCAGCATCGTACATTTACATGTTGTTATTGATGCTGTCACTGTGAGACTGCCTTCCTCTAAAGCCAATACAGGGTGCAACTAAAATAACAAAGGTAGTTATAGCCTGACACATTTCTGTACACGGGTTAAAAACCATCTGGAGTAGCTACTTCAGTAAAAGTGAGTCGGGGGGAGAAATGAGAGGGGGGGGGGGTCCACAATCATATCTTGCATAGCAACAGTCTGTTCAAGGCTATACGAGGAGGGGGGGGGGGGGAGCATCCTTTGTCTTTGCAGGTGGGGACGTGTGCGGCTGCCTACCCAGTGTCCTCGTAGACCACGCGGCAGACGGTCCACACCACCACGAAGACGGCCGGCGTCCCTGCCGCCCACGCACATGGCAACAACAGCAGGGCAGCAACACCCATATTGGGATGGCTATTTATTTATAATAACCCGCTTCGCTTGTTTACCCCGCCACTCCCCGTGGGAGAGACCCCTCACGGCGCTCGGGGAGGGAGGCTAATGGCACACGCGTTGTCAAGAGCAGATGAGAAGCTGCAAAAAGAGAGCCCACACCTCGTGTGGTTGATGAGCCCATTACAGTTCGTAGCATAATGTCCCCTTTCCATATTTGTTTCTCCATGTAAAAAAATCAAACGTAACAAAAAATATGTATGTATATAAACCACCCAATGGCTGCACATAGCCTTCTGACAATGCATCGTAAAAGTAGCATCGGTTCTATGCAAGCAAACTCTAGTTTTCTAACTCTCCAGAGTTTTGCTTGCATTGAACCAATGCTGCTGCTAACTCCCCATGGTTTTGCTTGGATTGAACCAATGCTGCTGCTAACTCCCCATAGTTTTGCTTGTATTGAACAAATGCTGCTGCTAACTCTCTAGAGTTTTGCTTGCATTGAACCAATGCTGCTGCTAACTCCCCATGGTTTTGCTTGCATTGAACCAATGCTGCTGCTAACTCTCTAGAGTTTGCTTGCATTGAACCAATACTGCTGCTAACTCTCTAGAGTTTGCTTGTCTTGAACCAATGCTGCTGCGACTCCCCATAGACTTGCTTGCATTTAACCAATTCTGCTGCTAACTCTCTAGAGTTTTGCTTGCATTGAACCAATGCTGCTGCTAACTCTCTAGAGTTTGCTTGTCTTGAACCAATGCTGCTGCTAACTCTCTACAGTTTTGCTTGCATTGAACCAATGCTGCTGCGACGCTTGAGTGCGCTGTCTTCCGGACAGTCCTGTTTCTTCACCTGAGGAAGGCTACTTGTGTTGTGGCCGAAACGTCGTGAGAATTTTATTCTGTCATTATTATTATTTTATTCCCATTCTACGTGACTTTACCGAAAGAACCCAGAAGGTGGGTAGACACATTTGGAAGGGAGGCGTTATTCATTTAGATGTTTAAACTCGTGCGATAGTACGCTGATGGCTGTGAGAATGTCCAAATGGAATGCGTTTATCTCCTGACAGCATAATTGTAATACGAGCGAGGGGGAAAAGCTACGATTTAAAAAAAAAGTTGCAACGATTCAAAAGACTCTGAAAATATCCTCACGACCATACTGGCTTGGTGAGGCGTGAGGCGACAGGATGGCACGGAGGAAGGGAGGCATGGGGACGGGTTGGGGGATTGGGTGGTTGTGTTAGATTTGGCTGGAGAGGGATGGGGCGATGATGATGTAAGAGTACTAAACACATTTGGCGGATGGGAATGGTGCCTGGGGGGGGAATGTCGACCACAGAGATGGAGCGAAGACATCGGCTCACGTGCACGTCCTGGGCGGAGCGTGAGATCACAAGGGGCCGTGCGAGGAGGCGACGGCTTGGTGAGCCCTTCATCCAGCTGTGAATTTGGTCACGGCCGATGATGATGATGATAATGAAAACCAAACGCCCATTACGAATAGCGAGCAAAACAAAACAAATATCAAAGTGTAATGTCCATGCTCTTGACGAACAGTCTACGCATGTCTAGAGCATTTAGCTATCATTTGTGTCCAGATTGCTTTGGAAAAAAGGGCTTTAAAGCTTGCTCAGTGGGCCTTAACTGGTCAAATAAAAAAAAGTGTAGTGTATCGTTTTACTGGGGTTTACACGTGCCCTAGCTTTCCCATGGATCGTCCTCACTTTTGGAGTAGCAATGCCCAGACTCAACGCTAGGCATCTGTCAACATCTGACGAGTTTGGGTCAGGCTTAAGGTTACCACTTGTCCCTGGGGAGTCTGAAAGTCTTCCCCGGGCATTAACAGTCCTGGATAAAGTAAGTTGCGGAAAAATGCACCACTCAAGACATTGCATGCCAATTTAGTTCCCCCTTTATCAGGTATTGTGAAATATTCTTCTTCCCTCGATATTTACAGATTAAAAAAACATATCTTTACATGAGGTGACAATAAAAAAATAATTTATATTTTTAGTTTACAGTAGTCACACTGGCTCTCTCACCCCAGCCGATGATGATGTAAGAGTAGAAGTACTTCCTCTCGGAGAAGAAGGAGACGAGGAGGAGCGTGTGAAGGTAGAGGCCCTCCACCAGCAGCCAGCTGAAGTTGGCCATGATGCAGTACTGGAAGAACACCATGACGACCTTGCACGTGGCCTGCAGCGAGCAGACAGAGAGACACGGACCGCGGGGTCCATGGTCTTGCCATCGCCACTCCGAGCGTCCATCCAAGCTCGGAGGTTCTCCACGTCAATACTTTTTTTTTAATTATACCAGGTAAGGGCCCATTGAGATAATTAGCTCTTTTTCTGAAGCGACCTGGCCACAAATGATAACTCCGCGAAGTGGCTTCATCGCCACGTGGACATTTATAGCATGTGGAGGGAAAAACCAGAGGACCCGGCGAAAAATCAACACGATCACGGGGAGAGAGACATGCAAACTATACAGCAGGCGTCAGGGTCCGGATCGAACCCACGACCTCCTGTATACCAGGCGAGGTAGTTAACAGCTGGCGACCGCCGCGCCTCACTCTTCTCTGTACGAGCACAACTCTTAGCATCCCTTTAAGACCAATACACAGCGCTTACTTTCACATTTACCTAACTTTTTATTTTCTGTCGCCTCTTGCTCTCATTTCATGTTTTCGGTTCGCGCGTGTTTCGCTTATGACCATTAAACACCTCGTTTGTTAGTTGTGCGATATCCCTTAAGGATCCCCGCTGCTGTACTTGTCCTCTGCAATGTTGATGGGTTTAAGAAATATATTGTTTTGATTTAAAGCTTTCGTGACTGCAGTGATTCATATTCTTGGTTCTTTCGGTAAAGTCACGTTGAAGGGAAACAATAAAATAATAATATATAAAAAACAATAAATTTCGACTGCAACACAAGCAACACAAGCACCTGATGATGACTGCTTGTGTTGCAGTCGAAACGTCGTGAGAATTGTATTGTTTTATATATATTTTATTATTTTATTGTTTCCCTTCAACGTGACTTTACCGAAAGAACCAAGAATATCTATTGTTGTTGATGTTATTGCTGCTGTGCACCACGGCACCACGGATCTCCCGTGTAAATCAGCCTGACACGTGGCAAAACGGTAATCGTCCGTGTTATGAATGGAATAAACCAAACAAAATTAAGTTGTAACAACGCTCCACGAGCCTGATTATCGGTACAACTCGTGCCACGTGACGTTGGTAGCGTTGATAGTGCCAGAACCTACCCTCAGCCGCCTTTATCTGCGCAGTGTTTATGGTCACACACCACACCAGGTCCTCATTCGTGATGGCTACGCTCAGATACACAACCAAGACAATGATCCTCATGTATAGCCTTTAACAGATAGTTGAGGCAAGTGCTGTTGACGAACACCTATGAAGGCTGGCATGATGCACGAGCACCGGTGGATTGGCTAACGCTCGCCCGACCATCCTTTGTTTGCCCATCGCTGATATTTACGCACCCCACACACACACACGCCCAAGGTACTAATTTACGGGTGAGTCGATCTATGGGGAGTCCCAAGACCGTTTCAAATATAATCGCCGTGAGCAGGAATCGAACTCACGTCGCCAGACACACACGCACGGACCTCACTCAACACAAGTGGGCCCATGAATACCATGAGCAGCAGGACGCGTTCTCGCTCATGCTGCGTGTGTGTGCGGTGCTGAAATGTATCAATTAAACACGTAATTAATTTAAAGGACCAAAGGCCGTGTTCCCCTCCCCCCATGTACTCTTCCACCCTCTTTTGTGAGTGAAATATCGAGTCACGCCACCTCCATATTTACCAGCTGCTCCCATTCTCTCTCCAGCGCTGGTTCTAACAAAGTACAAACAGCCCGGTACGTCATCTATTGTCTCGAGTTAACCAATTTAAGCTACACGCCAGGAATCGGTATACATACATACATACACACACGTAGAAATAATGACAAATAACCCCCGTATAGCCTTTATAGACTGTTGGGGTAAGTGCTGTGAGCGAGCATCTATGAAGGCCGGCACAGCACGGCATCCGATCGGGGTCGGTGGACAAACACTGCGCCCGGCCGCCTTTGTCTCCCCAATGCTGGTGTTTACCTAACGCGACAAGGCAGTCATAGCCACGTCCGATCAGGGCCACACCAACATACAAAGATAAAGATTCACCCGTATAGCCTTTACAGACTTGGGGAAAGTGATGTTAGCGAGCACCAAGGGGGTGTGTTGGCAGCACCACGCCCGGCCGTCTTTGTCTCCCCAGTGGCGATGTTTACACATCTCAACGTGGTACTCATTCGAGGTTTAGTCGAACTAGGGGAGGTCCAGGACCGGTTCAGGTAATCGTCGCTGCTTTTGGCTGAGCGGGAATCGAATTTGGGTGGCCTGATCTTGGCATTGCTGGTGCTAGTCATAGGCAACTGCACTCATTTCCAAGTCCTCCTGCAATCAATCGGTCCAGCTATGTTCCAGATCATACAGTGCTTAGCAAAATGGAAGCAGTCCTGGGCATGCGATTCCTGGGCATGTTTCATGACGCAGCCAACGCAATCTCGCCTGTCGAAGAAGCTCACTGGAGGAAATTTGTCCAGATATATCAAGCGTCTGTGAGCTCCTCGCACAATCCAGTCTGATTAGCCCCTGGATGGATTGTAGGTAGGCCAGTCCAAGCGGGATTTGGACTCGGGGCGCCAAAAATCCAAAGACAAATATCCTCCGTATCGCCTTAACAGACTGTTGGGGTAAGTGCTGTTCGCCCGACCGCCTTTGTCTCCCCAATTGCTGGTGTTTATACACCGCGCCAAGGTAGTCATACACACATCCAATCAGGGCAACACCGACATACATAACACATTGTTCGGCAAATGCTGTTAGCGAGCACCTTAATCACACGTACACACACACACACAGATGCACGTGCGTGTATGCAGAGTCTATTGCCACACGCGTGGGCCAGCCAGCACCATTTACTATGAATGTCAATACAATATTGACACAGCATAACCTCCGTTCACAACGAACTTCATTACCCCTTGGACCATTTCCCAACATGCTCTCTCGGCTGGACGGCTTCCCAGGTGATGTCCGAGCCACGTCTCGCTGCCGCGGTAGCGAGACGTTAACTACCTCGTCTGGTATTCAGGAGGTCGTGGGATTCCATGCCAACCCTGACGCGACTACATTTGGAGTTTGCATGTCTCTCTCCCCGTGGTCGCGTGGATTTTTCACGATCAGCCCACTTCGTTAGGCTGTGTGTAATCTGTGGCCAGGTCGCTTCTGAAAAAGAGCTGTACAGCTCAGTGGGCCTTACCTGGAAAAATGAAATATTTTGTTTTTGTTTGTTTGTTTGTTTTTAACCGACAGCTGTGAGGCTGAGACGAGGCGTGGGCCGACCTGACGCCCGTGCCCTAGCGCCACGGTTCCTCGCATTCCAGTTGTTCACACACATTCCACGTTGTGCCACCGCGTGTTATTCGGCGCGATGCCCGACGTTTTCGCTCCTCGTGCCGGGAATTCTTTCAGGAACGTCATTCGCTCAAAAGAACAGCGGAGCACAACCCGCTCGAACCCCCGAGCAGACCGTCGTCATGGAATTTCCCAGATTTTCCACCTTTACCAATCGTGTCCGAACACGAATTAAGTCGTTACGCGCCGCACGCGCCCGATGATTGGCAAATAAGTCCCACGTGACGTAGGGTGTGATGTGTGCGTGTGTGTCACGTGATAAAGAGTGCACCGAATGTGATCAAGTGGAGGATCGCCAATTGCATTTTCTCTGGGATTAGAAGGAGGTGGCCAATAGATGGCAATACAGCAGATTTGGGGATCGTGAACCCATCCGTGCGGATCTTGTGAGTGTTATTTCCTCGTGTGTTTCGGTTTTCTCCGGTTCCCTCGCACACGAAGCAAACAGCTCATTTTTTTTATAAATATAAAAAAAAAACCGGACCAAACATCCCGATGCAGGACCGCCCTGGAACATATGTCTTAATCTTACGCTTTCCCCTGGATTAATTATCACATTGAGATTCAACGAATAAACCCCGCGGAACATTAAGCAGGACTGACGCGTACCCAAACGAAAATTAAACACACAAACACACGCACGGCGAAGTGCATGGAAGTGAATTTACGACACGCAATTGCCTGCACACGGGATTAATGGATCGCGTCTTCCTCCGTGGCGGCACGGAATAAATAGCGGCGTCTGTGCGGCACGAATGCGCTTTAAAGAGCGCCCCGTGCAGAGGCGGGCGCCCTGGGGGGGAGAATTCAACTCGGCACCGGGGAAACAAGATGGCTGCAGCCGTGGCTGCGTTTTAATGAGAGCGTGACGACCACGTGGAAGCTTTCAACAAAACACAATCATAGCCACCACCAATCCCCCCCCGCCCCCCCGAGAGAAGGCGACATCGCTCTCCACGCATCCGCGCCTGGCACAGATCCCCTCCCGCGCGGCCTACACGGTCCTAGCGCTGTTCACGAGCACCGCCGCTCCGCTAGACGCAGTCTCCAAGACAAAGACCCCCCCCCCACCAAGTCCCGTTTATCCTGAACAGACTTTTGGGGCAAGCGGTGTTCGCGAGTAGCCGGGCACGGCACACGAGGGGGGGGGGGGGGGTGGCCAGCATGACGCCCGGCCGCCTTTGTCTCCCTAATTCCGATGTTCACGCACCGCACCACGTGCTACGCATTGAAGGCTCTATAGACTTCTGGCAGACCCAAGACAATTCATATATCACTCTCCACGGATGTTGGGAATCGAACTCGGGTCGACGGATTCAAAGCCCAGAAACCACGGAGGGCCGTGACAGCCGCAGAGAGCCGGGAGAGCGGGGAGAGGGTAGAGTGGGGGAGAGCGGGGGAGGGAAGAGCGGGGAGAGGAGAGCGTGTCTGCTCACCGGTGCAGGGGCGCAGTTGTCGATGGCTTCGCCCGTGAAGAGGACCCTGTCCTTGATGAACACGGAGATGGCACGCAGCATGAACGAGGCGAACAGGTGCATGTGGATGTAGTTGCGCGTGCAGCGCAGCTTGCTGAACGCGCGCACAAACACGCACATGCACACACAAGTAGGCACACGCACTGTCTAACTCTCTCGTTCGTAGCTGTGGGTGAGTACTTGGTGCGGTGTGTAAACATCGCCACTAGGGAGACAAAGGCGGCCGGGTGTGGTGCTGGTCACCCACCCCCTCGTGTGCCGTTCCGGCCTTCATAAGTGCTGCTCGCTAACAGCACTTGCCCCAACAAGCTATACGGGGGATCTTTGTCATTGTGCCCATGCATCTGCCAGTCATCTCAGTCAGTCAATCCACGGCGCCTGGGTCTCTCCCGTGATCTGTCAGCGTGCATTCCACACATCACGTGGCCTCGGAGTGCATCTGACCTTTTCTAGATTTGAAGCTTTCGTGACTGCAAGGATCCATACTCTTTGGTTCTATTCGGTAAAGTCACCTACGTGACTTTACCGAATAGAACCAAAGAGTATGCATCTGACCTGTCACAAGCACTGTGTGCAAAGATACCTGACCCTAACCGCCCCTACACCCCCCGGCCCCATTTAATCAACAAATCGTTATCAATACATTTATAATTATTGACCTCGTATCCACGAGACAGCCAACTTGAGTCGACTCGAGCTTGTTGCCGAAGTTGGCTTCATTTCTCCCAAGACTCGAGTTGATGGGAAACTCGAATTGGCTACGAAAGTTTTTGCGTGAGTTATTATCAGTGTATTGCTTCCGGAGCGAGCTGCTGATGATGCTGGTGATGCTCATGTATGATGCTGGTGATGCTGATGATGATGCTGATGGTGATGCTGATGATGATGTTGGTAATGCTGATGATGATGATGTTGGTGATGCTACTGACGATGCTGGTGATGCTACTGACGATGATGGTGATGCTGATGATGATGCTGGTGATGCTGATGATGATGCTGGTGATGCTGATTATGATGCTGGTGATGCTGATGATGATGCTGGTGATGCTGATGATGATGCTGGTGATGCTACTGACGGTGATGCTGATGATGATGCTGGTGATGCTACTGATGATGATGGTGATGCTGATGATGCTGATGATGATGCTGGTGATGCTGATGATGCTGATGATAATGCTGGTGATGCTGCTGATGATGGTGATGCTACTGATGATGCTGGTGATGCTGATGATGATGGTGATGCCGATGATAATGCTGGTGACGCTGATGATGATACTGATGCGGGCTGCCCAACCTTAATGGACACTCACCGAAAGAGACAAAGGATGAGCATGGCGAGGGCCAGAGACGTGAGGGATGAGCTGTATCCCACAGTGTACGCTGTCTTCAGCGTCATGTAGTCAATTTGCTGCGAACACATGAACACAAACAAACACACCTCACCTCACCACACCGCACTGCAGCACACCTCACCGCACATCACCTCCCCGCACGGCACGTCTGCTTGGGTGTCTCGGTGTGTGTGGGGGGAGCGGTGGTGCAAGCGGTTCGCGCGCTGCGGTACGAACCCGGCGACCCGTAACGATTATCTGAACCGGCTCTGGGCCTCCTTTAGATCGAATCAGTCTCAATTAGTCTCTATTGTAATCGTCGCCACTGGGGAGACAAAGGCGGTCGGGCGTGGTGCTGGACACGCACCCCTTCGTGCACAGTGCCGGCCTCCATGAGGTGCTCGCTCACAATGCTTACCTTTGTCTTGGTGGGCGCATCACTACGTAGTTTTCATGGAACAATACACCCGAGATGACTCGGGTTGGTCTGATTTGCTTCGATGTCTCCCATAAAATAAAAGGTCAAAATACGCTAATCGTGTTGGTAACACATTCACCGTGGCGTTGCCACGATCGTGCAGGTGGTTCGTTTGACTCTTTGAGACGGGCAACGGGCGCGTTGCTCGGAAATACATCCAGGCCACGTAGCTGACAACATTCAACGTTTAACGTTACACCCAGACTTACAATGCAACGCCCATGCCACCTGCACCCCCTGTGACGGTCACATTTTGTTGACAAATGTTCACTTGGCGCAAGTCCCAACGTGCAGGGGGGGAATCAAGCCAGGTCAGATCGTTCATTTGGACCGCGGCCCAAATAGTTGCGGACGATTCGAGTCGACGAAAATTAAAGGAATATGGGACCGTCGCTACCGAGTTGCGTGGCTCGTTGAAACTAGGCGCAACAAACCTCAAACAACTGGCGCATCTGAAATTAGCATCAACATCGTCAACATCATCAACAATAATTGCTCCGAGCTAAATAAAGATAACGAAGGCAGAGAATGATGCGTATGGACGGATGTTAAACCACTGTGGAGTATAAACGACAGACTTCCACTTGCGGCTGTGGAGTGGAGCAACCAACGGATGACAGAGTCAACAACTGCACCCTTGCCCACCCAGGGTCCACTGAACGGCCTCAATGACAGCTGCCCAATGGACGGCCCTGCCGACAACACCTGTTATCCACACGCAGTCGCTCCTCCGATTACTGTATATCCACCAGGCTCAGTACTGCGTAGCTACATTCGACGTCCTCGTTGCGGCGGCGGCGATTCAGGGTCCGTGGTTTCGATTCATCGCGAGGAGTTGCCAGCGAGGCTGTGTGGAGCGACGATGTTCGCGCGAGGGTGACGCGCTCCCTCTCTTTCTCTCTCGCGCTCTGCCACGGAGGGACCTGGGGGAGAGAGAGTCGCGGTGCTCACCCGATCGGGCCCTTCCTCGTTCAGGAAGATGTAGCCGCACACGTGGATGTAGGATGGCTGCGGATCGTCCCATCCGTCGCGCGTGCACGTGTGCGTCACCACACCTGCACGCGGAGAGCAAAGACAAAGACCCCCGTCCCCGTATATAGCCTTTAACAGACCGTTGGGACAAGTGCTTTTAGCGAGTCAGCACATATGAAGGCCCGCATGGCACACGAGAAGGGTGGTGGTGGTGTGACCAATACCACGCCCGGCCGCCTTTGTTTTCCCCCATTGCTGATGTTTTCACGCCGCATTGCGTAGGCATTTCAGGCTGAGTCGGCCTAAGGGGAGGCCCAGGACCGGTTTGGATAATCGTTACTGGGAGTTAGCCATGAACATACATCGAACTGAGGTTTGCTGGATTCGTAGTGTTGCACGCTAACCACTGCGTCACCGGTCCACACACCCCTACACACACTGGCCCATACAGACACAGACGAGGAAACGCAACCACACTCGCACACAATCTCACGCAGACACAGTCTCGATTTGGCACCTATGTTAGCTGTCAGAGGGAATTGAATTCCGTATTAGTAGCGCAGTGCGCTAACCATTCACTCACTACACGATTGCTCTTTACATTTAATCATAGACACACTACATTCAATAAACCTCTCTCTCCCAAGATCAAAAATGTTTCAATTATCGGTACCACCTCAGATGGCATGTATTTAGTGGTTCCAATTTCTTTAAGTAGCCAATAGCAGTGAATTTACTATACATGTATGTGATAATATTATTTGGGTCTTTCGGTAAAGTCACGTAGATAGGTTTAAATTAATAAAAATAAAAGAAACAAAAAAGACGTTTTGAACACAACACAGGCAATCGTCATTAGGAGGGGAATAAAAGAGGAGTAAAACTGTTGAGGCAGACAGTTTTAAAGGTTAAAAATGGGTGAAGCCCAAGGGTCATAAACGAAGTGGGCAGGGCTAGTGATGTTAATGTGAGAAATTAGCTTACGGGTTAAACCAATATAAAAGTACGTTTACAAATCTATTAAACAATCAGCGTCTCATCAGTAGAGCCAGGCTTGATTGAACCAGTGCTGGTGAACGATCAGCTATTTATAGGCAAGGTCCGGTTTCAACGTGCAGTGTCTCATCAGCAGTCAGGCTCTGCTTGAACTGTCAGACGTTGGGGGCAGAGAAGCAGCTCGTGGGTCGCTCGTTAGTGTCGAGGCACGTGGATTACCTTGGCGACAATCGTCTCGAATGTGCGCGACCATTCCATGCTCAGAAGCGGCTGCCAAAATGCGCAGGGATAACATCCAACGTTCAACCACGAGCCTCCCCATTCAATCGCACACGTAGAGCGGAGTAAAACACTCATCCCACGGGGAAGCTAAGTGCCCAATTCCAGTACCGCACAGAACGTGTCACGTTCAAAGAGGACTTTGACGTGGTAATTGCTATTGCGCCTCGTTTACGCAGCAAAGTCTCACGGAGTCTCAAGACTCGTTTCATTCAGGAGAATCCTCCCGCATTGCAATGTTTGGCCTGTTCCATAAAAAATAAAGAGAGAGGGGGGTTGGCTTCGTGTGGGAAGAAAAAAAAATCACGGCGCATTCGGTGGAGTGACACTTGAATAACAAGTTCTGTTTGGATGGAGCTCACGAACCGACCTTGCTATGCTGCGATTTCCTATACTTCAACGGGCAGCGCTGACCTACAACACGTGGTGTTCCCTGATAGTCTCTTCTCTCATCCAAGTGTTCACCAGGCTCCAACCTGCTAAGTTTGTGAGAGAGTCACGTTCAGGGTGACTTGGTCATGAATGACGAGTGGCGGGGGACGTTTAGGAGAGGAAGTGGAGGAGCGGTTAGGTTAGAGTGTTTCGTGAGTTTTCTGCTTTGGTGGTCGATGTTGAGTTGATAACGGGATGTTGCACATCTTAGCGCCCTGTATTGTTTATCTTCTTCTTGCTTTAAAGGTCTCTAACCCTACAGGCATTGCTACAGAAGGACACTGCATCTAAGCTGGACCCAAAGAGTGGCCAACGTAGAAGCATAAAAAGGTTGCATACAGAAGAAGCCCTGGTGATGCAGGCAGTGATGGGAAGGAAACTGACACTATTTGGATACGTGTAGGATGGACACCAACGGGAAAATTAAACGTGGGTTGTTCGGAAAAATACAAGGAACTGGAAAGAGAGGAAGACTTAACAGAGAATTGCTTGACGACGACGACTTAAGAGATTGTTGCCAGAACGAGGTGGCACTACTTGAGCACACTGTCACAATACAGAGAGGAACGTGGAAACAAATGACGAAATTTGATTTGGCGCTTTCGTGACTGCAGGAATTACTCTTTGGTTTTTTCGGTAAAGTCACGTAGAATAGTATGCTATTATGTAATTTTATTATTTCTCATTTCTTACAACATAGTATGCTATTATGTAATTTTATTATTTCTCATTTCTACGTGACTTTACCGAAAAAACCAAAGAGTAAATGACGAAATGTTCAGTGGACACCGACGGGCTCTCTGCCCATGGATCGTGATGATGAACACTAGATGAGATTTACTTGTGGAGGCTACTGAATGCCCAAAAGGGTCGACAGCAACGGAGATGGAGCAATAGGATCAGCTGGCGCGCAGGAGCGAGATGGATTGTGGCTTCATGAGGCCGTGAGTGATGGCGACCGCGTGACAAGAGGCCTTACTTCATCCAGCAAGTGGATAGGCAGCGTCTAATGATGATGATTGATGATTCTGATGATTATTAAGGTTGACGAGGTCCTTTGGGGTCGGTGTGGTCAGGACCACCCATGGCCACATTTGTTTCTTACTGATAATGCTGTTGTTGTTGATGATGAAACTGCTACTGATAATGTTGATTATGAAACTGCTGCTGCTGCCGATGATTTATTGAAAAGGCTATTACATTCAGTAATGCATTTTTAATGGCAATATTAAAACAGGAGCACTAACGTTTTGCCACCTCGGGCGGTACCAATTTCTGGACTGATTAATTGACTTTGTGCTGTGGAGGGTAGGATGGATGAGGGAGGGTGCGGGTGGGTGGGCGGAGGGGTGGGGGGGGCGTCTGGGGACATCATAGGTAATCGAACCGTGGTGACAGATGATGCTCGCAGTGTCGGTTCATGTCTGGAGGCTGAGGAGGAAGTGGAGTTTGTTGCCCACAAATGACTGGAGGCAGGCGAAAAGGCTGCCCAACTAAGGCTACCGCCACATTTCTTGCAGAATCAACATCCGGTGGGCCGGCAGCCCCTCCCACTACGCAGGTAGCCCCGCCCATTACCCAGGTAGCCCCGCCCATTACCCGGGTAGCCCCGCCCATTACCCGGGTAGCCCCGTCCATCCAGGTAACCCTGCCTACTGCACAGATAGCCCCGCTCATACAGTTAACCCCGCCCACCCAAGTAGCCCCGCCCTACCATGTAGCCCCGCCCACTGTTCGTATTGCCCCGCCCTTTTTGGCCGCTTCGTGAGTCGACGAACCTGAAGACGGAAGCTTGTGTTGCCTCCGAAACGTCGTGAATTAATTTAGTTGTTTTCATTTACTTTACCTACGCGACTTTACCGAAAAAAACCAAAGAGTATGAAGCAAGAAGTATTTGAACTAGCGACAAAATCTTGACTTTCAAAACAGATCTTTGTCGGGAGAAGGTAGCAGTCTTTCTGAAACCACCGGGGGACTGTCCCGGACGAACCGGGACGAGTGGTGACCTCATGCGCGCCGCACCCCTCTTTGTGAAGATGGGGATGTCCGGGCAAGTGATGTTCACCGACTTCCCCAGCGCTGTTGGCGGGAGGCATATCAATCGGTCCCATTCTCCAGGGCAGCCTGTTGGTGGAAAAGGGGGCGGAGGGGGTGGGGGGGGGGGGCAAAACGCCAAGCGGCCAGCAACACACAGCGCCATTAAATGTGTAGTCGTAGTTGTTAGGAGTTAATAATGGAAGCTTGTAACCGCACACATGTAACCGACTCCAGGCCCCCCCCCCTCTTTCCGCCCCTGCCCCCCTTGTGTGTATGCACGTCGACCTTCTTGCGCACCGTACGTAGCCAACCGCGCTCATCTTCCCGAAGAATCGCAGCTGCCAGGCGGACAGCGATGTGTTCAGCAGAACCGAGCCCGCGATTTACCCTCGCCGTTTACGATGGCGATTTGCGTTGATATCGAGGGAGTCTAAATTGCGAGCCCGTTTTCACGGCAATCTTGCAGCTCACGAAGCGGTCGCCTCCAATGTGCGCAGCGCCTTTGTCCGGGGCCTCGCCACGCCGTGTGGCTCACGGGGGATGTTTTACCATACTTCACCACGTTGCTCCGCGTGGGTTGGTGAATTCTGGTCGCGTAGACGTTGGAGCATTTTTTATTGGTTTTACTTATTTGTCCAGGAGCGCCACACTTCGGCATAGGACTATTTTTAAAAAAAGATCCTGCCGCAAAATTGGGGTTTTTGTTTTTCATGAAATATGTTTTCTCTCATATAACGATGATGAGTGTTGTTATACACGTGGGGGAGGAAACCGGAGCACCTGGAGAAAACGCATGTGCGCGCGACGGAGCAACACTCTATCCCCGTACAGATGGAAACATATGGCGATTAGTCCACTCGCTGTACAGCCTTCTCCTGGAGAGCCTGGGTATAGCTCCTCCTCAACGCCCATGGGAAGGGAGCTTCACACCATCAGTGCGGTGATCCACAAACCCCCGCTGCTACCTCCACAGTGCTGGATCACAGGCAGTCAGCCATCACCGCCTACACCACGTGTTCATAATGTATGGCGATCACCAGGTTCAAGCCAGCTAAGCTTCCGAGATCTGAAGAGATCGGGTGCAATGCAGGCATTGTGATCACAGGCCTTCCCAATCACAGCAGCTGGCAAACCCAGCGTATGAGTGACGTGACATCTGTCAGTAAGAGGTTCAAGGCTCATCGGATTCCTCCAGTATAAAAAAAACTATTCTGTTTATGATGTGTCATTCACGGGTTTGATACTAATGTAAAAGCTGCAATTTTCAGTTACAAATTAAACTGTGGATGTATGTAGCGTATGAATGACAATGCATCTCCAAGACCCTGTACTAAAATAGTGGGCAGGCAGCTATAGGGCGAGGAGATGATGCGGGTCTTGAGCCCGGAGTTTAACAGTGGCTGGGAGTCGACAGCACGGACGACGGTGGGGGGGGGGGGGGGTCAAGCGAGCAATAGGGGCAGCAGACGAGAACCAATGACGTCCCACTGAGTGAAGAAGCCTCCTGGAAAGACACTGTTCAGGAGGGTCCTGCATTGGAAATGTTTGGCCAGTTCCATTCCTGAGCGTGGGCGAGTGCGCCCTATTTTTCCCGAAAGACGCATAGGGTGCAGGACGTAAACTTCTAACTTGTCCAGTACATCAAGCAAGCATCACCATATCCAATTAATTCAAAGTATCCATGCGAATGCGAATTCACTTGACAAATGCGAGTTTCTACTAAAGGGGTGTTGATCACTAATTTTCAGAGGGGGGCCCACTTTCGCCAATATGACATCATCGGTGGTGAGGGCCGCCATACGTTTGACACCAGCATGGTGAAGTATGGTCATGTAACCCTCCACGTCCCGCATGGCGTGGAGGCGAACTGCCCCAGCAGTGGATTGGCAAAGGGGCTGGACGTGTGCTGTACGTGGGAGCAAGGGCGCGGGGCAACGAGACGCACCTGGGTCACCGAGACACGGCCAGAGGTGGCTACAAAGTCCACGCCGGCGTTTCTGCTCCCAGGTGATAGCAACGCGTGCCGGTGGGTTCAACGAGTCATGGAATGCACACGCAGTGGCTTCATCATCAGCGCTATCTCACACGGAGACCCACGCACTCCACACAGAGACCCACACACTCACACCCATACACTCACATAAAGACCCACAGACTCACACAGAGATACACACTCACATAGAAACCCACGCACTCACATAGAGACCCACAGACTCACACAGAGACCCATATACGCACAGACTCATATAGAGATCTGTACACACACACACAGAGCCATATGCTCACACATAAAATCATAGACTCAAACATGGACCCATAGACTCACACACACGCATAGACTCACACATCAACCTATACAATCACACACAAACCCATAGACTACAACATAAACTCATAAACCTATAGACTCGTACAAACCACAGTCCATTATCATCACCGGAATCATCATTTGCACTTCCAGCATCGTCACCAGTAGCATAATCGTCGTCGTCGTCATCATCATCATCAGATATTGGCTTGAAATTCAAATTAGCAGGTGAATCGCACGCACGCATCACCCAATACGGGAAAATCCGGGGCGGCGTCTCGGTGTCATAGCTAATGGTTGATTCTCGACTGCACTTGTCACCGTCAATGTTTAACGTTGACTTTATTCTCTAGCTGAGGCAATGCATTACGTAAACGCGTGGACAACAGTATCGTGTCCATTTTAACGTGTCCGTGTTAGCGTACGTCGAATGTTAATGCTGCGCCTGCTCTTTGAACAGTTATGGTCACGTAATCAATATCCGGCCTCCCAAAGGTCAATTTCCGTTAGTTTATCTTTTTTTCGCAAACACGTGTGGACATTTATAACAACCAAATACTCTGAACGCAACGCCTCGAAATGTGAAAGGAATCCAAACGGCCACGGGGAGAGCATGCAAACTCCAAATATAAAGACGTTCGGGTCGGGATCGAACCCACAACCTCCTGTATACCAGGTGAGGGAGTTAAAATCTCGCCACCGTGGCAGGAAACCGAAGATCCCGGGGGAAAACCCCCCATGGATACGAGGGGAGTGACCTTCAACACCACCGTGTCCCGGCCACACCTGGACACCCCACGCCTACAACACCTGGCAAGCCGCGGTAGTCACCCAACCAGGCTCAAATCCCGCTTAGATTCATGAGCTAAAACGCAATTGCGCACAGGCAGGGTGATTAGGCCACTGTGATAATAATCATCGCCATTGCTAATTTGGAGTGGAGCGGTGGCGCAGTGGTTAGCAAACCGCGTTATGAACGCGGCAACCTAAGTTCGATTCCCACCAACGGCTAATCCCATCAACACCACCACCACCACCACCGCCATCTCTTGGCCACACCTCGCCGCCCAAGCCACACATCTACAACACCTGGCAAGCTCCAGTGGTCAACCATCCAGCCACAGGCTCAAATTTGCTTAGCTTCCGAGATCACGCGCGATCCTCCGTGGCTGTTAAGATGACACCGCTCTGCCCGCGTGGTGCAACAAAGCGCAGAGAACAAAGCTCCACACACAGGAGTAAGGCCCGCAACGTCGCATTGCTGGTGATTTAGTTTCGTGCACGATAGGGTGAATTAAACCAAACAAACAAAAAAAAGATGCAGAGATTCAAAGGCAATTAGCAAAACGCAGTTCAACTATGACTACATTACCCCTCCCCCCCTCTGGTTTTCGCACCTGCTTGGCTCACATTGATTACATCACCATTGTTCTATTAAAGACCGGAAGAGGAGGACTTCTTCACATTATGGCTCATCGCCTGATGAAGCTGGTTGTTGTAATCGCCAGCGAAACGTCACAGTACTCGAATTGTAAATGTCGTGTGTTTATTCTCCAACACACACGGTGGTGCTGAAGTACTTCTCAATTGGCATGTTTTGTTTACGCTACGAACCTTACTAATTGGCTGTGTCGGGTGGTGGCGGGTTTAACTACACATTTATTTTTACGCGATCTAACTCCAAAAAATCCCCCTAAATTATGGAAGTCTTAATTTGTTTGTAACAAATTAAGACTTCCATAATGTACCTCATTTGTTTGTGTACACGTAGCTCTCTCTGCATATGTGATGCGGTTCTCGAAACTACTTTGGTGAAAGACAAAACACGAAAAAGTGTCTCATTCTTATTCTTTGTGTGCTAAACGGACCTAACGACCCTCCCCTTTCCCACCACCCCACTCTCTCCCACCACCCCCCCTCCATCCCACCACCATCCTCTACCACCCCCCTCTTCCACCCCCCCCCTCTCCCGCCACCCCCCCTCTCCCACCACCCCCCTCCCCCAACCCCTCCTCTCCCACCACCCCCCTCTCCCAACCCCTCCTCTCCCACCACCCCCCTCCCCCAACCCCCCCTCTCCCACCACCCCCCTACCCCAACCCCCCCTCTCCCACCACCCCCCTCCCCCAACCCCTCCTCTCCCACCACCCCCCTCCCCCAACCCCTCCTCTCCCGCCACCCCCCTCCCCCAACCCCTCCTCTCCCACCACCCCCTCCTCTCCCACCACCCCCCTCTCCCACCACCCCCCCCTCCCACCACCCCCCCTCTCCCGCCACCCCCCTCCCCCAACCCCTCCTCTCCCACCACCCCCTCCCCCAACCCCCCTCTCCCGCCACCCCCCTCCCCCAACCCCTCCTCTCCCACCACCCCCTCCCCCAACCCCCCTCTCCCGCCACCCCCCTCCCCCAACCCCTCCTCTCCCACCACCCCCTCCACTCCCACCACCCCCTCCTCTCCCACCACCCCCCCTCTCCAGCCACGCCCCCCCCCCCTCCACAATCTTCCCGCTTCCAATCGAAGATGCCCGATGGCGACACTGGTGTGCGGCGAAGGGTGGACGATCGGTCTTCTTCGTCTTATTACGTGCGGCTGCTGCTGCTGCTGTTCGATGCAGAGCAAGCGACTTGCAATGTCACATTCAGGTGGTCTCAAGCCAAATGACGGCCCTGTCAGGAGTTCTAGCGGAGGCGTGTATCGTCGCTGTGACGTCACCTCCTCGGTATTTGTGGATCGGGGCATTGAGTCGTCACACGTTGCACGGTCTCTGTTCTGGGTGAC